AACTTCTAATTATGTAAGAAGACGAGATTGTTTCTCTTCAAGACTTAAATGGTTAATAGGTATGTTTAATGTTTATAATTGTAAAGCTACAATTAAATGATGAATAAGTGTCTGTCTGAGGGACGTCCTGCAAAAATAAAGATAAACACAAATGTTGGGATTCCAGACTACATCAAGGAAAGTTCAAACTCAAAATATATAACAGAAGAACCATAGCTGCTCTCGGGGAACACATTTTTCACGATATACCGAAATTGGTTGATTTATTTAGTTGTAGAATTAGTTGTTTTTTTCTTACTAATAACTTAAATGAAACATCTAAAGAACATGAATCTCGACTGAGCTCCAGATTCCACTGATCAAGCTGCAGGAATCTGCAGTGCAACCTTGATGCTTCAGCTTTAATGTCATGATCAGTTTCTGTGCTGTGGATATTGTTTTCAGTTTTGCTCATTATTTCCTCGCAGAACATTCTAGCACCACCGTCACCACTGTGGAGGAACAAGAGGAAACCTACTACACTGGTGTCCAGTTACCACAGAAAACTAAAACACTTGAACTCAAGCCAGAGACCAAGCGTTACACCTCTGCTTTAGAGAAGAAAAAAGAAAAGCCAGTTTTCCTCAGCCAGCTTTCCCCAGCAGCTGTAACCGCTGGGGAAACAGCTCGGTTTACAGTCAAAGTGTCCGGCTTACCGAAGCCGACCGTTCGGTGGTCTCACAATGGAAGAGTGATAAAGAGCTCCTCTGTATACAAGCTGATAGAGGAGAAGGAGGAGTACACATTAGTAATCACCAGGGTCACATCTGAGTACGAAGGCGAATATTCTTGCACCGCTACCAACAGATTTGGCCAGACAACATGCACCACGTACCTCGAGGTTAAAAAGACTGACATAAGCCAGGCAGAGAAATGGGTAGAGAAGATGTTTAAGGTCACAGGCCAACCTCCTACATTCACAGTTCAGATCCAGCCTGTGAGATGCTCGGAAGGAGGAGAGGTTTCTTTTAATTACAAAGCAAGTGGGGATCCAGCCCCTGATCTGAAGTGGTTCAAGGGCGCATTTCAAATCCAGCCCAGCAGAAACTGTATTATTGTAGCCAACCCAGACGGATCTGGCTTCATCAATATTAAGAACGTCAAACAGGAAGACAGCGGCCTGTATACATGCAAGGCCTCAAACCAGTTTGGGGAGGCATCTTGTAGTGCTGAGCTTGTTGTGTTCAAAGAATCGGTTTCTCGCAAACAGGAACAGCTGACTGTGATTCAGAAGAAAGGATATAAGGTGTCAATGACTGAACAGGCAACAGAGTCTCGCTTGTACCAGGTCAGCCTGCCAGGTCAGGACAGGGCTAGGACAGATCAGATGGTTTATACCATCGGCACTGAGGACCGGCAGATAATTCCCAGTGAGCAGGTCGGCTCCCTGAGAGAACTAGATATCTCTGCTGCCACTATTCAACGTGAGCAGGTGACCCACCAGGCAGCAGTGCTTCAGTCTCATGACATAGAGGAAAGGGTGTCCGTGGTTCCTACACACCCACCTCAGGTTTCAGCTGTTCCTGCAAAACAGCTTCACATGGCAACATTTACGTCATCTGTCGAAGAGAGTCAGGACCTCACAGAGCAGCACTGTGATCGCATTCAGAGCCCTGAGATCATTGAGCTTCAGTTAGCTCGAGAAAAGAGGTCAAAGATGATGTCAGCTGTTGCTGAGGAGCTCACCCCACTTTCAACTGTCAGTACAGAGCCTCTGGCTGACAGAAAGCCTGCTACTGTTAGGCCCTCTTCAGAACCTAAACAACTTGTCAGTGGGCATCAAGTCGAGTCCCAATTGTCCATCCTTAAAGAGCAGTCTCACGATATCCCCAAACCACAGGATGAGAAAGGTTACAAAGTTAAGGAAGGTGTTAAGATTTTATACTCAGCCCAGTCCTCAGAGAATCGTGTGCTTGCAGAGGGTCACACAAGTGAACTGGCAACAGCAGATTCTGCTATGAAGTCTTCCATTGGGAAGGAAAAACACCAACCTGTCTTGGCCTCGGTCAGCGAGTCAAAACATACTTTTTCTAAGGAGACTAATTTTTCCATGCAGAGGCCTTCTGAGGAAATAGCCCAACTCTGTAAGGATAAAATCAAAAAGGTAGCTCTAACTGCTGAAGAAAAGCAAATACTGCAGGCTGAGCCCAGTCAGCAGCTTCAAAGTCTGGACAGTGCAATGTCCATTCAGCCACAGGTAGAGGGAGAGCAGTTGTTGCATTTGCAGGTTATCACAGAGCAGGATCTACTTCCATCAGAAAAAAGCTTCACCTGTGAGAAACCTGCACCAGAGCAGGCAGGAGCCAGGAAGAGTCCCACCTTGCTACATACAGTTAGCCAGGATGAGCAGAGGACAGTAGTTTATGAGGACACATCAGAATTTGAATCCAAGGCTAGCACCATGACCATCCAACCCCAGAAAGAGGCCCCTACTTTGCTGCACCTACAGTCAACCCATCCTGTGGAGGCACTACCCAAAGAGGGTATTCTCATAATTGAAAAGCCTGACCAGCAGGTGGCAGCACAGAAAAAGGAAAAGACTAGAATTCATGCAGCAATCTCAGAAGAGAGAAGGGAGCTCACAGCAGATTATCACACAGAGCTGGATTTGGCTGTAACTGGTATTCAGTCTCACCTTAGAACAGAACCAAGACCTCAAAACATCCTCCAGCTCTCCTTCCAGCCAATGCAGCTGCCGAAGGAGACACCAGTTACCACTGATGTCAAGCAGCAGCGAGCTCTGGTGCAGAAGGAAGATCGTTTAAATGTGTTGCAGGTCACCACAGTGGCAGACAGTCCAGTCTTAGATGCTGGACACACTGATAATCTTACAGATGTCGAGCAATTCACCTGCAAGACAGTTGAAGAGCCAAAAGTTCCCACTGAGCCAATCCAGATTGAAGAGAAGGAGATCTCCACTGAGAGTAGTGTCCTTCTAGAGGCAGCACAACAGGACTTTGCTGTTCAGATTCAGGAAGGTCAGTCAGTTAGGCAGTCGATAGTGATGGACGAGAAGCGGGTTTTGATGGGTGAGCTGTCTCAGGAGATAAGCAAGTCAGAGTCCACTAAAGTTGCCGTCAGCACACAGCCAAAACTCTCCCTTATGGTGTCAGAATCAAAAGACAGCACAACTCTTCCCAAAGAGATGACGTTTGTTATTCAGATCCCTAAGCCATCCAGTCTGAATATACGGCGTCAGCTCAGAGACGCTCTTCAATCCGCTGTGGCTAGCGACCAGCCCGTATTGTTGGCTGACGTCTTGGGAAAGTTACAGACCGTAGAAGTACAGGAGGTCAAGGTTCAAAAAGAACCCAAGCGGGCAATGTTTACATACCTGATCACAACAACAGGTGCCCCCATGGAGATCACTTTGACTTTTGAGGGTCACTATCCCCAGACAGCTGACCTCAGGACTGAACTCCAGGCAGCTTTCCACTCCATAGTGTACCAGGAAGCCCATGTTCTTACATCAGATCAGCCAGGCACTATGCAGCTGGACAAACCTCAAAGGGCGCAGGTTGCCGCAGCCCGTTCTAAGCAAATGCTATCATCAATGGTAGAAACAGTGAGTGTGACAGAGAGTGCAGTGGATTTCACTGCTGTTAAATCTCAAGCTGCTGCACTTAAGACTGAGTCCAAAATGACAGTTGAATGTGCTTCTGCTGAGCAAAATATTGTGATGCAGGAATCAAAGGCAGCTAAGATGGAACAGTCCATCTCATCCCAGATCAAAATGACCACTGAGGCTCACATGGCTTTTGAGCAGTCAGTGCAGGTGTCAAAACAGGAAGTGAGGTCAGTAACAATGAAAAGCCACGAAAGGGATGTAGGAGCGGCTGTTGTTACCACAGCCCTTCTTCCCACTGCTGTTCCAACCGAGCTGGTGGTGGATGTAAGCATCCAAAAGGAGCACAGGGAGGAGATCTTCAAAGAGGAGATCACAATATCTAGGTCAGAGCAGAGGGAATACCCTGAAGTTATAACCTCCCTCGAAGACTTTTCCATCGAGGAGGATAGCAAAGTAACCTTTAGCACCACCATTAAGTACGTCACAAAGGTAAACTGGTTTTTCAATGGGCAATTGGTCAAATCTGGCAAGGAGTTCAAGTGTTCCAAAGACCACGACACTTACACATTGGTTATCAACAAAGTTGTCAAGGAGAGGCACCAAGGAGAATATGTTTGTGAGGCTGAGAATGAGACTGGCAGGACTACAACATCTTCAAGGCTCACTGTGGTCTCAAGAGGTTTGATAATAGGAGAAACAACATCAATGTATCATCAATTAATTCATCCATTTTCTCAGAGAATGACTAATCATTCACATAAATAAGTTCATTGAAATTCTTTGTCCTCACATGAAGTTATGCATCTTTTCACCGTGGTCCATACATTCTTTTCATACCAAGGCATGAGCACTCTTAGCGGGTCACTGGATCATACTAACTCACCATGTTTTGTATGTTTCCCATCTCTGTACAGTGAATAATTGCTTCAAGACCAGAACTTTCCGAGCTAGAAAGTCTTGGCCTTCAGGCAACTTTTGCGGTCTTTCCATCGTCTCTCTGGCATGTTGGTGTGGCAGCACACCTCTTTATTTTTAACTCATGGTCTGTCACATTTTCCAAGGTCCATTCTCTTCACATCTTCAATGTCTCTGCATGCTTTTCAGGCTTCAACTTGACATCCCTTCAACCATGACAAAATGTTCTTTCCCTCCTTAAGCCAAAAACCCTAGCCCCATGATAATCATGTGTAATTCGAAAATCTTTCTTTAGACCTTTTTTGTCCAACGTGAAGTCATGGGGTTAAGGTTCTTGCTCATTTTTCTCCTCCACAGTCACTCCTGAAATTACTTCCACCATGTTCAACATTTCATAATTTCTGTTCCTGCATTTTACAGCAGTTTGATTGATATTATTGCTAACTTTTATCGTCTCATTTGTCTGCGTGTGCCTCAGTGCCACCTGTCTTCAGCCAGAAGATCACACCTCTGGAGATCAACGTCGGCAGCCAAGCCAAGTTCGAATGTGAAATCCAGGATGCTCCGACTGTGACCTTCAAATGGTACAAGTCAGGCATTGAGATCAGACAGAGTGAGAAGTACAGGATCCTCAGCCGCCACATTGGTTCCTCTCTGGAGCTTCTGAACCCAGTCAAAGCTGACAGCGGGGAATACACCTGCAAGGCTTCAAACCAGCACGGCACTGACAGCTGCACTGCCTCTCTCATTGTAACTGGTAAGACCCTAATGGGACCTTTTTCTTTTAAAAGTATGGCTTTACATATGACTGTGTTTGAGAGAGAGAGAATTATATCTTTCCACTATGTTGTATCCTGAATCATAATGGTGCAGTGCTGATTTGCTTATGAACTGGTTCTGGTGTCACATTTGAGAAGACATAATGATGTTGAAGATAACATTTTCTGATGTGTAAACCTGTATCAGCCCCTGAACTGAGATTGCACAGGATTAATTTGTATTTTATATTTTTCCACATTTTAAAATTTGCTCAACTTTTTTTGTTTCACTTGCTCTCCATAGAAATATACCCACCAGTATTTGTTTCAAAACCAGACCCAATGACTTTGTATGTGGGAAAACAAGCTGTGTTCCAGTGCTCTCTTACTGGATCAACACCCATGGAAGTTGTCTGGCACAAGGACAACATAGCAATCTCCTCGGAAGGGAACTATGTCATGAAATGTGAAAAGAACAAGTATTCTCTGCACATTAAAAGTCTTGAGCTGACTGATCAGGGAGTCTACCTGTGCAAGGCCTCCAACAGCGTTGGCGCTGCTACCTTTACCACAGAGCTCAATGTCATCAACAAGCCAAGCTTCGTTAAGACCATTGAGCCTGTGTCAGCAGCTGTCAATGACCTGCTGAGGCTGGAGTGCCAGGTGGATGAGGACACTGGTGTGACCATCACCTGGACCAGGGATGGCAAAAAAGTCCACCAGAGTATGGATTGTAAACTGTCCTTTGAGGACAAGGTTGCTGTTGTTGAGATACCCAAGTCCAAACAGAAGGACTCTGGGAAATATGTTTGCACAGCCACGAATGAGGCTGGAAGCTCATCCTGTGAGGCTGTGGTAACAGTTCAAGGTAAGATCTTAAAGATGATCTTCCCATTAGCTTTGATAAAAACAAAACTCTCGAGATGAGCTAGTGGATTACTGCTGACGTGAAGTGTTTTCAGCCAACTGCAAGCCAATGCTAACTCCATGCACTGCTATCTTTTTGTCTTTTCTTTTGCATTCTTTATTGCATTTTCTGTCTTTGTTTTTGTTTTTCCTGTCTCTTCGGCAATGTTTAAAGATCTTGGTGTTTTTGAACTAAACACTCTTTTCAGAGCCTCCTTCCTTTGTCAAGAAAATGGAGCCAAAGTTTATTTGGAAACAAGGCATATCTGCCCGCTTACAGTGCACTGTTAAAGGATCGCCCGAACTTCGTATCCACTGGTTTTGGAATGAGAGAGAGCTTAGCGATGGAGACAAATATAAAATCTCTTTCAAGAATGGAGTAGCTACTCTGGAAATAATTAACACTTTGGTAACAGACAGTGGGAGCTACACCTGCGAAGTGTCAAACAATGCAGGCAGCGAGAGTTGCAACACACTTATAGCCGTTAAAGGTTTGTTAAATTTTGCATTTTCTTAGTGTTTGCTGTTCGGTTTAGAAAAATGTGGTATATTAGTTGCATAAACTTGACTTACCCTTTTGACTACCAGAGCCCCCGGCCATTAGGAAGGAGCTGCTGACAGTAGAGGCAGTGAAGGGAGCAGCAGCTCACCTGGAGTGTGAAATCACAGGAACAGCTCCCTTTGAAATCAGCTGGTTGAAAAATAAGAAAGCCATCACCAGCGAGCAGAAATATAAGATTATCTGTCATGAATCCTTGGCAAGGCTGGAGATCCAGACCTTTGAGAGTACAGACGTTGGAGATTATCAGTGTGTCATATCTAATGATGTGGGCAAAGTCACCTCCAAGGCCCTAGCTAAACTTAAAGGTTGGTAAATATGAGCTCAATAAAGCTGATTTTGTCTGAGGTTTAACCCCGTGCTCCAAACTCAGCTGTAACTCATAATGTGTTTTTATAGAGCCACCGTCTTTCTCAAAGAGAGTCGAGAGTGCTACAGCAGTGTTGGGAAATACAGTGAAACTACAGGGAACCGTTAAGGGCTCGGCTCCCATCACTGTTAAGTGGATGAAAGACTCCGAAATACTGAGAGATGATGATCAAAACATCAAGATGGTGTTTGAGAGCAATGTTGCTAGCTTGTCGATAACAACAGTGGCCATTAATCACGGTGGCAAATACTCCTGTCAAGCTGAGAATGAGGCCGGCCAACAAAAATGTGAAGCTACCTTGACTGTGCAAGGTCAGATTAAATCTTTGACTGATGGATAATCTCCTTTATTGTCGAGTATATGTTCTTGTGTTTTAAATCTTATATATTTTTTTACAACTAACGGGTCTGTCTTATCGCAGAGCCGGCACGAATTGTAGAACCTGCAGAGTCCATTAGTGTGACTGCAGGGGATTCAGCCACTTTGGAGTGCACAATCTGTGGAAGCCCAGACCTCAAAGTGAAGTGGTTTAAAGATGGCAAGGAGATGATCAGTGGCCGTAAATATAAGATGACTCTCAAGGACAATATTGCCTCCATGAAGATTCTTGCATCAGAAAAAGGAGACACTTCAGAGTACAAGATGGAGGTGTCCAATAAAGTTGGGAAAGACCAGTGCACATGCTCAGTCACTGTCTTAGGTTTGCTCCCAGTTTCTGCTTCTTTAGTGTTTATGTTTTTGTTGATATAAATGATAACATGAAAAGTCTCAGGGAAAATAACTTAATACATCTGGAGATAATAAATGTTATACACTGTATTCTCACATCTTCAGACATTAAAACAACATCCTTTAACTTAAACCGTAGACAGGCAGTGAGAGCAGTGTCATGAAGATCAGGATTTTAGCTGAAACAAGAAGTTTGAAACTTTGTTAATGCATGAGATGTTTTTTTCTTCAACAACCAGATCGGATAATGCCTCCAACTTTCACCAAATCCCTGAAAAGAGTTGATGGTAACATTGATAATGACGTCTCAATGGATTGTAAGGTGTCTGGGTCCCAGCCCATGATCATATGTTGGTTCAAAGACGACCAAGAGATTTTGTCTGGATCCAAATTCCAGCCAGAATTCAAAGACAGCTCTGCTACATTAAGGATAATTCGGCTGGAGAAGGCCGACTCTGGAGTTTACAAATGCAGAGCCACCAATTCAGCAGGCTTTAAAGAAACCAGCGGCACACTCTACGTCAAAGGTTACGAGTGCTTTGCTTGTGTGCTTCTTTTTGTGGTGTACAATCTTTTAGTGATTTCATGCTAACATGAAATGCAACCTGTGTTTTGTTTACGGCCTCCAGAGCCCCCAGTGTTCACATTCAAACCAGACAATCAGGATGTTATACCTGGAACCACCGTTTCTTTCAAAGCAGCCTTCACTGGAACGGCTCCTTTAGCTGTGAAGTGGTTCATAGAGGAAAAAGAGATGACCACTGGAACCACATGTTTCATAAAGAAAGATGCCTCTTCAAGCTCGTTGGAGCTAAACTCTGTGAAACCCAGTGACTCTGCTAAATACACATGCCAAGTGTCCAACGATGCTGGGAAGGTGGATTGCACCGCAGTCCTCTTTGTAAAAGGTGCCTCTCTTCAGAACTGATTGCAGCTGCATGACATGTCTTGACATTCTTCAGTATCATTCCCTTGAGTACTAACATAACATATTTTTTCTGATAATGAATGTTAACCTCTTCTCTCAGAACCTCCTGTGTTTGTGAGGAAACTTGAGGCAACCAAGCTCATCACCAGTGGTGACTCCGCCAAGCTGGAATGCAAAGTCACGGGAAGTCCCGTTATCAGTTTTAAGTGGTTCAAAGATGAAATGGAGATCAATCCCAGTCCTAAATACACAATGGTGTCCACCGACTTAGTTGCATCTCTGGATTTAGTCAACTGTACAGTAGAGGATAGCGGAGATTATGTCTGTGTGGCATCCAGCGAGGCTGGGACTGACCACTGCAGCAGTACACTTACAGTCAAAGGTTGGTTTTTGGCAGTATCGTATGCCCTATGTGTGTAGTCTTTTGTATAGTTGTAATGTGCTTACAAGTTGTCGTTTTTCTTCTAGAACCGCCATTGTTTGTGCGTAGCTTGGAGCCCAAAGATGTGGTAAAAGGTTCTGAGATGATGCTGGAGGGCCAGGTCTCAGGTTCAGCACCTTTCACTGTGTCAATTTACAAAAACACAAAGCTAATAAGGAATGACAAGAGGCACAGGATCACTGTGAAAGATGACCTGATAGCCCTGCAGGTGCTGGCAGTAGAGCCAGGAGACATTGGTTTTTACAAGTGTACTGTTGAGAACGAAGTTGGAAAGGCCTCTTGTGATTGTCAAGTGACATTAAAAGGTTGGTTTGGATGTTATCTAATCTGTCTTTCAATCAGTGTCTGCTGCCATGTAGCTATATTTTAAATATGTTCCATACTTACACTTGGATTGCCTCTCAAAGCTTGAACTCAAGTCCCTCTTTGCTCATTTTCTGGAAACCAGAATCTGTACAACCCATCCATCAATCCTTGGTGGGGGATAGTTATCCATGGACAGAAGTAATGAACATGTTGTGTAAACAGCGAAGACAGAAATGCCCTCCTACACTTGATTGGACAAATCTCTGGATGGGTGCCTGCTTCTGAAAAGTTGTTTGATTTCTCTTTGAAAAAAATCTGTTTCTGGAAGTGCATCTCCAGAATTAGATTTCAGTAAAACTAATATATAATATGAATTTCTCCCTTTGATTTTGGACTTAGAAATATGGAGCCAATAAACTTCAGAACCCTAGGCAATGTTCTCTTATTGGTCTTAATGATGTCAGGCTCAGCTGACCCTCAGTAGATGGTTTCCAAATATACATTTTGTATCAAAGAATGAGTTTTGGGGGATAAAGTCAGACTTCGGGAGGCTTTTATTGGCGTAGACACCAATAATACTGATCTGAAACCTTTCCTTCTAGAACCACCTTCATTTGTCCGAAAGTTGGAGAACCTCAGTTCTTTGGTTGGCAGCGAGGTTTCTCTGCAGTGCACTCTGAAGGGCTCAGAGCCCATGACTGTGGCCTGGATGAAAGACAACCACGAGATCAAAGAGGCTGAAAACATTCAGATCACGTATGAAAACATGACTGCTGTGCTGCTCATTACCAACTTACAGAGCAAACATGCTGGCAAATACTCTTGCCAGGCACAGAATCAGGCTGGTAGCCAAACATGCTCTTCTGTATTGACAGTCAAAGGTTTGTAAAGATGCTCATGGACTCTCTGCTCGATTAGAATTGTTCTAATAGTGCTGCAGGTGTTCCTTATCAACTCAAGAACTCACAGATTCATGTGCCTACTCGCGGAAAGTTTCCTAAGCCAAGCAAGTGTTACAACAAAACCACAACCTCCAAAGTTTAAAAATAAAGCAAAGGCAAAAGTGCAAAAAAGTGCTGTTGCTTGGGTGTCCACTTGATGCTGGCCCTAAAAGCCAAGGAACTGCCATTAACAACATGTGTAACCCATTTTGAAAGTGGGAATAAACATGTTTATGTATCAAAACACGAAATTTGGTCTGAATAGCTCATGTCTTTATTGACACAAACTTTATTGTACGGTGGTGGGATTTATTTACATTACTTATCCATTTTTATTATATTCAGGCTATTATCAATCAAGCTGATTTGACTGACAGGCGTGGCATGTTGTAGCTATTTCCCAGACGCTAAAAGACCTGCCTCAGCTCCGCCTCTTTGCCAGTTTCTTGGTTGACCAAAGGTTGCTCTGAGAGCATTTCCAATATGGCCATTGACATCAAAACTTTGCCTCAAAAAGGGATGAGTGATGTCACTGAGATTATGTCCATGTTATAAACAGTCTGTGGTTATACCGAGTGGAAAACTGGACCATGGTCCAGAGTTAACACTCTCCCAGAATTAAGAAAACTATTAACTGAGAGCTCAGTCTACATGTAATTATTATGTTTGGCCTTGACACATTTTCAATCGACCTCTTTGTTGGTGATGGAGTCACCATTGACCCAATCATCTGCTCAACATAATCACACTGGAAATCTTGAGACATTATGAGCTGATAAGGAGCAAGTGCAGTGTTAGAACCTTTTGTCTGTTGCTTAATTCAGTCATTGGTCCATCACTGTGTTGTAGTACATCAGGTTTGAGGTTCTTTGGTAACTGTTTTGTTTGAAATCCCAGAGCCAGCTAAGATCACAGAGGAGGCCAAATCTATCAGTGTGACTCAGGGAGACCCGGCCAACCTGGAGGCCAGGTTCTTGGGCACAAAGCCATTGAAGGCAAAATGGTTAAAGGCCGGCAAGGAACTGTCCTCAGGCCAGAGATATAAAGTACACAGCACAGACACCAGCTCTGTGCTAAAGATCAACAAAACTGAAAAAAGTGATAGTGGTGAATATGTCTTTGAGGTTTCAAATGATGTTGGCCAAAGCTCTTGTGAAGCAACACTCACTATCCTCGGTCAGTTCTTTATATGAATCATAAACCTTTAAAATTAGTTTTGTTTAATATTCTTATGAACTTGTTGCTCACCTCTTTTTTCTCCTGCATCAGATCAAATAATCCCTCCATCCTTCACAAGAAAACTGAAGCAAACAGAGGGTATTAAAGGATCATTTGCTCATTTGGAGTGTCTCGTGTCTGGCTCTCTGCCGATAACCATTCAATGGTACAAAGACGAGAAGGAGATCCAGACTGATGAGAAACACAAATGCACATTCTTTGAGAATGTTGCTTTTCTGGAAATCTCTAATCTTGACAGTAAAGATAGCGGCAGCTATACCTGCATCGCTAAAAACAAAGCGGGATCTGTCCAGTGCTCTGGGATCTTATTTGTCAAAGGTTTGGACACACCTCAGTTTTGTGATATTTCAGTTGGTGAATGTGTCGGGATGTGTCTCTGCATTACGTATGTGCAGCTCTTACATACACTCATTATGTTTTTCTTCCAGAACCACCATGTATTATTGAAAAGCCAGAATCCATGAATGTGTTGCCTGGCTCAAAGGTCCAGTTTAATGTACTGGTCTCTGGTACAGCACCACTAAAGATCAAGTGGTTTAAAAACAAGAAAGAGCTTTTATCGAGTGCTGACTGCTCCGTGATCAAAGACAACACCTCGAGCACACTGGAGCTCTTTTTTGCCAAAACCTCAGATTCTGGAGACTACATCTGTGAAATACAGAACGATGTGGGCTCCACGTCGTGTCAGGCAGCACTCTTTGTCAAAGGTCATCATTGATTATGTGAAACTGAGTCCATACATACTGTGTCTCCTTCCCTCTGTTGTTAGGGTCATTTCAAAGTCAGAATTGAACTTCTCACTTCACACCAACCCTTCACTTTCTGATAGAGACTATGCTTCAATGGAAGTCATTTTTTGTAACAACTTTTTCTTATCAAGCGTCTCCTACTACACTGCCCTTGTCCTTTAGATGCAGGGGGGACAGTTTAGTCCCCGTCTATATCCAAAGTATGATTGACCTCTCCTTTGAAAACCGTAGGTCACATTCTGGCCAGGTTTGGTTGCTGGTTTGAAAGAGGTTTTAAGTGGCCTTCTCTGTTAAGTTTCAACAACTTTTATTCTGAACAGAGATTGATGCCTCAGGCACCAATTATCACCAATTTACAGACACAGGCACAGTTAATCCGCTAGCAAAGATGCAAACTTTGATAGCAGTTAATCAGCTAGGTTCATCATTACTTGAAGTTAATGTTAACTGATATTACGGTTCAAGAGTGAGCATGTAAACTGGCTACTTTCAGCAGAATGTGTCTGCGGTTGTTGTCGTAACAGACATGTATGATTGGTATTTTTGACCTTACAATAGAAAAATAAACAAAGCATCATTCTTTAGGACACTTTCCGTCTTCAACATTGGTTGTCACTCCGATAACCACAGAAGCATTCGGTTAAAAGTCGCCAGTAAACAAGGTCACGCTTTAAACCCTAACACCGTTATTTGGAGTTCTTAAGAGGCCATGATGACTTAGAAAACTCAAATTACACTCGTGTCTGTTTTAGAAATCTACAAATAATGGAAACCTTTTGGATATATCACCAAGCAACATTTGGAAGGAGACATACATTGCCTACTTTAAGTTCCATATGTTCCCTTTGTTGTTTAGCCGATGATTACATCTGCTATTTCATTTTGTTTCTCAGAGCCTCCCAAATTCACAAGAACCCCCGACCGTGTTTCTGTGGTCCGTCCTGGTCAGAGTAAATTATTTGAGTGTCAGGTGACTGGCACACCTGAGATAGACATCTACTGGTTCAGGGAGGGGTCTGAGATCAGCCCCAGTGATAGATACAAGATGGCTTTTGTTAACTCTGTTGCAACTCTGGAAGTCTGTGGAGCAGAAACTAAAGACAGTGGGCTTTACTACTGCGAGGCTCGCAATGAGGCTGGAAGTGAGAGCTGCAGCATGGAGCTCAAAGTCAAAGGTCAGTTTAATCAGCATAGCATGCTCATTCTGCAGGACTTTAAAGAATATAGGGTGAAAGGATTGGTTTCCAAATCAAGGCAGAGGCCTCGTTGTTAAGATTACCTGCAGTAGAATTTTGTTGTTCTTAAAGCTAAATGATAAAAAGCTTTAAAATTAGAGAACTTTGCTTTCAAATAAAGAGCTAGTGAAGTCTATTTCATGCCATCAAGGTTACAATTATTTTCTCTTATCTCAGAACCACCATCGTTTGTTAAAGAGCTTGCTCCAGCTGATGTTGTCAAGGGCTCCAGCGCCTGCTTTGAGTGTCAGGTTGCTGGGACTGGTCCATTTGAGATTACATGGCACAAAGATGCTAAAGAGATCAAACCCAGTGCCAAACATTGCTTCTCCCAAATGAATGACACTTTGGTTCTGGAGGTGCACAAATGTGACAAGGTAGATGTCGGTGAATACCAGTGTACTGTTTCCAACGAGGTGGGAAGCTGTACTTGTAAGACTACATTAAACCTCAAAGGTTGGTCTAATCAGCATTACACATCTTAATTTTCATATTTTGGGGAAATACTTGACCTGTTTGACTTTTCAATGGTTGTCTCTGATAGAACCACCAACATTTACCAAGAGAATTGAGAATACTGCCACCGTCCTGGGTAAAACGGCAGATTTTATGTGCGTTGTCAAGGGTTCTCCAACTCTCTCTGTACAATGGCAAAAAGATGAGAACTGGATTTTGGAGGATTCAAAGATTGAAAGGACATTTGAGAATAATGTAGCCACTCTCAGGATTCTGTCCTGTGAGACGATGCATAGTGGGAAATACACCTGCCAGGTGGTAAATGAGGCTGGGCAGGAGAAGTGCTTTGCCACCCTCACAGTGCAAGGTATACCTATACTTAAATACTCAGCTACCAAATATTTCCATGCTTTAAACTAAGAACGTGGAAACTGAAGAAATGTTTGACTTTGCTTTGCATTGTAGAGCCCCCTAAGATCACAGAGAATCCCGAGATAATAAAGGTTACTGTCGGAGATCCCATCAGTATGGACTGTAAGGTAACAGGCTCCCCTGAGCTCAAAGTGAAATGGATGAAAGATGGCAAGGAACTTCAGTCCATCAGGCAGCACAAGCTGACCTTTGAGAACAACATGAGCAGCCTAAAGATTCAGTCTGTTCAGCGACAGGACGAAGGAGAATATGTCTTTGAGGTGGCGAACCACATCAGTAGCTGCACCTGCAAAGTCAAAGTGATCGTACTAGGTTGGTGTGAAAAAACATAAACCTTCTGTGGTGCACAGTGACTTCATAAACAATGTTTAACTACTTTTAATTCTTTTGGTCACAGAACAAGTAATTCCCCCAAGCTTCATCAAACCACTTGTAAACATGCAAGAGATATTGGGCTCATTTGTTCAGATCTGTTGCAAAATATCTGGCTCCCTCCCCATATCGGTGGAATGGCAGAAAGACGGAACCAAAATCTCTAGTGGGGTGAAACATAAACTCATTCAGCAGGACAATTCTGTGTCCATTGAAATTGAACAGCTAGAGAGATCTGACGCAGGATCTTACTCTTGCAAACTGACCAACGCAGCTGGAAGTTGTGAATCCAGTGGATCCCTCATGGTCAAAGGTTAGACAGTGCTTTCCAAAATGATGTTGTATAATCCTAAACCAAAGGTAAGTACCTCTTTAACTTGATCTTGTCCTCTTCAGAACCTCCCAGCTTTGTAACAGTGCCTGAGTCGCAAGCGGCTGTTCCCAATGCCACTGTGCGCTTCAAAGGCACATTTAAGGGAACACCTCCATTTACGATCAAATGGTTCAAGAACGACACCGAGCTCATGACTGGGCCCACCTGTTTCACGGGTCTGGATGGGCAGTCTTGCTTCTTAGAGCTCTTTTCAGTGGGTGTCACCCAGAGTGGAGTTTACTCTTGCCAAGTCAGTAATGATGCCGGCTCTGTACGCTGCAGTGCAGATTTGACTGTCAAAGGTTGGATTGAAATCTTCTAAAGCAATTCTTGCGTGGCTGTTTTTATCGCATACTTTGTCTCTGGCTATGATGAGTAATTCTCTGCATCTTTTAGCTTTGCAGCATTTTCACTGTTATTTGAAAACTTGTTCCTTTCTGCAGCTTCATACCAAGACCTGTTTGTTGCATTTGTGATGAACATGCATTTCAAACAGCTATTCTGTTGCTAACCGACCATTGTCAGCTCATCCCTGCTTATCTCATCACCTCATGTCCTGCCTTTCATAATCATTTATCTGAAGTGCCCTGTACCCTTACAAGAGCTAATATACCTGTATTTTGGCTTTCAGAACCACCTGAATTTGTGCTGAAACTCCCTGCCACTAAGTTTGTGAGGCAGGGAGAGTCACTCCGTCTGGAGTGCAAAGTCAGTGGCACAACCCCTTTGACAGTGACCTGGTACAAACATGAAACCAGGGTCACAGACGGGGGCAACTACAAGACATCATTTGTTGACTCAGTAGCAGTCCTGGAACTGCACTCCTCGAGCTTTGATGATGATGGAGTGTACACCTGTGAAGCTCAGAATGATGCTGGCAGTGTCAGCTGCAGCACCACACTTTCTGTTAAAGGTCAGCCTCTCACTGACTTCCTCATCATTGTTCATTATCCATGATCTGACTTCCTGTTGCACTGCCTGTTCAGTGAAATTGAAGCTTTAGTTTTGTTGAACTGCTTGAAGCTGGAACACGTAACATTTACTAAAGTCCTTCATTCATCAATCTTTGCGGTGCACTACCCTTAAATGCTCTGGTTGGCAACTCTACCTTGACCTTCCCTTCATTCCACCACTGACAAATATCCATAAGCTTGTTGGGTTTGGAGCCAATGCAAATAAACCAATCCTGGAACATTTTCAGTTTCTGCAGATTCTCAGCCAAATAAAAAGCAGGATACACAACCATCCACAACCACTTATCCATTATAGCTGTATTTCCAACAAGGTTCCACTTTAAATGAATAATGTTTGTTCTAACTGTAACCAATCTAGTATTTTAACAGTCTTTAGTCTACAGTACTTCGATATCTTATCTCAGGCAATGCAAACGTTTTAGCTAGTTCTTTGCAACTTTCAGAAGTTGGTCATCTGGACTGTTGCCTCTCAACCAAACTTTCTTTATATTAGCTGTAGTTCCTTCCTAACATCATTCCACATTAATCTATTGTCTTTGTTGTAGTTTCAACAATTTCCACGTCCACCCTTAAACCCTTTAATCCATCGACCCACCACATTAACTTGGCTAAAATGGCTTATTAATATACACTTAAATAACCATGCCATCTTAAATTCAGCTCTAACAAATTCCCAATGCTGCTTCACCTTGTGTGCTACAGTTTTATTAAACACTCACAAACTAGCCATCTGGACAGTTTTCCTGTCCTACCCCATAGAAACCTTTTAAAAACCAATTACTGATTATTTTCATTCACTCTGAATTTCCATCAATAAAGTAAGTATCCATTCAGCCAGTCATCCATCCGTCCAGCAAGTCATCTATCAATCCATCCATCCATTCATCTATCCATCCATCATCCATCCATTAATCCATCCATTTATCATCTATCTATCCATCCACTTTTTCTTCCTTATTGTTCCATAACTCTTGTGCTCTACTACCAATGTTCCTCTACAATAGCTTAGTCAGCCCATCTCAATATTATCTACAACTAAACCTAATTAACCTCACCAACAAATGTCCAATGTAAGTTTTAAGTTTAGTCTAACTTCTTAAACTTAGTTCTAACCAACATTTCCATGTCAGCCAATTGGACTGTAATACAAATCCATACTTCTAACAACTGGACTCAACTTTTCCCAGTTTGCTTCTGAAGCAAACTCAGCAGCTGTTACATCAAATTACCAAATTATAATAATTTTGTAATATACCCGTATTAATGGGACACTCTGAAGTCCTCCATCTGGATTATAGTTCATACAAATTCCCTCTGCGTCTCTACTATGTTATCTCTAACAATTGAATCTTCAGAGGTCCGCCACTTTAACTAGCCTATAGCTCCAACAACATCCCATTGCAACTTACCCAGGTAAGCCACAGTTCTCTTTAAATTGACAAGTTAGCCTCCTGGACCTCCAACAACCTATCTTACCGGTAGTTCCAACAAATTCCAGGAGTCCATCTTCTTTCAACAACTCTGTCATCTCAACTCATCCCAGTCCACTAACTTGATTGTCCCATCTCAACAACCTTCCACGTTAATCTTGTCATGTTAGCTTAGCTGTATCCATTAAAACTCCTGAAGTCTAGCCAATAATTACAATTCAGCAGCCTTAAGAGCCATCCCAATAACCATCCACAACCACTTTGCCACCTTAGCTTTGGTCCAAACAACCTTCCACTGCAACTTAAACTCTAAATAGTCGTATTCCCATAAACATGCCAGAAAAAAATGTGCAGGTTAATCTACAAATTCAAATTTTACCAACATTTTTGCCATGTTTGTAACTCCAAACAATCAACTCCGACAAACCCTGTCCAGCAAACTTCCGAGCCAACTCTGGCCATCTTAGCTGTTGTTCTTTTACCAATCCAGAAAGTGACAACACATGAAATGTTACGGGTTTCAGCTTTGAGCTATCATTATGGATTATTTCCAGTGTTTGCCCATTTTTAACAGTTTCCTGATCTTTTTGTAGAACCGCCATGTTTTGTCAAAGTACCTCAGCCCATTGAGGGGCTGAAGGGTAAGGACGTGAGTCTGTACTGCGAGATGAGCGGTACAGCTCCGTTCCAGATCACCTGGTTCAAAGACAGGAAACCTCTGATGGAGAGCAGGAAGTATAAGATGGTGAGCGAAGGCAGCTCGGCAACGCTGCATGTCATTGGGATAGAGCCTACGGATGCCGGCGAATACGAGTGCAAAGTGTCAAACAGTGTAGGAAGCGAAACCTGCCAGACGTCAGTTAAACTCAGAGGTCAGTAGAAACTGAAAATCATTAGTTTTAGATTTTCAAATGACCTTGTCACATTGCTGACTTTGCCTTTTGCGCTGTTTTTCTCCTCTCTTCAGAGCCGCCGTCGTTTGTGAAGAAACTGTCAAACATGACGGTGATACTGGGAGAGGAGGTGACCCTTGTGGCCACTGTTAAAGGCTCTGAACCCATTACTGTGTCCTGGGTTCAAGATAAGGATCACATTCTCAGGGACGGTGACAACAGGAAAATCACCTTTGAGAACAACAAGGTCGCTCTTAAAGTGTTTAAGGCTGATGCAACCACTGCAGGCAAATATACGTGCCAACTCAGAAACGATGCTGGGAGTGTGGAGTGTTTCGCTAACTTGACTGTTCTAGGTTTGTAATCATATAATTCTCTCTTTCTCTTGCAGTTTTGCTTTCCTTCTGCAGGTCTGATTAAAAACCCTCTCTCTGCTCCTTCTCTGTTGATTCCAGAACCTGCAAAGATCGTTGACAAGCCGGACACCCTGAGTGTGACTGCAGGTGATATCGCCGCCCTAGAGGTCAAAGTGTGTGGCACCCCAGAGCTGACGCCAAAGTGGTTCAAGGACGGCGTTGAGCTGGCCTCAGGGAGGAAATACAAAATCTCCTTTTCACGGATGATCTCCAGCCTGAATGTGCTCTCTGCAGAGAAAGTGGATTCTGGAGAATATACGTTTGAGGTTATGAACCAGGTCGGAAAGGATCTGAGTAAAATCAATCTCACCGTTCTAGGTTGGTGTATTCTTCGATCAACAGGGTTGGGTTTGAATGGAATACCTGAGGTTTGGCATAAATACCTGAATGAATGTTACAACCTTTTTATGCCTTAATTTGAGAAAGAGTCTCATGGATTTCCAATCAATTATTTTCAAATCCAAAGGTCCAATCGGTAAGATGTGTAGTGAGTGAAATGATAAAGTGACCTTACTATATGATCAGATGTAGGAAACATGCTATGTTGAAGTGCTGGCTTCTCTGACAACAATGCAGCAGCCAGTATGTCCTCCTTCTAACTTTAGATTCTGGTCCTGAATGCTCTGGATTTGTTTGGACCAGAGAAGGTAGGCGGTTTTAAGGCCCCCCCACGCGGCCATTTTGGACGCCCCTCGGTTTGCCAGATATGAGACCAGTTATCAGATCAAACCAACAGGTGTTGCAGCGATGGAAGCTGGCAAGAGAACTGGTTCAGATAGAAGTGATTGTACCCGACCTAAAAAGCCTCTGCATGTTTCTAATAAGCTCCACAAGCAGAAACGTGTTCAAACTAGGATCAATATTGGAGATGCTTTTAAAAAATGGAGAGAGGTTAGAACGCAGAAAGGTTTACAGACCGATGCAGAGCTGGATAAACACTGAAGCTTCAGTGTCCACCACATGGCAACCTGCATTAACATTGACTCTAGAGAAGAGGGGGCGGGGGGAGACAGCTCTCTAAAGTGTTTTGAATTTGGACTGCAGTACCCATTTTAAACACTAGGGGCCTGATTTACTAAGATCCCAATGAAAGAGTACTAAATTGCATGTTCGTTTCAACAAATTGCACGTTTGGTTGGTGGGCATTTTGCGGGTGATCTACGAAGAAAATTTGCGCGAATGACACCAGGTTTTTTGCGTGTTCTACTGGTTTATGTCATGGAGAGTTTTGACGGAAAGCAGGATGACTGCAAGCGCAAAATGGGTATCAGTGGAAGAGGCATTAAACATACAGTATATTTGAGTTATAGCAGATAAAACTGAATATTACAAAAAGAAAATTTGGCTTATAAGAAAACCTCAGCATTAAACAGGGCCTCTCTTTTCTTCCCTCCATCTTTTGAAGATGAATTGTCATAAATTGCGCAGAAGGTGTGAGCTGTCTCCTCTGTGGTGCTCAGGCACAACACTCGGCACACTGTTGCGCACAAGACAGGTGGCCAGTGCTGTGTCTGATCGGACATTAATGCTCTGGCAAGAGGTATGGAAGATGGGGGTACAAGCAGTGGGGAGGTCCCCCCATCCAAGCGTAGCAGCAGCGGGCTGTAGAGGGAGGAGACGCGCACACTATGGAGAGGAGCGCACCAGAGGGCACAAGCCGGGGGAGAGATGCGCAGCTTGAGTAAAAGGAAATCCCCAGTTTAAAATATAATGTTTGTGAAATGAGGGAAATAGGAAGACATAAATATCAATGTTGAAATTCTTTAGAATGCAGAGGCTGTGAATGTTCAGTTTTGTTGGCTAAAAATAAGTAACATAATAATACATAATTAACATGCTTGGGGAATAACGCAATCTGTATGCCTTCTTGGATTGTGCTAATGTCTCCTCCTAACTTCAATAACAGCAGCCTGTTGTGCGTAACAATGGTATCCTGGATTAGCACGTTCTTTTCAAAAGTTTTAAATACAGACACCTTCACAATCACCACAAATTTTGCCAGGTTTGGTAAATTGCAATGCGTGTACTAACTTCAGTTCTTTGCATTTTCTCCTCCCAGTATTTTGCACGCTAAGGCAGAAACGCCCCATATTGCATATTCATTAAGGCAAAACATACTAAATGGACATTGCGTGTTGTTTTGCTCATATGAAAGATGCAATCCTCACTGCGCGCCGTTAGAAGATCAGATAGCACATTTTTGCTGGTAGTATCAAGTTTTCACACGTTTTAAGACACGCAAACCTTTAGTAAATCAGGCACTAGGGGTCAGAGTTACATATTGCTCCTTTAACAACAGAAACCATGTTTTGGGCATACTGGCTACTGCAAGCAAATGTCCAATAACTTCCCATAAATTATGAATAAAACACAAATTAAACTGACAACATGAATAATAAACAAGCTTAATAATCCTCCCAGATATTCACTTTGAGCTTTTTCAGTTCCTGAAGTAGTTGAAATGTTTATGTTCATTCCTAAAATTTTTGAGGATTCACACCCAGCCCTTTGTGTGACAGAACATTTACACGTATTTATCCTGAAGAAATACTAACTCCTTGTTTTTCTTTGACAGATAAGATCATGCCTCCGAGCTTCTCGAGGAAGTTGAAGGATTGCAACACGGTTGTAGGAAACGTTGGTGAAATGGAGTGCAAAGTGTCAGGCTCCCCACCTTTCACCGTCTCATGGTATCACGACGGGGCGGAGATACAGACAGGACCGAATTACGACATTTCATTCAGCGACAACAACTGCACGCTCAAAGTGCCCACGCTGAAGCTGTTGGACTCTGGAGTGTATAAATGTAAAGCTGTCAACAAGGCAGGCTCCAGTGAAACCTCGGCCTCTTTGGTCGTCAAAGGTCAGCAGACACTGCACACGCTTTGTTGTGTTTTATTTACTCACAGACGCTGGCGATTGTTTTCCTGCTACTTTCATTCATCTCAGAAATATGAACTCATAAACGTGTTGAATGCTTTCTTTTCCAGGGAGAAGATTTGTGGCCGTTTATAGATTTTATGTTGCTATAGAAATACTGTAGTTTTGAAAATGTCAAATTAGATGATGGAACATAAAGTGTGGACATAAATGACTGCTGCCCTCGAAATCCAAAAACGTTCTTTCACCTCCTCGCCATGTTTACTAGTTTGCAGCTTCCTGTTTGCTGCTGGCGAGACCGCTCCTACAATTTGCATGAGACCGGACTAAAGACGATTTTATTAAACGTGTTTGATTTATCGTAACGCCCAGATGAGAAACAAACCAATCAGATTGAGTAATAAAATGACCTCACAACAAACGAGCGGGATCATGAGAGCACGCCCGACTCTAACAAAACTCTCAGGATTTTATTCCCACTTTTCCCTCGTTTGTTTGCGACTTTGAAATGGCTTGAAGTCATTTGGTGTGAGACAAGCTTCAGTTAAAAGCGAGACCGCCCCTTGTACCTTTCTGACTTCAGAGAGAGAACGTCGACTCTCTTGGTTTGCCTCTCATCATCATCAGGACGCTATCTTTCAGAGATTCTGTCTGAACACAAGTTTACATTTAAAAGCAGAATGGAGAAATATTATTTAGGGCGTCTTTTAGGTTATACTTCCACTCTTTCAACCAATAATGTTTGAGCAGGTTCTGGGTCTGTGCTGGAAAATAGCGGGAAAGAAACCGAATCTTTGAACCAATGTAGCGTAACACGATTGGCTGGATGTTGGTTTGAATTGATCGAGAATCGATTGCTATTCCTTAGATTTAAGTTAAATCCAAATTTTTAAACACATTCAAACATTAGATGACAGACTCATTTTGTTATTGATTTAAACAAACTCATATCACATCTTCTCGTCACACCGACTCTTAACTCTTAAGTTAAGACTCTTAAGTTTCTGGTTTCTCAGAGGAGGAGGTCTCATCTTGGGGGGGGGGGGTTATTGAACATCTGCTGTCCAAACCGGACGCTTCAAACTTCTGGGAGTCGACCCCAGAGGCTGCACCGTGAAGACAGCAAATTTATCAAATCAATTCATGAGAAATAAAATAAAGAATCAAAACTTCTTTGATTACAAAAAATCCAGCACTGCCAGGATCCTGATCCTACACGCATCCTGTACTTAAAGAACCGCTCGACCTACAAACCCACAAAAGACACCTCCGATCTGCCTACACCCACCGCCTCCAACCCCCCAGGACTAAACTCTGCTCTACAGGGGACAGAGCCTCCCACTCTGCTGCCCCAATGCGTAATACTCTCCCTGACCACCTGAGGGCCCTACAGACTGGTTTCAGGACCTCCCTCTCTTAAATCCTCTTCTCTGAGATGTTTTATGTCCATGTTTGTAACTCTGTTTGATTTTAGTTGTTGCTTTTAGGCTTTTATTCCAAATTGTAGGTCTTTGAGATTTCAAATGTAAAGCACGTTATGAATAAAATGTATTATTATTGATTGTTTTGGCTCTCTCTCTCTCTCTCGTCTTATCTCTGATCTCGTCCCTCTTTGCAGAACCTCCGTCCTTTGTGGTACCTCCTCAGCCCGTGGAGGCCATGCCTGGCTCCAACGTGACCTTCTCGGCCATGGTGAAGGGCAGCGCCCCCCTCAGGCTGAAGTGGTTCAGAGGCACAAAGGAGATCGTGTCTGGACGGAGCTGTAACTTCTCCCTGAAGGAGAACCAGGTTATTCTGGAGCTGTTCAACGTGGACAGCTCTCAGGCAGGAGAGTACACCTGTCAGATCATTAACGACGCAGGGAAAGAAAACTGCCCTGTTCTCCTCGCCGTCAAAGGTCAGTCTGAGGTCAAATCCTTCTCACTCTTATTATTTAAGTCAGCAATCTCCTGAATGCTCTGGATTTGTTTAGACCAGAGAAGGTAGGCGGTTTTAAGGCACCCCCACATGGCCGTTTTGGATGCCCCTCGGTTTGCCAGATATGAGACCAGTTCATAATTAAATGGCATCTTGGACTTCTTCACGGAGGAGGATCAGGGCCAGACCTGAGGAATGAATCATTTTCGTTTTTCTGCACTTCAAGAAAAAAGTCCAAATGTTTGGATTCAAGTTGAAAAGCAAAAGAGTGCGTTCCAACTTTGTTCCCAACATTTCAGCGTTAGCTTTTTTTCAAATCAGTGCGTTCGACTAGGAGAGGAGGCGCTTTAGGAAACAGTCACAGTGACTTTTTCAGCCATACACTGAACACATTGTAATACTTTTTTACGGCCACCAGGTGTCGCTGTGTTCACTGAGAATAAAACTTCATCTGTCAGTCATTAAACCTCTGGAGCTTGTCTTATAACATTAAAACAATTTAAACTAGAAAATCATAAATTCAACATTTGACATAAAAAATAACAAATACTGTCGTCTCCACAACAACTGCCGTCCTCAATCATGCAAGTCCTGCTCCGACCTCCACCTCAGCGGCGAGGAAGTGTGGACAACAGGAACGAGAGGAATACAAAGGAGAAATCAATTTCACTTAATGAGAGGTCCCGCTCTCTTTTCTAAAGCGTGTGAACGCAAACGGCCGCATTTTTCACACGGACTTTACCCGGAGTTTCTCCGGCCAGACCCCTAGTATTTTTTCCACAGAAAGTCCGAGTGAACTGATGTCTGAACATGGCAGCATATACTCCGGAGAGCTCAACTTGAGCCAATGGGAAGAGAATGACATTTATATACAGTGACTGTCTAAAGTGTCTGCACACGACCACTACCTCCGTGCACGTAATTAAACGGCTGCATTATGTTTTCTGTTCGTCATTATGTTGTTCTCCACTTTTTTGTGGATGTTGTCTTTCCATTGGATTACACATAGCATTGATATGAAGGCAAATATTCTCATTATAGCGTCATGTAGCGGACTTGTGCTTCTGCCGCTACTTCCGCGTTGTTTATTTACGTCACATCTTACCTCAGGAAATCCCCCGATCCCCCTCCCCTCTGACAGGGATAGTCTCCAGCTGTGAGGAGCATATATGAATGGCTAGGTCGGGAAAATCTCCGGAGCAGTCCTCCTGTAATTATCTAGATATTATCCGGAGTGCATATGTGAAAACGACTTCAGATTCAGGGATTAAAAATGAGCTCTGACTCAAAAAGCTAAATCTTAAATAAAAAAATAATAAAAACGTCAAAATATTGTATTTACGAGGAGAGAAACGTCAACATGTGATCCTTTCTGACATCAGAATGTAAAAACAGGAAATGTTGCAGGACTTCTTCCTCACTCTCTGATTAAAGTGCAAATTACCGTCTCAGTCTGCGAGGGAATGGAGGAGACACTCATGTCGTTTAGAGGTCGCTGGACGGGGATCAGCGCTGACCTTTAGTGCCAGATGATGGAGTTCTTTATGTGACTGTTCACAATGATCATCATTCTTACTGACGTCAGATCTGTCTCACCTGTGAATTATTAAACATCATTAAGATAATATTCTGATGTGAACATGACCTTTGTGTCCCTCAGAGCCCGCGGTGTTCTCCAAGAAGCTGAAGGACGTGTCGGTGGAGAAAGGCAAACCTTTGACTCTGGAGTGCACGTACAGCGGGACTCCTAAAATCACCGTGAGCTGGTTCAGAGACGGCCAGCAGATCTTTGCTTCTTATAAATACAACATCACCACGACGGAGAGCTCGTGCCTCCTCGAGTGTCTGAGCACTGACGACAAGGAGGCAGCGGGACGCTACTCCTGTGAGGTGTCCAATGATGCTGGACGTGACACGTGTGAGGCCACCGTGTCCATCCTCGGTCAGTAAAAAAACAATAACAGTAACTCTTCTGGTCAAATATAAACATACAGGAAACGTCTGCACAGAAACAGAAACCTGTTTGTTTTTAAGGAAAGTCGTGACATTGACATCCACACAGCTGGTGCAGTACCTGCTCTGACCAGCAGGTGTCACACTTTCACACTGATGTTTCCTGCTGTTAAACCTGCCTGTGTTTGTCCCCTCAGAGCCACCGTACTTTGTGGAGTCCCTGGAGTCGATGGAGGTGACGGCGGGAGACGCTGTGTGTCTGAAGTGTCAGGTGGCGGGCACGCCTGAGATCAAGGTGTCCTGGTTTAAAGCTGACGGTAAAGTCCGCTCCAGCCCCACCTGTAAGTTAGAGTACTCGAAGGGCGTGGCCTGTCTGAAGCTCAGCAAGGCCACTAAGAGCGACATCGGAGAGTACACCTGCAAGGCAGAGAACCCCATAGGCTCCGCCTCCTCCACCTGCAGGCTCAACGTGCTTGGTAACAGCTGGTCTTAAAGTATAAAATGGAATTCTATAAATGTGATATTAATCTAACGATCCATCCTGAACTCTTCACTCCCGTCTCTTCCTCCTGCAGAGGCTAAAACTCCTCCGTCCTTCCCGAAGAAGATCACCAGCCTGCAGCAGACGGAGGGTCTGCCCGTCAGGTTCGAGTGCCGCATCGCCGGCTCCTCGCCCATCGAGGTGTCCTGGCTGAGAGACGGCGAGCCTGTGAGGGAGGGAGACGAGTTCTCCATGACGTATGACGACAACACGGCCGTGCTGCAGATCGGCAGCGGGGAGATGAGGCACTCCGGAGAGTACACGTGTGTCGCCACCAACAGCGTGGGCTCCGCCTCCTGCAGGGCCAAACTTACTCTGCAAGGTCTGTGATGAAAAACAACAGGAAGCAGGGACAACAGACTTAATTAACACAAGAATTTGTGCAGCTAAATTTGATCATGATCAAAGTGTGTCCACTCAAAGTTGTGTTTGTCCCTGACAGGCTCCGGTTGTTAATCTAAGAGTGTGACATCATCACAGAAAGGATCCCGACAGAGAGTCCTGTTAGGCCAAATGTGTTGTTCTGAATGTGGTGTGTTTGTAGAGTGTGATGTCACAGCTGTTTGTGGTTAAAAACAAAAAGCTCTCGCTCTGACGGGATCCTTCCTTGATGATGTCACACTCTTAGAATAACAACCTATAGAGTCTTTGCATCCTCATGTTCCTGTCAGACTCTGTGGGTCAGTGTCAAATATTTTTTGATCTAAAGGTTCTTCTTCTTGTCTCGTCTTCTTCCTGCTCCGTCACAACCTCCTCAGAACCACGATACCCCCCAGTCTTTGACAGGAAGTTGTCACCACAGGAGGTGACGGTGGGCGACAGCATTGAGCTGGAGTGTCACATGAGCGGCTCCGCCCCCATGAAAGTCACATGGTCCAAAGACCATAAAGATATCCGCTCAGGGGGAAATTATAAGATGAGCTGTGTGGAGGACACGCCCCACCTGACCATAGTGAAGGCCGATAAAGGCGACACGGGCAGGTACTTCTGTCACGTGTCTAACGACGTGGGGAAGGACTCGTGTTCCTCTGACATCACGGTCAAAGGTATTTAACCTGGGTCACACTGGGGTCACCTGACCCTCTCTTCTCTAACCCTGAGCCCCCTGTGAGGGCGTTTCTTTGCTAACACTTCACGTCACTTTGTTCTTACAGAGCGTAAAAACCCTCCCGTGTTCACTAAAAAGCCCTCCGAGAACATCGAGGACTTGGAGGGTAAGCTGGTGAAGATCGAGGGCCGCGTGTCGGGCTCTCAGCCCATCTCAGTGAGCTGGTTCAGAGAGAACACGGAGATCCACAGCTCCAACAAATACGACGTCAGCTTCAAGAGTAACGTGGCCGTGCTGTGCATTAAGAGCAGCCAGGTGACCGACAGCGGCAGGTACTCCTGCCAGGCTTCAAACGAGGCAGGACGCGCCTCCTGTGACTTCAGCGTGGGGATCTCAGGTGGATCTGAGTGCACCACATGTTCCACTCCTCACACGCTCACTCTGTGTTGCCTGCAGAACCAGACGCACTGTTCAGCTCCGCTGTGCTAACTCATGAACCAATCAGATCGTTTCGATCAGGGATGGTCAACTTTGGTCACAGAAGGGCCACATTCATTTGTCTCACTGCCAAATTATAGTTTCCAAAAATGATTACAGTCAATTATGTCTCAAATTAACTCAACATATACCAGTGATCAAATATTATTATGGACATAATTCTGGTTTTCATGATTTCTTTAATTGATATGTCAAAATTGAACTGAGGGCCATGTTGAGGGTTGATGGGGGCCGCATGTGGCCCCCAGGCCGCCAGTTGCCCACCCCTGGTTTAGATTATAACTAGAGAACAGCACAGATGTTTTCTCCTTCTTCTTCCTTAGGGTTTGATTTAATGAAAGCTGTCAGGGTGTGTAGGTAATCAATCAGTTTCCTTGTGACGCTGAACTCTCCTGGTTTCCATCCGTCCGTCAGACAAACGGTCGTTTAAGACTTCTTCTTCTTTAAGACTTTTTAAACTTCTTTTGGTCCGTTTCTGGATTTATTGTGATCCCAGCTCCGACAGAATAAATCTCCTTTTGAAAGATATTTTTATTTATTAGATTTCATGAATGTGGCCGTGACCTTCTACGTGGAGAGATCCAACCACGAGACGATGATCTCACTGTCATTAATAAATCTTTATATGAGAGACGTTGATTCTCCCTGATGTTAGCCGCTGTTCCTCTTATCAACATGAAGGACGTTTTTTTTTTTTTAAAGGAAACAAAAACACATTGAGTGTAAACGGCCAGTCGGTTCAATGAGAGATTAGTGATTCCGCCTGCTCTGTGATTGTCATGTTTCTACAAACAGAGCGAGCTGAATTTAAACCTGTGTGTCTGTCTCCTGCAGAGGCGAAGAAGCCTCCGGTGTTCGACGTCCCGCTCAAACCGCTGACCGTGGACGAGGGCGACAAGCTGAGCCTCAGGTGTCACGTCTGCGGCTCTGCTCCTCTGAAGATCCAGTGGATGAAGGACAGGAAGGACCTGATGTCCGGCGGCAGCACCAGTATCAGCTTCTGTGACGGCACGGCATGTCTGGAAATAAACTCTGCATCCAAACACGACGCCGGAGATTACCTGTGCAAGGCCAGCAATGAGGCGGGCAACGAGTTCTGCAAGGCCAAAGTGACGGTCAAAGGTACAGACTGTGTGATCGCTCAGGGGTCAGAGTGATGGATGTGGCGCTGCATGAATCAAAACGCCGCTCCATCTTTGACGTTTCATGACGTGTTAAATATTTTCTGCTGCAGAGAAACCAGGAGCAACGCTGCCTTCGTCTGAAGCTCCAGCTGCTTCGCCGACCAAAAAACTGGACAACCTGTTCTTCATCGAGGAGCCCAAGACCACACACGTCACAGAGAGTGAGACACACACACACACACACACACACACACACACACAAATACACACACACACACACACAAATACACACACACATCACAGAGAGTGAGACACACACACATTATGTACACAAAGAGCGGACTTTTCAGATTTCTGTTAATAGCAGTCTCTTTTCTATGACCTTATTTTCGACCCTCCTCAGAAGCATCACTCAGGTTTATTACTGAGTAGCTTCACACAAACCAAACAAAACACGGAGAATTAAAATAAAAAACAACAAAAGGAACAAGAAGACATCAGATCTTCATTCACACCTTTGAGTAAAAGTCGGGGTGTAAAGAAACTAAAGCAGCTGTCGACACTTCACAGAACCTGAATGTGTTTCAGAATAGCTACATGTCTCTTCTTTGACCACCAGGGAGCACTTCACATCAGAGTAACCATTATGAAATGTAGACCGACAACACACTCATTTCAGACTTCAGGTTCAGATCTGATTGATTTGAGAAACAAGAATAAAATATCTATTACTTGAGCCTTCTTTGTCTCTTTAAAGTCAAAGTGACATTTCTGATTCTACTTTTGTCCTAACACCGCCCTCCTGCTCCTCCTCAGAGGGAACCGCCACATTCATCGCCAAAGTGGGCGGCGACCCAATCCCCAGTGTGAAGTGGATGAAGGGTAAGTGGAGGCAGATCACACACGGCGGCCGGATCTCCATGGAGCAGAAGGGCCAGGAGGCCAAACTGGAGATCAGAGAGGTGACCAAGTCCGACTCGGGTCAGTACAGGTGTGTCGCCTCCAACAAGCATGGAGAGATCGAGTGCAGCGCCGATATGCACGTGGACGAGAAGAAAGGGGCGGCGCTGCTGGAGGGAGACCTCAGGGCTAAACTGAAGAAGTGAGTTTATCTGACAGGACTACAACACTACTAGGGGGTTAAAGGCGTTAAAGGGCAGCTACAGTCTGGAGAGCAGCGGGGGTGTAATCATGTTTATCTAAAATATTAAAATAGCTCTAGAATAATTAGTAAACTTGAATAAGCTTCAGGTCGTACAGATTTTAGGGATATGAAGCATTTCAAAATGAGTAACAATACCTTCATTATCACCTCTTCTCAGGACACCATCGAAGCAGAAGAGTCCACAGGAAGAGAAGGACATCGACATTGTGGAGCTGCTGAGGAACGTGGATCCCAAAGAGTACGAGAAATACGCCCGGATGTACGGCATCACGGACTACAGAGGCCTGCTGCAGGCCATCGAGCAGCTGAAGAAGGAGAAGGCGGAAGAAAGTGGAAGACCGGTAACACTCTTGGTCTCACATGGTTTGTTTGGTGCAGGTCTCTGCAGACGTGGCTCTGACTGATGTAGGTTTTGTTGTGGTTGACAGGAACTTGAACGTGGTGACAGAGAGTCCGATGAGGACATGGCCCGACTGGTGGCCGACCTGCAGAAGAGGATGGAGCGCACAGAGGTCAGGATGGGTTCACTGTCTGTGGGGAACTCTAGCTTCACCTCAACATTACTTATCTAAGTGATTATTCTATTGTCCCTCCTGCAGCCTGTCACCGTGGTGAAGGACATATCCGATCAGTCTGTCTTGACCAACAAGGAGGCTGTGTTTGAGTGTGAGGTCAAGATCAACTACCCAGAGATCACCCTGTCTTGGTACAAGGGAACACAGAAATTGGACAACAACGACAAGTACGACATCAGCATCAGTGGTGACCGCCACCTGCTCAAGATCAAAAAGTGTCAGGCGTCCGACCAGGGCAACTACAGGGTGGTCTGTGGGCCTCACATCTCCAGCGCCAAGCTCACCGTCATGGGTCAGTACTGATGTCATCTCTAGAGCTCTACAACTTCTTCACACATACCATTGTTACATTATGAAAGTCATTTACAGCAACAATGTTTGCACAGTACAGAAAAAAACTCGGTAGTCTATAGCAGCATAACTAGGAGCTGCTCTAAGCCTGAGCCATCTTAAACTATAAGATTTATCAAAAAGAGAAGCTTTAAGCCTACTCTCATAAGAAGAGAGGCTGTCTGCCCCCCAGACCCAGACTGATAGATGATACCAAAGAACTGAAGGCTCTACCTCCCCGTACTATATTAGAGACTGCAGCCATCACAAGCAGGCCTGCATTCTGGGTGCGTCATGTTCTAGAGAGTGAATACAGTACTGTGGGTTCTTTAAGATAAAACAGAGCCTGAGCATATAGGGTAATTTAGTTAGCTAGACTTCCTCCATTAACAGCTAAGCAGACCTGTCAGAGAATCCATATCCAAAGGTTTCTCTGCCCATGGCTTACAACAAAAGAAAACTATTGAAACTGGAGTTATACTCACAGATGCATCTTCTTCTGTTTTCTGTCTTTCAGAGCCTGAGGTTGAAAAGCATCTGCAGGACACATCGGGTAAGGAAGGCCACTCGTGCACTCTTTCTTGTCAGTTGTCCATCCCTAACGTAGAGGCTCAGTGGTTTAAAAATGGCAAGCAGTTAGAGATGAAGGGCAGGTTCACGTCCGAGGTGAAACACAAGGTTCAGAAGCTTCTGATCAGAGACCTGAAACCTGAAGACCAGGGCAGATACACCTGCAGGTACCAACACCTGGAGTCCTCGGCCGACCTCTGGGTCGAAGGTTTGTACCCAGAAACAATCCTGCAACATTCTGGCGTGGTGGATGCCCATTAACTAACCTCTTTGGAACCCCCCCCCATCAAACTCCAAACTAATGTTGGAGATTTGGGTTTTACCCTCTTTTTTCTTTTTCTTCTGGGATTTGTCTTCCTGTGTTTTAACCTTCGTCCCGCCTCCCATCTCTCCTGGATTATCTTGCAAACACATTGCCATCTTCATCTCCATTGTTATCTTCCTAAATCCATCTTGACTCAACAATCCATCCTCCCCTCGACCAACGAGTCATCATAACGTCCCATAAATCCCCCTGTGCTCATTTCTAACCATGTGGATGTTGTGTCGATAAACACTACCATTACTTTCTGTCATACATTCCCAGCTGTTATGCGTTGACCCATTCACGTCTTATCTGTTTTAGCTGAACAAATTCATTTCACCAAACGCATCCACAACATTGAAGTCAACGAGCGCCAGTCAGCCACCTTTGAGTGCGAGGTGTCCTTCGACAACGCAATCGTGTCGTGGTACAAAGACACCTGGGAACTGAGAGAGAGCCCTAAGTACAACTTCACAAGCGAGGGCCGAAGACATTTCATGGTTATCCGAAACGTGTCCATTGAAGACGAAGGTGTGTAGAGTGCCATCGAGCCCCAAAATGCCGTCACAGAGAGATATTTTTTTCTCCTCATTGTTTTGATGACTTGAGTGTTAAACGTCTTCATTAATAATCCCGTGTAGGCGTGTACTCAGTGATTGTGAGGTTGGAGCCCAGAGGAGAGGCTAAGAGCACTGCTGAGCTTTATTTGTCTGGCAAAGGTACAGTTCCTAGTCAGACGACACCTTTTTATGCTTCTGTTCAGCTTTTGTCTGTTCTAGTGGTTAACACACTCTTCACTTTTCCTCCTTTTCACAGAAATTGAATTAGCAATGGTGCCATTTGGTAAGTATTTAATATCGCCAACAACTTTGATATTTATTTGAAACATTTCAGGAAATCCTCCTGGTTTCCGTCTTACTGCCACAGCTCGTTTTAGTTTATGCTAACATCAAAACTAGAAGCTGCTAGCTGTGTAGCGTGCTTTATAAATCAACTTTGACTTAAGGCTGAAGAAATTACTAGTTGGGGTTAACCAATGTGAAGCTGTGTTTCCTATAGGCTAATGATGACACATTGTCTATGTTGATAACATGTGAGATAGATCGTTAAGCAACATGCTAGCCGTTAAAATTTAAAAAAATGAACGGTTAGCTTGTGATCTACTTACTCTCAAATTTTTGTTGCTTTGCTCGTATATTTGACTTTTTGCTATTTAAAAAAAAAATTGGCTAAAGTTGAAAAGGGCAATGTTAGCATATCTGTCTCAAGGCTGTTTGTAGTTAAAGAAGGAGAGGTTAGCACAGAGTATGCTAGTTGTACTGTTATTGTCTGATGTTGTAGTTGTAGTTGTGTAGTTTATTGGTTCAGGTGAAATACGGTGAGTTAGAAAAAAAATGTTATGCTAGCTTTAAATAATTAGCTTAAGTTAAAATTATACTGTTGACATATTTAACATTACGCTATCTGTCAATAGCTAGCTGTACTTAAAAAGAGTTGCGTTAACAAAGCTCCCTCTATGCTAGCTGTAGCCTATGTAGTTGTCTGATGTTGTAGTTGCATTGTGTAGTTTATTGGTTCAGGCCAAACAATGTGTTAGTACTCAACGTTATGCTAGCTAATAAGCTAACATCACGCTATCTGTTTACAGCTAGCTGTAGTTAAAAAGAGTGGTGTTAGCATAGCTCACTCTATGCTAGCTGGTTGGTTCTTTCTGATTGGTTGTTTTTGAACTCTGGCTGAGTTGGTAACAGGAGGATTTTCTCTAATGTCAGCTGCTCGTTTAAATACAGAACAGTTATTGTCATTATCTATTCATGAATCTTTTTTAGTGAACTCCTTAAAAATCAAGACTCGGTATAAACCTTATTCATTATTCTGTAGATATCCCAGACTCCTCAGTTCAGAGGCCTGAAGTGCCTTCGTCTGTGGCGATTCAAGGTAAGATTGAAATCATTAGCCGCGCTTCGCTTACTTTCAGATTTACTAACATGTCTCTAACATGTGATTTAACTTCAAACGCCTCCAAAAGCCCCATCAGGAAGTCTCAACTTTAAAGAATCATATAACAGGAGAGTTCACAAACATGTTTCTGTCTTTAGAAGAATCTGCTGAATTCTATCAGTACGAAGAAGAGATCGAACAGAGAGGTATTTACTTTATGTGTCTGTACTTCCTCTGCTCACAGCCTCCATCACAGAGATTTTAAAGTTCATTTAATATTAACTCCTGATAGTCTGTAGTCATGTCTCTGGTAGTGTCCGAATAACGGAGGGAAACCTGTTTTTTGTTTCCTTAAAGAATCTGCTGAATATTCCTATCAATACGAAGAAGAGGTGGAGGTGGAGCAGAGAGGTACAACATGTTGTATTTCTTTTTTTCATGCAAACTTCATCATCATCATCATCATCATCAAATCTTCATCACCATCATTAAATCGTCTTCATCGTCATCAAATCATCTGAGCAGATCTGGGAAAACTCTTTAAATCCAGCCAAAGTTAATTTTTCTAAAATAGATTTATTGATTCTTGTAAAATCTTGAAAAAGAGGAAAGAACGATAAAACATTGTGTTGGGGGGCGCGCTGGTGGCGCAATGGTTAGGGCGCGCGTTCCATGTATTGAGACTCTCGTCTCGAACGGTAGGCCCGGACTCGCTTCCACCCGTGGCCCCTTTCCGCATGTCATTCCCCGCTGTCTCTCCCTGGTTTCCGACTCTATCCACTGTCCTCTCTCTGCATTAAAGGCACGAAAAGCCCAAAATAAATCTTTAAAAAAAAAAAAAAACATTGTGTTGGGTCAGCTCCTGCAGCCACATGTCCAAAAAGTAATTGAGCAAGACACTTAACCCTGAGTTGCTCCCGTTGCTTAATCGTCAGTGTATGAATGGATGAGTTAATACTGATGGACTCTTTACTCAGTAGCCTCTACCATCAGTGTGTGAACGTGTCGGTGTGACCTGCGGTGTGAAAGAGCTTTGAGTCGTCAGAAGGCGAGAAAAGAACGATACGAGCTCAAGTCCATTTATCATTTACTGTAAAAGCGTCGCCAGCAGGACTGTCGTTTTCCTTTGGTACAGCTTGCTCACCGGGCACTCTTCTCTGTTGCATGACACGTTTTTCCACTAAGTTTTTGTTGCACATAAAAGTTAAAACATCTTCAACTTTTCAGCTCGAGGAGCCAAGTTGCAGTGCTCGTCAACGTGACTTTTGTCTGACACAGCCAATCAAATCAAGCAGGAGGCTTTACCTCTCGCCTCGTCTCTGTGTGATCGGGCCCTTAGAGTACTCTCAGGTTAACAAACATTAAAGCCTCTTTGCATCTCCTTAAGTCGGTTAAATGGTCCAGATCGCACACAGCCAACTGAACATCTACCTTTGAAGGTATCGACTCTTAACGTCTTAGCGCGGCCTATCGTACAGCTCGTCATCTGACACTTTGCAGTCTGATAACTAATGACAGCGTGACCCTGCAGATGGACGTGTCATTAATCTCTTATCCGAGTCTTTGTTGACAGGAACTTAACCTCAGGAATCAAACAGTAACTTAAATTAATATAGAACTGAATTCATCACATAAAAAACATCAAAGTGATTTCCAGTTACTGAAGTGTTCTTTGCTAACGGGTCACCGTGCAGTTACCAAATCTGCCTTTGACTACATCATAACGTCATCTTGTTTTGCTGCCAGCGTAGATTTAACTTAAACTCTTCGTTTGGTTGTGTTTGTTGTGTCCGACTTTCAAGTGTTTTCATCTTTTTTTCATCTTTAACTTTAATCCCGTCAAAACACAAACTAACTTCCAATCAGATCGACATTTCACAGTCAAAGTCTTTTATCCCGTCGAGCTCAGCAGAAATGAGTTTCACTTCCTGGATGATATTTGGGATGCTGTCAAGTCTACACAAAGCAGCTACACACTGTTGTCATGTTTCATTTAAATGTTGTGGTTTAGTGTCTCTGATGTAAAATGTCTAGTCTTTGTTTTGCTGCTAAATTCCACCAGATGCGTCTCCGCTCCTCCACATCATAGGCTGAAATGTTTTTACTTTTTTTTTAGTAAGTGTGCTTCCTCTTGCTCCGCTGCGCTGCGTCTCAGCTCCGTCAGTCCGGAGTGTTATGGTTAGTACAAATTCTGGACCCAAAAGTACGACTCAGATAGGCAGGATAAAGTTATAAAAAATGTATTCCAAAAGTGACTTAAAAAGTGCAAGGGGAAGGGGTAGTGCGAGTTTCCAAGTGGCAGTGTCCGTGATCCCAGTGTGGTGTCCAAAAAGCACAGGTGACGTGAAGCAAAAACACGAACAGCAATCTGGCACAAGGTAGAGAAGAAAAACGGAGTTAGCTACACAAGCTATAACAACGAGAACTAGTAATCCAGAGAAGCCAAGATAGTACAATACCACGTGAGCTGGTGAAACAATCTGGCGCCGAGGTGAAGCAGAGGGAAGTCTTTGTAGTACAGATCCTGATGACCAACCTGGCACCGCCTGGGAACATGAACCCCGCCCACCACACTCACACAGACAGGGGGAGAGACACATGAGGATTTAACAGACAGGGAATGACAAACAACACCACAAAAGGAGAAGGGAGGGCTGCCATGATGTGAATCATGACATGGAGTCCTCTGCAGCAGAAACACAAAAAAAAAGAAACACAAGGTTTCTATCTCTGCAGGATGTCAGAGCACGGAGCATCAATTAACCACAGAGCAGATCGAGCAGGACAGGAAGTCAGACACAGAAACAACATTACAACATCCTATTTATTTTCAAAATAAAAGACTCCGATTAGACGGTTCAGAACAACAACCTCGTGTGTTTGTTGATGCGTTTATACAGTTTGATGCAACATAGATATTATCTCTCTCTGTCGCACGTCGGCGGTGCTGCTCCGTGCTGCGCTCTTTAGACGCAGCCGCTGGGTGCTGACAGACGAGGGAACACAGCGTCGTAACGGAGCGGGCGGACACGTATTTGGTTAGCTTGTCCGTCTTTGTTGTCACGTTTCTCTTCAGTCATTCTGCGTCTCTTTGTAGTTTTGTGTCACTTGTTGCCATTTCGGTGTCTTTGTATCCATAAAAGAACGCCGTGCTTCACTGTCCAGCTGAGTGAACTGAAGGTTCTCTGAGAAAAGACGGAGACGTTGTTGAACTGTGAAATGATGTCACATGTTTTTCTTTCCCAGAGCACACTGTGCCTCACGTTTGTTGTCTTTTGTCACTTTGTTGTTATCGAAACTTCAGTCGAGTATCAGAGCTGGACCGAAGAGACGGTAACACAGCAGGTGTCCACGACCAAAGGTATTAGATCTGACACACCTGTGTGTGTGTGTGTGTGTGTGAGCCATCTTCTCACCACGGCGCCCTCTTGGTGTCAGTCTGTAATCACGCCCTTCACCTCTGTGACTTTCTCTCCTCCTTGTTTCTAACCTCTTGTGATTCTTTAAACTGGGGCAGTCTGAGCTCCTCGTGGTTCAGACGGTCACTTTCGTTTTCCCGCTTTGCTTCTAAAACTTTAATATCTCGCCCAAATGCATGAGCGTACATCAGCCGAGGTTTTTCTAAATTTCTCTGTGCAGGCTCTAAACTGATTTATTTCTTATTTTCCTGAAACATCAAATGATTGTTCTTAACAGAAGGTAGAGAAGAGGATTCGTCCTGACTTCATGTTGCTGCACATTCTCGTTCTCCCCGTGAGATCAGGCGTGATGAGTGACTCTAAACATGATTCTGCTTTTGTTCATTTGTCTGTTTTTTCTCCATTAGCTGCCAGAGTCGCCGTCGAGGAGACAGTTGAGACGAAGAAGGTTGAAATGAGACAGGAAGTCCCAACCAAAGGTATGGCAGACCTGCGCACCGCCCTGCAAACAAAAAAGCTAACCCGCTCTGGTGTTCTCCATGACTAAAATCTTTGTTTTGTCCTCTTGGTATTGGTCTTGGTCTTTGCCCTCTTACAGAATCTTTAGTCAGCCTGAAGTAGACATTAGTCGCTTTTAGTCTGCGTTTCTTTGTGTTGCGCTTATTTGCATCACCTGTAAATGCACACAGCATCTCTCCTCTGATGCTAACACAGTCGGTGTCTTTTTAAGTTCCTAAAGCCGAGAAGAAGCCCGAAGAGAAGCCACCAGCAGCTGTGAAGGCGCCGTCTCCACCAAAAGGTACCGACACACCTGGCACCACCTTTCAGACAGCTCATATATATGTGATATTCTCCTCCGTAACCCTCTGTCACTGTTTGTATTTTGTGAGATTTGACTTGAAATCTGCTGGATTTTTAAAGTGCCGGAGGCCAAGAAGCCGGTGGAGGAAAAGGTTGCTGTAGTTTCAGTCCCAGAGAAGAAGGTTCCTACTCCGAAAGGTAGAGATGACTCCGAATGTCTCGCTGCTCACATCTTCACTCTTTGCTGATGTCACTGTCCTTCATGTCTGGAATCCTTTCTGATATGGTCTCTGTTATCTTTGAACGTGTGTTTTAATGTGTGTTTGAATGTATTTTAAAAGAACCAGAGGAGATTAAGAAGCCTGCTGCTCCCTCTCTGCCTGCTGAGAAGCCTGGAGTGCCAAAGAAAGGTATCTCACTTTGTTCTCTCTGTTGTGTAACATTTATATACTCACTGTGCTCACGACTGTGAAGCTTCTCACCTCTTCATGTCCGCCCGCTCTGGCGTTATCTTCAGTTTGTTATCTGGGATTGTTGATTTCTGAAGTTTGTTTCTGTGTAGAGTTTCATGTCACTCTTTCCTTCTTGATAACTCTTAAATTCTTCCACAACGTCATGCTAACATGAGCTAATGTGTGTGTTACCCACCTGAAGATGAGGCTAAACCTCAGGTACCGGCTGAGCCCAAAAAAGTGGCGCCTGCAGCTAAGCCTGAGCCTGAACCCAAACCAAAAACTAAAGCAGAGCCTGAACCAAAGCCTGCACCGGCTCCCAAAGCAGAACCAGAAGCCAAACCTGCAGCCAAGGTCGAGCCCAAGTCTGAAGACAAACCGGTGCCAGTAAAGAAGCCGGCAACGCCCCCATCCAAAGGTATTTCCTGCTTTGTTTGTGTTTGTTGGGTTTTTGAAGACTCCATGTGCTGTGTGTCCGTTTCTCTGTCCCGAGTTTCAACATGTCTGTGTTTGTGAAGCTTCGAGTGTGGAAGCGAAACTTTGACTTTCTTTGTGTCCTGAATGTCTTTCCTCTTATTTACACCCAAACCATGTTGCTTTAAGTCCCAGAAGAGGCTGAAAATACAGATCTGGCAAAGATCAAGCCTCAGGTGGGAGTAAAGCCAGAACCAGAAGCCCAGAAAGTGAGACCAGAACCTGAAAAACCAAAACCAGAAGTCCGTAAACCTGTGCCTCCAATAAAGAAGCCAGAACAAAAACCAGAACCTGCAGTGGTACCTAAACCAGAACCTGCAATGGTACCTAAACCAGAACCTGCAGTGGTACCCAAACCAGAACATGCAGTGGTACCTAAACCAGAACCTGCAGTGAAAAAAGCTGAACCTGAAGTCAAAGTCCCAAAACCAGAACCTCCGAGGCCCAAACCGGAGATAAAGCCTGAACCCAAGGAGCCGAAGAAAAAAGGTACCCAGCTTCATGGCGGAGACGCCGCTCCAGAGTTTTTCTTAATCTTAACAAACCGACTTTAACTCACAAGGAGTGATTTATGATTACAGTTACATATTTTAAACCCTAACCGCCCCCCCCCCCCAACACACACACACACACACACACACACACACACACACACACACACACACACACACACACACACACACACACACTAAAACCTCCTCCACTCATTCTTAAATCTCTTCTTCTTCTTCTGTGGTGTTTTGTAAGTCTCGCTCACAGAGTAGCTGTGGTGTTTCTTCTTCTTTGGTGTTTTTTAAACTCTCGCCGACAGAGTAGCTGTGGTGTTTCTTCTTCTGTGGTGTTTCGATGGGGTTGCACTTTGTTTTGTCTGTTTTCTCGTCTTACACTCGATAGAGTGAATCTTCTCTTACATCATCTTCAACCTGAGCGCTGTAAAACCCTCTAACTCGTGTCCATGGTCCTCTTTCAAGCTCCAGTGGAAGAAAAACCACCTGAGCCTCCTAAAGCAGCCCAGAAACCAGAACCTGAGCCCACCAAGAAAGAGAAAGGTACTTTCAGAGTTTATGATGGAGCTTTCTTTTTGTTTTGTTGTTCTTTGAGTCTTAAACTAGCGGGGTTGTTTCAAAAACATTAAACCAGTTAATCATCAGATACTGGTTAGATTTCCATTTCATTCCCAGAGAAAGATTCCCGATCTCTCTGCTTATTTCATAAACTGGGTCCAATCTGGCAGCACCTCAGTCTGTCAGCTTATAAAGAATCATTATAAGAAAATACTCCCTGTTGTGTTTAACTTGTCTCTTTGTGCGCCAGCACATTTTGCAGTTCTTCATTGTCATGTCTTGTGCATGTTTTTGTGTCAAACCCTCTTAAAGCTTTGAAGCCCAAACCTAAACTGTTACCTGAAGAGGTGCTTGATACAGAACCTCTGAGGAGGTTTGATGATGTAGTTGTGTCAGAGCCTGAACCTGAGAGGCTGCCTGATAAAATACCTGAAACAGTACCTGATAGACAGCCTCCAGAGAAAGCTGAGGTGAAGGAAAGGACCCCTGAGAAGGTCCAAGAAAAGGTACTGGTACCTGAGATAAAATTGGAAGAGATTCCAAAGATGGTGCCAGAAAAAGTGCCACAGAAAATATCAGAAAAACCACCGGAGCAAAAAGCTCCTGAGAAGGCTCCACCCGAAAAGAAGCCTTCAAAGGTTCCCCAAAAGGTGGCTGAGGAAGAGCGGACTCCTGAGAAGAAGCCTCCTGTCAAGGTTCAGGAAGTCAAACCTGATAAGGTTTCTGAAAAAACAACTGAGAGGACCTCCGTAGAACAAACAGTGTTAACAAAAGTCCCTGGAAAAACACCTGAGAAGGTGTCGGACGCTAAACCAAAGATTGAAGAAAGTCTTCGCAAAGGTACCGCCGAGGCAGACCTCGACTCTTTATATTTTCTTTGTTTGTTCTTCCTGCATGTGGACGATCGGCAACAGTCCAGTTACAGCAAAGGTTTATCTGCCACACAGCAACACATCTGGACCTACACTCAAGAAAATGAAATGTTACTTACAACTCGTCCATTTAGATTTTATGAAGGGTACGACTTCTTCATTAAAAAGGGGAGGGGCTGATGTGACTGGTGCGCTGTTTGTCAACCAGTTTAAATAAGTCTCAGAGCTCCTTAAAACATGTGTGTGAAGTTTCTTGTTCTAAATCAACTCTGATCCTGTATTTGATCATGCCTATAAACCCCTCTATTTCAGCCCTGCTCAGAACAGGCTGTTTCTGTGTCTGTACCTTTAAATGTAAATGAGCTGTGTCTGACCACGCCCCTCTCTCGAAGGGCTTTGGTGGCTCTGGCTTTCTAGCTCCATGTCCATATTGTTTACAGTGAGAAGGCAGACTCAAAGGGCAGAACAAACACCTTACTGTGGGAGTGTCACCCAACTGGGGGAGGGGTTACTGCCCTTTGTGATGTCATGAAGGGAAAATCTCCAAACGGCCTGTTTGAACACACATTTTCTGAAAAGTGGAGCAGGCAGAAGACGGAGAGGATGGACTTTTCTCATCATCGGGGGGGGGGGGGTTGTAGACAGACTAGGGACACATGTTAGAGTTAGAGGAACATGGTTTAGTGGATGTTGAATAATATATGCCTCTTATTGGTTATCATTTGGACGATCCCCCATCCAAATTAAACATTTTGCCATTGAACTTACAAGCGGTTGGTTCTCGTGAATTCTTGAACACGTTTTGAACCATTTATAATTTTGGCTTTTAGGCAGCATCTTTGAACTAGTGTCTGTTAGCCATTTGGACTCAACCATTAACGTATTAATTGCATTTTCTTGGGCGTACTTCAGATGGTAAGTCTGACAGTGAACCAGCAGTCAATGCTTACGACAGACTGGACTGTTGCCACGTCTTCAATTGGTAACATCTGACCCTCTTCTTTGAGTCTTTTTCTTGCTGTTTTGTGTTATTCAACGTTTGCTGTTAACTTCTCTGTGTGTTTGTTAACTGTCTTAATTCTCTTCTCTAAAACAATCCACTCGTGCGCCCTCTTGGAATAAAAATTGAACATCTCTTTAAAAGAAACGGAGACTGTGGCGATAGAGAAGATTCTGCCCAAAGAGGTGGAGCCAGAGAAAAAAGGTACCGGCCATGTGAAGACACGATGGCGTTCTTTAACCTCACCTGAAGTTTTAACTCTTGATGATAATACACAACATGTGGATTATCACCTGCAGCATTAGATGCATCTCTGTGTTGTCCATTTCTAACCCTGATGCCTGTCTTTGTGTTTTGTCATCACCTCTTGGCGCCGCCACATGACGCCTATTCTTCTTCACCTCTTAAAACTTCCAGCGACTACCAGTCTTGTAAAGATCGAGAGAAAAGGAGCACAGGAGACGCATGAGGTTTATTACGTGACTGAAAAAGTTTCCTCCACAGAGGAGGTGTGGGAGCATGAAGAGGCGGTGGAAGAACACGCAGAAATGTCATACGAGGACAAAGTGGAACCTCCGGGCGACACGGGCGTGTCGTTGACAGAAGTAGATATCTTAAATACGTCAGAAAAGACGAGACAAAGAGATCAGAAGTCTGAACTGAGAGGAGAATTATCTGTTACTGACACTTCAAAGAAGACAGACACCAGACTGACCAAACGCAGAGTCGCACCAAAAACACAAGTGGCCAATGTTGTAGTCCAGGAAGCTGAAGCTGACAAAGACAGGGAGGTCAGGAGGATAGAGAATCAACCTGTGGGAGAAAGAATAGCAGAAGCTTTTGTTTCAGTCAAAAAGGGAAGGGAGGTGACCATCACAACAGAAAGCAAAGCCAGACAGAGAGAACAGGAAGAGGGAGTTACTGAGGGAGAAGAAATCAAAGTATTCAGAGACATCCCGACAGAGATGCTGGATAAAACCAAACGTTTCCCAATAACAATCAGCACTGAAGCAAGAAAACGGACTCCACAAGAGCTGGACTTAGAGGAAAAGGCTCGGACAGTGGTCACTTATGAGGAATCCATCGAGCATGATTTTAAGATAACAGCACCTGTCCCAGAGTTTGAACAGTACAGTCAAACTTACACTGAAGTCACTGAAGTTAGAGTTACAGACAAACCAACAAAAGTTCCCCAGACTCTGGACAAAGTGGTGGAAGAGGACAGAAGTAGGAAGGTAGAACCTCAAATTAAACCAACAGTGATTCCAGACTCTAAAAAAGACAAACCAGTAAAGAGACAGGAGCCAGCTGCAGAAAGTAATAAGGTAGAAGCTCAAATTAAACCACCAGTGATTCCAGACTCTAAAAAAGACAAACTTTTAGCACCAGTAAAGAGACAGGAGCCAGCAGAAAAGAAACCTGAGAAAGAGTCTGATGAAATAGTCGATAGAAAAAGGGAGAAAGTGTCTGAAAAACCCAAATTAGAGGTGACCCCGACGGTAAAACCAGAAGAGTCAGTAACGGATGTCGAGCCAAAGAAACCAAAAGCGATTCAACCGAGGCCTCAGTTTGAGTCAGTTAGTCCAAAGACAGAAGAAAGGGAATCCAGAGACATCCCTCCTCGGAGAGTTGGTGTTGAGATGAAAACAGAAGAAATAAGTCTTTTAATCAAGGAAACGGTTCAGACTAAACCTTCAGTCCCACCAAAACCAGAGGACAAGAACCGGATCGCCCCACAAAGAGCTGTTGGAGGTACAAAGAGAAAATCTAACCTCATGATCATGTTCATCTTTAACTTTTCCATCTGTCTCCATATCTGGGTGCATTTCATTAAAATCCAAAACCTTGGACAATAACAAGGGTCAAAGGTCATTGTTTAGCCAGTGATCTCCCTCACCTCATCCGTTAACGCCTCCTCATCTCCATACTCTTTGTATCACTTTTCTAACACTTACAGGGGCTCTCTTTTTTTAACCCCTGATGTTTTTAATCCTTTCTTTCTTTCTCTTCTTTCTCTTAAACATTAATATCTTGCGTTCAACACAAACAAACAAACGGTTCTTCTTGGAAGAAGTTGAAGCAAAGGTGAAGACAATTCCTGACGCTCCTGACGCACGAGTTACAGGTACAACTGCACATGTTTCTGTCTTTGACTGTCAGACCTTCATATAATCTCTTGTAAGTTTGGTTTAACTCCAAATGTTTGTGTCTGTGTTGTTGTTTTTTTTTCCTAATCTCTTGGCACCGCCACGTGGTGCTTTCTCTTCAAACCTCTTAATCATTTTTAAACGCGTAAGCGGCCACAGCTGGTCTCTTAAAGGCCAGGAACAGAACAGGAACTCGGAGGACCTCCAAAGATTTAGTATCTGAGGAGGGACTCTCTGCAGAGAGCGTGGAAGACAAGGATGGAGAAAAGTCTGCGGGTGAAGGTTTAAAATCTCTCAAACATGACAGGGTTTTAAGTCCGACTGAAGAAGCTGCTCAGCCGTCTGAAACGAGAGGTGATATATCTGTTACTGATGTTTCAAAGACACAGGGTCTTAAAACAAGGGGCGTCCCAAAAGCTACAGGAACTAACACTTGTACAAGTGAACCTCAGAGGGGAAAACCAGCAGCTCAGGGCGAGAGTTTAGTTCGAAAAGATGAAATCTTATCAAAAAGCAGGACTCAAAAAGATATGGCTGAGAAGCAGAGAGATGAGGACCGAGTCAAAGATGAACTCATACAAATGGGTCCCAAAGAAATAACAAAACCAGAACAACAGAAAACTGACCAACAGATATCTGTCTCATGTGGCAGAGTACCAACTCAAGCAGCGGTAGAGCATTATACATCAGATCCAGAAGACACACGTAGTAAAGGTAGCATGGCGACTTCTTTTAGAGAAACAGAACAGATGTTAAGAGAAACAACAGGAGAACCAGAGTCAGTTGGACCTAAAGTTACTCAACACATAGTTCCTCCAACTGAAACCATGAAAACAAAACAAGAACCGACTGAAAGAGAAGCATCTCCTCCTCCTGCTGGGGAGAAGACGATCGTTAAACGGCTCACAGATCAAGATACTCCCGAGATGAGAGAACAAGAGTTAGCCAAAACTGAAAAGAAAAGAGTCAAAGCAGTTCCACCAAAAGTGATCCCAACAGAAGGACAAACTCCTCAGAGTGAAAGCGTTCCACAGAAAGACACCAAACAGAAAGAAGTTAACTCTGAAGGTAGAGTTAGAAGTCAGTCAGAGTTCAAAATGAAAAATGTTCCCACTGAGGGACAAACACACGTACCTGTCAGAGAAGTTCTTATAAAGCCAGATGATGTCCCTTCAAAGGAGCCAACAGAGAAAGAACAAAAAGCCTCACACGAGATTACACAGGAACGAGTTCAGACAAAGAGAGCTCAACACGAGGTCCCTAAAACTGGAGACGAGATTTCTTTGTCAGAGATCGTGGTTGAGCGAGGTCAGATAGACGTCAGCTCAGTTAGAGATGAAACGTTTAAAGTGATTCCTCTTAAAGAGACCAAACAGGAACAAGTCCAGAGAAGGGTTTCAGTCACACACGTTGTGGAGGAGACCTCTAAAGATTTAAAACTACATCCTGCGAGACCTGAAGAAATCAGAGAAACTGAAGTTCCATCAGGTGTTGAGAAATCCCACGGAGCAGTTAGTATTCCTGGGAAGGTGTCGATATCCCTGCAGCGAGAGTTAGCCAAAGCTGAGGAGGCTGCAGACAAACAAATCCCAACCAAGTTTGTCACAGCTCAGGATAAAACAAAAACACTGATTCTCATCAAGGATAGGGAACACACAGTACCTCAACAGCATGTTAGAATAAAGGACGTAAGTGTTCCTGAAACCGAGCTAAAAGTACCACACACAGAATCTTTGTTTGAGCGAGATACTCAAGAAACATTTACTAGATTTCAAATACAGAAGGCAGCCGAGCCCGAATCAACAGGACAGGAACAAACTAAGACGAAGGCTAAAGTCACAGCAGTGGTCAAAGTTAAAGAGAAGAAAGATGAAAGAGACGTAGACAAGACAGCTGGAGCAAGTAAAGATCAAACTGGCAAAGTTCTCCCGATCATCAAGATGAAACCAGCGAGGCCAGAGCAGGTTAAAAGACGAGGTTCAGTTACAGCACTAAGAGATAAAAAATCTAAAGAAGAAACAGACGAGTCGATCCAAACACAGACACAGTCAGAGACGACGACAGCAGCTTCAGCAGGAGACTCGCAGTCAGAACAGGTTTTACCAAAGAAAGAAGTCAGAGAGACAGAGGAAGGGCACATGTCTGAGCAACTAGCAGAGATCTTAATCCAAGGGGATCAGACGAATGAATCAAAACCCCTTCAAGAGAAGAGTACCAAAACGTCTCTTAGAGAAGTGCAGTCAGAGACGGTGGTCGTCAAAGATGAATACCAAAGTGTAGCTCCATTAGAAGTAACAGACAGAGAACAGGAATACTTGCAGAGAAAGGTTTCTGTGGCTCCTGTGATGGAGGTCACATTGCAGAGATCCCTGATAGTGAAAGACAGAGCTTCTGAATCAGAAACCGTCCGCAGGTCCATCATACCTGACACTCTGGTTCAAGATATTCTGTCAAAGAGAGAGAGCAATTACAAGTCGGATGACTTTGCTTTAATGTCGAAGACGTCTTCAAAGACCACAAAAGACCCGACAGTTAAAAAGTCTAACGTAGATAAAGTTGAACACAGAACAGAGAAGGTTACTCCCATTAGAGAGGACTCGCCTGAAAGACCGGAACAAGTCCAAAGAAAGATCTCAGTTGCCTCCAAACCAGAAGTAACAGATCAGCACTTAATAGGAGAACAAGAAGCTCCAGAAAAACTCACAATAATGCACGAAACGGCAAGCGTTATCTCCGCTGAAGAGATAAAAACGAGACCCAAACAGGCAGCTGTTTCAGACGCTAACAAATCCATTAAATCAAAATCGCTGACAGACAAAGATAAGAGTTTAGAAAAGGGAAGACTGCAATCCAAGACAGTCGTAGTTAAAGACCAATATGGAAGTGTGACGCCATTAGATGTCATAGAACCAAAACAAGAACACGTATTAAGAAGAGCGTCAGTCGCACCTGTGATGGAGGACGCTTCTGAAAGACATCTTGTAGTTGAAGACGGTAAAACAGAAACTCTCCGAAGATTTATCTCACCTAACCCGCTTTCAAAAGACGTAAAGTCAGACGTTTATGAATGCGGGGAGGTTTTTGTTAAAAGACTTTCCTCCGGTCCAGAGGCCGCCAAGGAAACAGACGAACATTTAGTTGAGATGGCAGATAGAAATACTCAGGTAATCAAAGCTTCAGGTGAAATGGACAGAAAGGCTTTCACAGCTGTCGCCCATGATAAGAAACATACCCAGGGAGATTTCAGAGTTGACTCACACAAACATCAGGGCCGCTACATCTTTGAAAAGACAAACAACCAAAGATGACTCCTGTGCAGAACCATTACAGCCAGGCCAAGATCCTGCAGAGACGCCACTCGCCAAAGCTGGAGACGCAGTTAGAGACACTCAATCTGATGCTCCAGTCAGAGAAGTTCAGTCACAGGTGGTCTCCATTAAGCATAAAACAGCTTCTGTCTTTCCGACTGAAGGAACCAATAAGAAGCTAGAACAGACTGAAAGAAAAGCTGAGGTCACTTCTGCAGCCGAGGTGACGTCCAAAGAATCCCTCGTAGCCGACGATAGATCAGAAATATATACCAACAGAGACAGACCTGCAGAAAAAGAGGAAACTAGACTTACATTAGCTGAACACAACTTTATAGATGGAGGACGATGGCCAACAGCAGTCACTGCTGAAGGTCAAGTTACCAAGGTCGCTTCGTTTGGTACGTCTCTTTCTGAGGCGACGCCGAAAGAGTCGCTGACTGAGCAGAAATCGTCCAAAACAAAGAAATCTAAGAAACATAGAATGATGGGATTCAGCGATCCTGTCAGAGACAAAACAGAAACAGAAGCCACTGACCGAGAACAAATCAGAGGAGAGCAGTTAGTTAAACCTACAACATCTCGAGAAATAGTCAATGAAGCAGGAAGGTTTTCCAAACATGTGAAGACAGAGTCAAAAGCTGATATTGAGGCGACGCCCACGGTCAGAGAAGCATCAGTAACAGATATAACCATGACAAAGATCTCTGAGGAAAACACGAGTGAGGACGAAACAGACGCTCCACACTACCGAAGGTTTGCCTCCAGGACTCATGACTCAGAAGAAGGCGAGCCTTGTCTGAAAACAGAAGGCCAACACGCCCCTCTTCTGGAAGTAGAAACCATTAGCAGACAGGAGGGAGAGGCTGAAGGCCGTCAGTCCGACAGAGAAACCACGGTTCTGTCTTTGGAACCAGAAGCTTCCAGAGGTATAGAGAGAACAATGTTATGTGTCACCGAGCACGTGTTTTTGACCTGAGCACCAAATATGGCAGTGCACTCTCATCCTCTGTTGGATTGATTACATTCATACCTCTTTGTCATCACGCTATCGAGAGGATCCCCACGTCACATCACCCATTCTGTTTGGGCACAAACTGTATTCTTGTTGTAAAGAACCGTCCTGCTGTCGCCTGAGACAGACTCTTTGGTTTCTAATCATCTGGTATCTAAACCATCATGTCTGTCCAGTCTCATGCTAACTTTCTTTGTGTCGCTGTTCCAGTGTGTTCAAAGGGAAATGTTTTCAAAGACGACGACACATGAAATTTGTGTCTAAATGTCTTCCGTCTTGGAACTTCCATCTTCCACTCTGTATGTTGTTGATTTTCTCTGTGTTTCTGTGCATGGTAAGTGCTCGCCCCATCTCTCTTAGTGAGGTTCTGATTGTCATATAATTTCATTTCAAAGTTCCTGTGAAGGAGAAGGAGCCCACGGCACAGGTCAAAGAAGCGCTGGTAAAGCCAGCTGCTCCACAAGAAGGTACCAAACTTCTCTTTTCAACTTGTTTTTACGTTTCTATGTCTGTGAGTGTGTTGACAACATTCACTAAAGAATGTCACACTTGAGCAATATCGACTTTCTTTTGGTGTCAAAGTCAGATCTAGACTAAAGTGTTTGTGGAGAAGTCTCTGTTGAATTCCTTTTATACTTTGGTGTTGAAGAGAGACGACCACAGGCCGTGGTTAAAGTTCAGGAAGACGCCAAAAGGCCTGAAGAAAGCAAGAAGGTGGAGAAGAAAGTGACTCCACCAGAAGAATCAAAGCCAGGTATCAAGGTGTTGTCCTCTCAGAGAGTAACCTTATCTGTTGTCAGACGTTATATCATACCCTCTTTTGTTATACTTGAAGTGTCCAAGCCGCAACCGATTGTGAAGGCTGAAGAACCGGCCAAGGTGCTTCCACAGGATGAGAAAGCTCCTGAGAAAGGTAGAAGTGTTTAAAGGACTGAAAGGACCTTTTCATCCTTTCATCACTTGCATTGTTTAACGTTCCCACTCTTCTTCTTCTTGTTGCTGTGCTTGTCAGTCTGCTCTGTGTGGGTTAGAATGACCTTTAGAAGGTCAGCTGTGTTTATATCACCTTTAAATGTTGTGTGTCTCGTTTGTTCAGCCATTAATTCATCGCCTCTCCAGCATGCCATCCATCACTCCTTTGACACAGCTTAACTTCATCTGACCTCTTCTTCTGTGCTTACGATACAAAAACCACATGTCATTCATCTCAATCATCTGACACAGAGCTTCTCTGCTTCGCCTCTGTGTCACAGCTTCATGTCCTCCACGTTTTGAGCTTTTCTTGTCGGATGTGTTTGATGACACATCCTCATTGTGTTGTAAGGTCTTCCCACTTTTTGCATTCAGTGAAATGTTTGTTTTGAAAGAATCAAACGGCCTCATTAACCATTTCTGAACTATACCTCCATATTAGATGAAACCAAGGGACCTGTCCAAGCACCTGGAGGAGTCAAGAAAGGTAGGCGCTCTAATAACCTTGCACCTCAGTGTACACAGCACCCAACAACTCATAGGACTCTATGCATTAGTCACAGTGCATACAAGCAGGCTAGAATATTCCTTGATTGGTTTTAACTTTGTCTGAAACATTTTAAAATATATTTTAAATCCAGAACTTGTTCCTGGTGTATATTTTCTTCTGTCTGTTTTGTGTCTTATTTGTGAAATGGAATCTGTCTTTTGTATATTCATTTGGAGTTACATTTGTGTAGTTTGCACAGATTGTGCTTGCAGTGAAGTGTCAGTGAGTAATGTCAAATCTTTGCTGCCTCAGAATCGGTTCTGCCCAAAAAAGGTAAAATTCTCGTGGAAGAGGAGGGAACATTTGAGATTCCCACCTTGAGGAAAACAACCAGAGTCATTAAGGAAGTGGAAGAGGAGCAGGAGGTTATAAAGCTGAAGAAGATCCCCTCGGTCTCACCAAAAGAGGCCAAAGAAGAGGAAAAACCCCAGAAGGTCACCAAGACTACCGTCTTCCAGGTCGAGGAGCTGGTGCTCAGAGAAGAGGCTGTCGAGATGTCAGTCGCCACCAGGAGAACAGTGGAGGAGAGGACGCCTCGAGAGAAAGCAGAACTTGTGAAGAAGCCAGAAATTGTGCAGGCTAAAGAAAAGGACCAAAAAGAAGCTCCTAAAGATGCATGGAACCGCCAGAAACCCACCCGAAAAGATGAGAAGCCTGAAGATAAGATTTCTCTGAAGAAGACTCCCAAGGCGAAAAAGGACGAGGAGCCTGCCCCACCAAGTGCAACCTTGAAGAAAGTCAAGAAACTGCCTTCTGAGGAAGTAGAACCAGAAGTAGTTAAACTAAAACCGTTTGAAAAGTCTGCCAAGCCAGCTGAAGAGCCAGAGAAAGATAAGAAGGAGAGGCCGGACAGGGATACTGTGCCTTTCCAAAAGGGTGAGAGGACACCCAGAGAGGTGGAGCCCAAAGAACCTCCAAAGAAACCTGAGAAACCTTCTCCAGAGGTAAAGGAGCCAGCAGCCAAGGTGCCAAAACCAGTAGATAAAAAGACCACTCCACAGAAAGAGCCAGAGGAGGTCAAACCGCCCACCAAGGTGAAGAAAATCCCAACAAAGGAAGAAGAAATTGAGTCAGTTAAGCTGAAGCCCTTCAGCAGACCATCCAAAGAAGCTGCAGAGCCTGAGAAGAAACCAGCAGAGGAGAAGGAGAGGAAGCCGATCGATGAACTGCGCCAGCGTCGCAGTCCGGACGAAAAGCTGAAGGAACAAGAGCCAGAAACTAAAGCGAAAAAACCTGAGATCCCAGAAGTTCCGGAGAAGAAGGAGGAGAGGCCAAAGGAGGTAGAAGCAGTTCCAGTGGAGAAGACAGTACCTCCTGCAGCAACACCTGTTAAGAAACCTGAAAAGGTTCCTGATGAGCCCAAACCTCTGCAGCTGAAGAAGGGAATCATACCCAAGGCCAAAGAGGAGAAAGAGGAGGTGGCTTTGAAGCCTTTTGAGAAACTGAAGAAGGTCGAGCTGAAAAAGACACCATCTCCTAAAGTTGAGAAGCTTAAAGAAGAAGAGAAAGTCCCTGCTGAGAGGAGACCGAGTTTGGAGAAACTCAAAAAGATTCCTAAAACTATTTCACCGAGAGAATCCATTGAAGCTGTGACTCTCAAAAAGATCCCGAAGAAGCCATCCCCAGAGGAGGCCGCAGAACCAGCAAAGCCTGAAAGAAGGGTTCCTCTGGCCAAGGAAGTCTCTCCTGGAGCTGTACAGATGAAGAAGATCACCACCCAGCCAGAGGAGGAGGTGTTTGAAGAGGAGTATGAAGCAGAAGAGGCAGAGCAGGAGGAAGAGGAGGCCTGGGGCTGGGAGCTAGTCCCCACAGAGGACTGGGAAGGTGAAGCAGAGGAAGGTGCTCTGGAGGTACCAGGGGTGACCAGGAGAGGTGAGATGGTAGTGACCCATCCTAATTGGGTGACGATCTCGATCTCATCATGCCCTGAATAATCTCTGCTCATTCCAACCGACATGCTTCTATCTAAAGCGTCATCGCCTCATCGCATCTTAACTGTGACAGAATTTACTCCATCTCTTTGTGTCTCTCTTTGTGTGTTTGTTAATTATCATTCTGTGAATCAGTGTGTCCATAGTCATCGCTTTGTGTCATCTCTGTAACCGTGTTTCCGTGTCCGCCATTTCAATATCACCCCATCCCCATCAGTCCAACATGTTCCCCCTCCACTAGTCATTACATCTTTCTGCGTTTTACTCCATCCTGTCCTGTCGTCAAAGGGTTAATCATTTGTTATACATTGGGTTGAATTGTGAGTGAATTCATTGTCATTTCATTGAATGAGCATCACTATCACCTCATATCCTGCTTCCCATGGACATATACAGCCTGATAATTGCATGTTTGGGTACATTAACTTGTGATGATATCGTTTGCAGCAAAGTCATTTTGATTCTTTCTGAACAGAGGGACAACCAGCTGAAGAAGCAGGAAGAGGCAGAGGTAGAGGACTGAAACGTAAGTCTGTTATATTCAGTAATCTATGATCTGTTCTGTGATTAGTCAACAAGAAAAACGTACCCTTTCCCCCCCTGGTGATGCCACCAGATCCTCCTGAAATTCAAAGTCAATTGATTTTCTTCCCTCTGTTTTTCAGCCAAACAAACCCCGTCCCCCGGAGAAGGCAGGGGCCGAGGTCTGAGGCCTGGTGGAAAGGGTCCGTCTCCACCAGAGGAACCCTTTGCAGGATTCAAGCTCAAAGCCGTCCCCCTGAAGTTCATCAAGAAGCTTCAGGACATCGTGTTGAAGGAAGCCGAGTCTATCGGCTCATCTGCTATGTTTGAGTGTGAGGTCTCGCCCTCCACTGCTATCACTTCCTGGATGAAAGATGACAGTAATCTACGCGAGAGTCCCAAGCACAAGTTCACTTCTGACGGCAAAGATCGCAAGTTAGCCATTATTGACGTTCAGCTGTCGGACACCGGTGACTACACCTGTATAGCAAAGAACGCCGGCAAGGAAATACAATGCACAGCCAAGCTCATCGTTGAAGGTAAATACATCATCTTCTTCGGAACCACAAGTCTAGAATCTTAAATCAGCTTGTAAATAATCTAATGTCTGATTGTCATTTGATGTCCTCACAGAGCTTCCTGTGAAATGGATCAAAGAGCTGGAGGAGGAGACTTCAGTTCTGAAGGGTCAGCCTCTGTACATGACCTGTGAGCTGAACAAGGAGAGAGATGTGGTGTGGAAAAGGAACGGCGAGGTCCTGAAGAAGAAGGCCAACAAAATTCAGATTAATATCATTGGTATGCAGCACGCCGTGACCATTCAGAACACTGCTGAGGAGGAAACTGGTACCTATACCTGTGAGGTGGCGGGCCAGGAGGATGTCAAGACCACAACAATTGTCAAGATCATTGGTAGGAGAAAGAGGGTGTTGTTCATATCTCTGTAAACAGAAACACAGCAGAACTGATGATTTCTAGGAAACATTAACAGGAATGCTTTTGTAGTTCCTTCATGTTTGACCCGTTCTGAAGACACCACATTTTTTCATTTTCTATGCCGATGACATACGACTATATCATTCAATTGCTCTGAACTTCATGGTGCTGATCTTTATTTTAAAACTGATCTCAATATCCTTCTGCTTATATCAAATATCCACATCACAGCTTGGTTACCAGTAGGTAAACATCAGGGTAATGTTGTAGTCAAGACCACACTAACCGAGACCAGAGTGCTCCAAGACCGAGACAGACCGAGACATTTAGAGATTGAGACAAGTCAAGACCAAGAACAAGGCAGGGCAAGACCGAGACAAGACCAAGACCAAGACCAAGACCAAGACAGACGAGACGGAGACAAGAGCAAGACCAAAGCAGGGCGAGAACAAGTCACGACCATAAATATCACTGAAAAGTCATCATGTTTGAGTTCAGGGGGCGTGTCCCTCAAGAGGCGTTTTCCTCCTAATCACAGTAATGCGTGGAAAAATAGCCATCAGTGGTGGTCTTGACTGGTCTTGACTTCGAAAGGGTCTTTTGACCTGTTTTGAAGCCAAGACTGATACACTACATCAGAGTTCTCTTCCTAAAGGTTGCTTTAAATTGCAGGAATCTTTGAGCCCTCCGTCTTGGTGTACACTACACATAAAGTATTAAAGATGCTGTGTCTTAACTGGGTGATGTACACTGACTAAATAATGTTTCACACCAACAGAAATCATTAAGGACTGGATTGTGAAACCATTGAGAGACCAGCATGTGAAACCGAAGGCCACTGCTACATTTAAATGCGAGCTCTTCAAGGACACCCCCAACTGGAAGTGGATGAAGGGAGAGACTGAGGTCACGCCCTCTGACAAGGTGGAGATCAAGAAGGAAGGGAAGGAGCTGACACTGACCATCAAGAACTGTCAGCCCGAGGATGTTGCAGAATACGCCATGGAGGTGGAAGGACGTGTCTACACCGCTAAGCTAACGCTAGGAGGTTTATCTACCTGCTTACCTTCCTTTTTAACTTTAACCCCTCAAACCTGCATATCGTTCTATCCTTCTCCTGATTATCATCATAAATAACCAATTCTCTTTCTCAGAGCGGGAGGCTGAGATCCTGAAGCCCCTGGCCAGCGTTGAGGTGGTTGAGAAGGAAGATGCTATGTTTGAGACAGAGATCTCTGAGGACGATGTTCCAGGGGAATGGAAGCTCAAAGGGGAGGTTTTGACCAGATCCCCGGTAAGGCAGCATGGACCTGTTGTGGTCCCAAGTCTAAATGCTTGTAATTACACATTCTCAATACTATGTAAATATATAATGTAATGTGTTCATCAGACGTGCGACATCCTGATGGAGGGTGCAGTGCGTAAGCTCATTCTGAAAAGTTGCCAGTTGGACCAGGCTGGAGAAGTGTCCTACCAGGCTCTGAACGCCGTAACCAGCGCGATGCTCAATGTCAAAGGTAAGGGGGACTCCAGGTACCTGGTAATGGAATTACAATCTATCAGGATTCTTGGGTATTAGCTGTAAAAATAAAGGCGTAAAGTCCGTGGACCACAAAATAAAGCTGTACAGCACGTGAGAGCGGACCTTAGATCTTTATTTACCAGGATTGATGATTGATGAGACTTACTGAATCCCAGGAAGTTGGCGAAGGATTCTGATATTGGGACCCAACCTCATCCCAATGCTGGGAGTTGCATCCTGTCTTTGTTGTTCTGTTAACTGGAAATTGTAAACCTTTCTGGTGTTCTGTCGAATTTGATGTGAAGTGTATCTACAGTACATTCTGTCCTCCGTCTGTGATTAAGTGTTAAGCTATGTACAGTGGCCAGTTTATTAAATCCACCAAACATAACATCACATAGTCTATTGGTTTACCAAAAATTGCTTAATTCAGGAAGTGTTTGATTCAGCAGTAGGTAGAACAGAGGAAGACCTGAAGACAGAAGATACTTGTTTCATCTTGATAAATCCGAGGATGGTGGATGAACCCTTCCCTTTGGCGATTATCTCAAACATGGAGAACTCTTTGACCAGCAGGACTTCATTCCTTGATGACAGCTTTTCATCCTTCCACCCTGACCCTCCCTGACAACCCGAGGAAATCTCCAGCTGGTTAATTGAGCTGTGTTTACCATTAATGTGTCCCAATGATAGGCTTTGGGGTGGGGTTGGTGGGATTCTATAAACATGTGAGCCATTGATGGGAAGAACCCAGTACAATGGAGAACATGGTGAACTGGCCACTTGTTGTTCTGTTGTTATTCGTTGTGTTTTTGATGTTTGTGTTGTCCCTGTGTCACCTTTGAACCTAGAAATCGAAATGGCCTTTGTAGTCCCACTGAAGGACGTGTCTGTGCCTGAAAAGAAACAAGCTAAGTTTGAATGCACCATCACGAAGGATGTCTCTAAGGTCATGTGGTTCAGGGGGGATGACATCATCACCCCGGACCAAAAGTATGACATCATCGATGATGGAAAGAAGCATATGCTGATAATAAACTGCTGTGAGTTTGATGACGAGGATGAATACACGATTGGGGTTTTGGACAAAACCTCAACAGCGAGACTCACGGTGGAGGGTAAGTGCTGGGCCGCCGACCAGAGGAACCGTTATTATCATGACTCCCTTCATTGAGTTAGTTTCCTCCACTCTTAAACTAACTCACATGAATATCCTTTATTAATACAACTGTAGGTATCAGGCTCAAATTCATTTCACCGCTAAAGGACCAAACTGTGAAGGAAGGCAACATGGCTCGCTTCGAGCTGGAGCTCTCTCATGAGAACATCCCCGTCACCTGGTATAAAAACGATGTGAAAATCCATCCGAGCAGAACAGTGCTCACTCATGTGGACGGAAAGAGACACATGCTAGAAATAAAGGAAGTGACTCTGGATGATATCTGCCAAATTAAGGCTGAGGCCAAAGGAATTCCTTCCATGGCCAACCTGACGGTCATAGGTAAACCCAGATCAGCCACCTGTGTCTTCTCTGTATCTGTTTGTATTCTTCCCCACAGCTGTTTGTATTTCTGTCCATGTTTGTGTCAACCATTTTCTGTCTTCTCTATGTCGTTCACTTGTGTCCCCGTCTTGTCCTTTGTCTGCCTCCTTCCATATATCCTTTTTATTTTTTTGTTTTGTTTTTCTGCCTCGGAGAGTCATGCAAACATTTCCCCATTCCAGAGGGAGATGCTTACTTCACAGTCAAGCTGCAGGACTACACTGCAGTGGAGAAAGACGAGGTGGTTCTCGAGTGCGAGCTCAGCAAAGACGTCGATGTCATGTGGTACCACAATGAGGCCGAGGTCAAGCCCTCTAAGATGGTGGCCATTAAGGCTGAGGGCAAACGTAGAACTCTCGTCATCAAGAAAGTTGGCGACAAAGACAAAGGACAGTACTTATGTGACTGTGGAACTGACAAAACATCAGCAACGCTCCACATTGAAGGTAAAAACACAGATTTTGTGTTTGCTGTTTGGCATTCACCTCCATCCAGGCAACTTCCACCTTCCTGATGAACCTGCTCATCATGTCCTCCACCTCCTAACCTCAGCTCAAACCTTGTGGTTTCATCACTTCTTAACATCCATTGTCACCACCTTTGTGTGGTCTCTCCTATCCCTCCATCCGTCCACTCTTGTAGTGCTCTTCCACCATAACCCTGGCTGTGTATCATTTGGTCTGTCTACTCGTGTGCCATTAGAGCCACTTCTTCAGATTACTTTCATGGTTTCTGTTATCAAACCATCAAACTGAAGAAACAAACCTCCCTTTATTGTTCTTCAGCTTTTTGAATAACTGTGGCCCCTCAAAAATGTTCCATAGAGAACCAAATGGCTCCCTCGATGTTCCATGTCAGTCCAATATGACCGACTGGATCACCGTGGTTTTGGCCGTTTGGTTGTTAATGGCTTTGACGATGTTGCTTACAGCATCATAAAGGAGGTTTATTGTGTGTGGTGTCAGGTAGAGGTCCAACATGTCCTCCAGCTCTGTGTCTGTCCGTTGTTGAAGTCAGTTTATGTTTCTGTATTTATGTTGTGTTGAATATTTATGTCTAAATGTTCAGTAAGAATCTTGTCCCTTCTCTTAAACGTCAGCTCGCCACATCAAGGTGGTTCGGCCATTGTATGGCGTTGAGGTGTTTGATGGAGAGACGGCTCGATTTGAGGTCGAGCTCAGTGAAGACGACGTCCACGGCCAGTGGAAGCTGAATGGAGAAGTCCTCAGTCCATCTGCCGTATGTCTTCAACACATCCACGCAGATATTCTCTCACCTGTGGTTTGATTCATTTTCATTTTCAGTTAACCCTTAAGGGAACGAGATCATGTTCAAGTTTCTCCCTAACTTAAGATTCAAAGTACGAGTTCCTTCTGTCATTGGTTAACAAATGGAAGTGAACCAACCACAACCTTGCTGTCATCACATTTCTTTGAGGCCACTTGTTTTATACTGAAAGTTTGTCGACCACCAACAGGACGTTGAGATCGTGGAAGATGGCGCCAAACACACTTTGGTTTTGTACAACTGCAAAGTGCCTCAAACAGGCGAGCTGGCGTTTACCGCCGCTAACGCCAAGTGTTCGGCCAACCTGAAAGTGAAGGGTGAGCTTTCACTTCCTCACGCTACCTTTGTTTAACGATTGTCTGGGCGCAGATTGGTGCTAACGCTTTTCTTCTGTGAATCTTAACCGCCTCAGCACCTGAGCATTCATCCTTTCGTACCTTTGGTTCTTAAATTCGTTTAGAAAAGATGCCAAAGGTTTTTTATTCCTGAGCCATCCCTCGGCGCCTCGATGTTAACTCAATGTGTCTGAACCAACAGAGCCACCCGTGTCTTTCATTACGCCACTGGCTGACCAGCATGTTTACGAAAAGGACGAGGCGAGATTTGAGCTGGAAATTTCTAGAGAACCCAAAAGCTTCCGTTGGCTGAAAGGATCACAGGAGCTATCAAACGATGACAAGTTTGACCTCCAGGTAGAAGGGAAGAAGCACATTCTAATTATAAAATCTGCCAAATATGAGGACGAGGCCAAATACATGTTTGAGGCTGAGGACAAAAGGACCTCTGGGAAGTTGATCATCAAAGGTAAATGGAGTCAGACGGCTTCCCTGGTGAGATGTCTTCATTGGGGAGGACATGAGTATGACCAAACCGTAACGCTTTATGTGTCCTGTAATTGGTGTGAGTTTGTAAAAAACCTTCAAATGTGTCTATAATTTCTGTTTGTCAGGTATTCGGCTCGAATTTATCAAGCCGATTAAAGATGTGACGGTGAAGGAGCGTGAAACTGCAGAGTTCAGCGTTGAACTCTCTCATGAAAAGATCCCAGTGGTCTGGTACAAAAACGACGTCCGGCTGCACCCCAGCAAGGTGGTGCACATGTCCGAGGCCGGCAAAGTCCACACGCTGGCCTTCAAGGAGGTCAGCATCGACGACACGTCCATGATCAAAGTGGAGGCCGTGAGCAAAACTTCAGAGGCCATGCTCACCGTGCTCGGTTAGTATCCGTTTCTGGAAGGATGCAGCAACATTTCCAAAGAGAGAGTTAGCATATCCATGTGTTTAGCTCGCAGGAAGTTGTTTTTAACCGCTTATTTCTGGTGTTGTTGTTTGCCTTCCTGCAGAGGGCGACCTGTACTTCACAGTGAAGCTACAGAACTACACCGCCGTCGAGAAAGACGAGGTGATTTTGCCCTGCGAGCTGAGTAAGGCCGCCGCTGAGGTCAAATGGTTCAAAGACGGTAGCGAAATATTTCCCTCCAAGAACATTCTTCTCCAATCAGACGGCAAGAAGCGCACGCTGGTCATCAAGAAGGCAGCGAAGAGCCACAAGGGAGCATTCACTTGCGACTGTGGCACCGACAAAACCACAGCCGACCTGAACATTGAAGGTAAAACTTGCGCCGATCAGCCCCTCCCCCGAGACCGCGGTGAGGCCCGGTCAACCGCCGATCATCGAAACCCCGCCTTTCTCTGGGCCGATGTTTCCCTTTCCCCCCATCCTACATAACTGTGTCCTGTTCTCTGAATGTTCTCATTGTGTGTGACCTGTTTTATATAACCCTGGAGGATCATCCAACCCGATACATCTGAAATCAGCGTTATGACCATATACAGAAAGGTTTACAGACCGATGCAGAGCTGGCTAAACACTGAAGCTTCAGTGTCCACCACATGGCATTCTGCGTGAGCATCGACTCTAGAGAGGAGTGGATGGGACACAGCTCTCTGCAATGTTTTGAATTTAGACTGCAGTACCCATTTTAAACACTAGGGGTCAGAGTTACATATTGCTCCTTTAAAGTAAGATCTGTGTGGGTGTTTACTTGATGATCCCTCTCAGGGTCATCAGGGCCTTCCATCTGATTCTTAGCAGACTTTCCACAGTTTTGTGTTATTTAGATATGGCAGTACTGTGGATAGTGGTCATTTTGCATGTCCCATGTCTACAGTCCTCGTCGCAGCGGCTGTGGGTTCAAATCTGACCTCGGCCCTTTGCTGCATGCTCCCCCCCTCCACTCTCTCTCATCCAAACATTTCCTGTCTCTCTTCAGCTGTCCGATCCAATAAAGGCAAAAGGGCCCAAAAACACCTCTAAATAAATAAAAGTCCTGATAAGCGTTAAAATGTTATCTGTATCTGTGTAGAGATGTTTAGAGGGTTGGATGATAGTCCAGAGTTCCTCCACGTCATCTGCTTTTGCACACATTGTAAGACGCTCTGAATGAGAGCGTCCGCTGCTCGCACACTGTCACTGTTTGTCCTCCACCGACCATCTCAACCTGCCGTCTGCTCACGTTTACGACGACATCATCGCACTAATTTCACTCCATGATCTCGAGGTTTCTCTAACCGACTGCACTCAGCTTCACCGCCTCTCTCGTTCTCTCCCTCTAACGTCTTTTTGAACTTCTGCAGAGCGAGACATCAAGGTAGTGCGCCCGCTTTACAGCGTGGAGGTCACAGAGACAGAGGCGGCCAAGTTTGAGACAGAAATTTCCGAGGAGGATCTCCACGCCGTGTGGAAACTGAAGGGAGAGACGCTCCACCCGTCTGCTGTAAGAACAAACGCTGAAAGCATTGTCATCATTGTACGAGAAGTCGGTGTTCTCCTGTCAGCTGCTCTCTCATTTTGGTTTTGATGATTCAAGTTTGTGGACTTTCGATTTCTCAGGATGTCGAGATCAAGGAGGAGGGCGCCCGACACATCCTGATCCTCTTTAACTGCAGGAGGGACATGGTCGGAAGCGTGGACTTCTCGGCTGCCAATGCCAAATCTTCAGCTCAGCTCAGGGTCAAAGGTGACAGAAATAACCTTCACATGAGTCACAGGCCGTTTGTGGAAACGTGGTCAGCCTCACATCAGACAACACTGAGGTTTCTGTGTCTGATGCTCCCTTTAAAGAGTACAAAATAAAAGCACAGCTGAGTGTTAGATGATTCCAAATACCAACAAAAACAGGACGTTTATTCTCAAATTTAAATACACAAAGAGTTATTTAATATGTGGCGCTGCTTCCACTTGAAAAGATGAATGATTCTCTGTTGCTGTTTCAAATCTCTGAAGTCTCTCAGGATGTCTTTGATGTTTATTTTTAGGGCTCAAAATGTCTCAAAGGGCTCAAATCAAATGTTCAGATTCAGAGAACCTTGCAGTTTTTGTAACCTAAATCTTAAGTTTTCTAAAACAGTCTTTCCAGACTGTTTTTAGACTCAGGCAGATAAAGTGTTAAAAGTCTGGTTGGAGATAAGTTGGTTAATATCTGAGCGCGAGCCGTGCAAAGATGATTCAGGGCGAGCAGATAATGCCAGTAAATTCTTCACTGTGACACTCGCTGATTAAAGAAGCGTGCAGCTCTCAGCTGGCTGTCACTGTCGCTGCCAGAGAAATTAACTGCCCGTTAAAGGGCTTTCATTCAGGCATGTGAGGAAGCCTGTTGTAAATACTTGATGCTGCCTGTTAATCCAAACCCACTTCCTGAATCAGCCAAGTCACCAACATGTCGCCGTTATAACACGGACTGTTACAGAACAGGGAATGTAACGTTGGGTAACTCCTGCTCCCAGTCCACATTCTCCGTTTCCAGGAAAAATGCTGTATGCTGATTGACAGGAGCAGATTGTCCCCCCCTGATGGGTTTGACAGAAGTGGGCTCACAGCCAATCAGGGTCCTTGGTTATTTTAGAAGCCACATGCCTTATCTAGAGCAGGTTTGCAGTGATTGGCAGGGGGTAGGACGCGACCCCGTCCCTTACTGGTCTCTGGCAGCCATAACCATCTGACGGCTGGTCGTATGCTAATGAGCTGGGCCCCCCAATGCCAAGTCCCAGGGAGGCAGTGTTCAGTTGTCCTGAGGGCTCCAGCGGCCTGCCTTCAGCTCAACCACACCATGAGGATTAGCCACTGAGGATTAGCCCGCTTTATGTGCGGATACTTGTGGATCTATTGACCTGTTTGAGGGGGGGGGCTAACCATGTCTTCTCCCCAATCTAAAGCCCGAGTGATCAGCCTGCAGAGGCCTCTGAAGGATGTCACCGTGACCGCCGGAGAGACCGCCACCTTCGAGTGCGAGCTGTCGTACGAAGACATCGTTGTCGAGTGGTTCCTGGGCGGTACAAAGCTGGAACAGAGCGACAGAGTAAGTCCAACCACACCTGAGCCAGTCCTCACAATGTTTCTGTAACACACACACACACCACACTGAGTCTCCACAGACACTCCCACAGTCCAGGCCTGGTTCTGGTTCTGGTCCAGGTCCAGGTCCAGTGTCTCTGTTTGTACACAGTGTTCAGGTTTTCGAGCTCCACTCTGCTGCAGCTTCAGCTCCCTTCATATAAGGGCCTGCTGCTGGAGGTTCAGGATTCCAGCGGAGGATTTGATCCTGGTCTTTGAGATAAGGCCAGCAGGAGGGCTTTTCTGCCCTGCAAGCGTTTCTGCAGGTTATTTTTAAACAGCTGCAGGAGGCCGAGGAGCCAGGCAGGTGGCAACATTAGCTACCCCCTTCACTTCTAAAGTCACATGTTGCTGAATGTTGTGCTGGAAATGTTTTCGTCTTGTTGCTGTTTTTATGCTGAATTAGAGCGGCCCGCTGCAAGTCCAGACCCGGACTTGTAGCCAAACAGAACGCAGGATTAGTTTGATTATCAGATGTAACCGGAGCTCTCTGAGGGTCTCGACGACACGTGGTCTCTCTTGCTCTCGGGGTTGTGCAAGAGTGATTTACTGCATGTGAGACGGTCAACACGCAACATCAACTGTTTCATCAAGTCGAGAAAAAGATTAAAAGCTAACGGCACGAGTCTCTGAAGAAGTTTCCTTTAGTTTGATATCAAAAGATTTAAAAGAATCCATTTTAAAGCCTGAAGTCTGAGGCGACATGGGGGCTGTTTTCTTACTATTGAAGATTTATTTTTGGCTTCAAACAGAGAACATTCTGTGTTTATAAGTTCTTAAACTGAAGGTAAACATCTCAGTTGAAATATCAGCTGTGCAGTCTGTACCAACACAAAACAGAAACTAACTTCTTTTAGGAGCCGATTATCACCAATGTGAGTGAACCGAGTTTGATTAAAGAACTTTAAAATATAAAAACGAGTATCAGCTGAAAACATCCGGGTTTATTCGAGCGCTACAGAAAAACAAACATGAAGCTCGTTTTTTAAATCCTGCTTCTTAAAAATACTCTGAGTCTCAGTTTTAGATACATCGAGGAGAAGTTACAGAAGTTTTTAATGTTGTTTTAGTGATATAAGTGAACGGACCACCAAGAGAGAGAGGGGTAGGGGGCAAGAGAGTCAGAGAGAGAGGGAGAGAGGTTTTCATGAGAGAGAGGGGGGGAGAGAGAGGGAGAGTCAGAGAGAGACAGAGAGAGGGAGAGAGAGAGACAGAGAGAGACCGAGAGACAGAGAGAGAGACATAGAGAGAGAGGAAGAGAGAGAGAGTCAGAGAGAGAGGGGGGGAGAGAGAGAGAGAGTCAGAGAGAGACAGAGAGAAGGAGAGAGAGAGACAGAGAGAGACCGAGAGACATAGAGAGAGAGAGAGGGAGCGAGAGAGACAGAGAGAGAGAGAGAGGGAGCGAGAGAGACAGAGAGAGAGGGCAATCAAACTATAAATCACTTCAACCTTTTGCCCCAAACAACAACAACACAAACACAACATAGTGGACGGCCCGGGTTTGAATCCGACCTTTGTCTCCTTTCCTGCAGCTTGTTCCCCACTCTCTCTCTCCTTCTGTTTTCTGACTCTAACCGCCGGCATAAAAATAAACTTCTTAAAAAAAATATATTTTTTTTTATCAGATCTGAAATGAGTTGAAACTGAAGTCCTTCTTTAATGACTTTATTGTAATATGTATTAAATACAATTTGAAGAAGCTGCTTAAAAAGTGTTTGCGTTGCTGTTTTAGGGTCGATGACCTCCGCGAACAAAACAGGAAACATTTTTATGACTGGAAACCGAATGTACACAAATATATACGATACCAGTAAAACAGGATTCCTTACATGAATCACAGAGGCGTTGGAAATGATTGAATATCCACCCATGATGAGCTGTTGTGACCTCCGGATGGGGGGGTTATTTATTTAATCCGTTTGAAATCAACATAAGAATCAGGAAAATAAAAACGAACAAGTATGAATCTTTTTAAACAAATCACGGAGACGAGTGTGATCATGGTTTCTTTAAAAACAGAGAACGTTATTAACACTGACTGTGATAAACATTAAGTTTATGTCCCTTTACTGGTCACCGTCTGTGTGTTCTCAGGCGTGTCGGTGTGATATACAGTCCGCGCTCATGTGTGAAACCAGCCGTCAGGTGTCAGAGGTCTCTCAGTTTAAATCAGTGGAAGCAGAGCAGCTGCCTGCGTCTGTTTGAGCTGTCAGGACTCAGCTGACCGAGGCTGAGCCGGAGACCCGAGAGCATGAAAACCTCGCTCCATATTCAGCTGCGTGTCTTCTGAACCTGACAGACACTGTTCAGGGAGGGAAAAAAATCTGTTTCTGTCCCATTCCTGACTCTGTCAACCTGAAAGACTGAGTTCAGGGAAGGAAAAACCCATCATATGTTCGTACTCTACAAACCTTACAACCACTTTTAGCAACGTTAGGCCACTAACATTTCTGATTCATTTATCCTTACAGTGAATTTAAAAAAACCACGTAGCAACTCTGCTTATATAAAAACCTGAGAGACTGAGTGCAGGGAAGTAAAACCTTATGTAAATCTGTCAGGCTTCATTCAGGGAGAAAAACCTGTTTGACTGAATCAGTTTGACTTTTTAAGCCCGAGGGACTTTAGTCAAGAAGAAAAACCTTTTCAATACTTTCACCTCTGACAGACTGTAGTCAGGTATAAAAAACAAGCAGCAAACTCTGGTGTTAAGAAATTAAGCTGATGCTGAAGTGTAATAATCTTACAGTTCCTCGAGTGTCCACTAGAGGCTGCAGAAGCTCAGGAAGTCACATACACACCCATTCAAAAAGCCTGTTTTTACAGCAGAGATTAACATGTTTACAGCCTGGTTCAGAAAACCAAATAGGTCTGATTAGCTCATGTCTCGATGGACACACACTGTACGGAGGGTGAATGTTTTGATGACTCATCCGTTTTGATTTGATGAAGGATAAGAGTTATTCACAATAAAACGTGTAGCTGACCTGATTGACAGGTGGGCACGGTGTAACGGTTTGTCAGGAGGCTTAAGAGCTCCAGGGCCCTTTCCGAATTGTCACAGTTCAGTATGCAGTACGTACTATTCAGTATGGAGTTTCAGTATACTGAACTTTCGTGGTCATTCAGTACGCATTTTGTGGGTCCACGCAGCATACTGAACATTTCAGTATGGATACTAACTTCTGGGTTTCATGCAGTATGGATCGGATGCGTGCTTTCAGGAAATGAATTGTGTTTTACCCACAATGCTGTGCAAAATTAAACGTAAATCGTCACTTCACGTCCGCCTCCAAATCAAAACAAACGAGCGTGGATTAATTGAATCAATTTCTAATCTAGAGTTAAAGTCCTGACTGAAAGCACTACTTTTAATTAACAACAGAAAATATAACAAATGTATACATTATTATAAAATCTTTCTCCCTCTATTTAAATAATGATTTCACTATTTAAATGCGTCTTTACTGGTTTATTTTATATTCCGTATATTACTGTCTTTCATTTGTACTTTTCTTTATGTACTGTATGTTATTTAGTTATTTAATCTGCCTTTACTTGATTTACATTGTAATATTGTTTTTTGTTTACCTGACTGTATATGCGCATTACTCTTCTTGAATAAAGCTAAACAAAAAAAAAAAAAAAAATGGGTGAATGCGGCCGGTTCGGGAAACGTAAATGACATCACTTCCTTACTGAATGAATCAGACAAAGTAGGCACAAATATCTGCCTACTGTGTGTGTATACTGAATAGTAGGTACTAACAGTATACAGCACGGATAGTACGTACTGCCTACTGCCTACTGCCTACTGAAAGATTCAGTATGTACTTGGCAATTCAGATACGGCCCAGCTCTCAGACTGTTGTTAGGTTGACTTAAAGTTTGACTGAGACAGCATTATCAGCATGGAGACCGCCATCGATGGGACTCCTGTGCCCCCTGCAGGAACAGATGGGGCACGTCACTCAGGCTTTAAACATATTGTTTGACTTTTTAACCTGCCAGTCTGTGTTCAGGGAACCTAACATCCATCTCTATAACCATTCCTGTTGATCCTGTCATATGAATTTTTCCCCCATTTAAACCCCCGTAAAGCTCGACTCTGTGAGCCTGACAGGTGTTGTTTAGGGCAGAATGAAACCCTTTTCTAACCGACTGTTTCACCTGACAGGTGGTGCTGAAGACGGAGGGTAAAGTCCAAAGCCTGACTCTGAGAAACGTCGCAATGAGTGAAGCCGGACAAGTGAAACTAGGCGCCAAAGACTTCCAGACTGAAGCTAACCTCATCGTCAGAGGTGAGACCAGCACACCCAGGAAGTAGAAAGAGAACTACAATCATGCCGTCTTTGTAGTCCAATCTGGGAGTTTAATCCCATCAGGTTTAAAGGAGCAGCTTGAAATTGTTTGAGCTGCCCTGCATGGGTTTAACGTTTAAACATGCTGAGGGACATCACAAGATAAGTGTGACAGTTAAACCAACAGGGCAGTGTTGATGTGAGCTGCAGCTGCAGGCTTGAAGCTCTGCCAGAGAAGATGAAAGAAAACTTTGAATCTTTATTTGCAGTAACTAAACAGCTCCTGTGTGTGTTTGTGTGCATTCAGAGCCGGCGGTGGAGTTCACAAAGCCCCTGGAGGACCAGACGGTGGAGGAGGAGACCACGGCTACGCTCGAGTGTGAAGTGTCCAGAGAGAGCGCAGAGGTACAATGGTTCAGGGACGGACAGGAGATCAGGAAAACCAAAAAGTATGAGATGATTGTCGACGGCCACAAGAGGGCGCTACTCATCCACGACTGTACTCTAGACGACTCCAAGACGTACACTTGTGATGCTAAAGCCTTCAAAACCTCCTGTTTCCTCAACGTTGAACGTGAGTACAGCCGTGAAATACAGCAGCACGAGATCAGACAAGTAACTGACGGACCCTTCAAAAGAGTTAAAGAACCCTTTGTCATCAATAAAGGTTCAAGACAGGTTTGATAATGGCTCCCATAACAAGTTTAAAGACATACAGATACACTTCGTACAACTAAGGGACTCCTCTGTCAGATAATAGAACATTTAATTAAAGGAAATTAAATCCCTAAACTAAGAGAGTCCTAAAAAAAGAGTCAAAGAATCTCCTCTTTCAGTTGATGAATATTCTGTAGAAGATAATAAACACCTGAAGCTTCTGTGGCGAGGTATGTGTCCGACAAAGTGTTGAACAACAGGCTGCAGAAACAGCAAATACTCACAATGAGGTATGAAGTGCAACTGCGTCCACAGGGGGCGCCAAATCTACTCATATCAAAAGTCTCGTACATGAGCTTTAAAGAAATCTGTTAAAAGACCGCTCATTAGCTCGCCAAATTAGCTACTGGACCTCTGATCTAATGGACTGATTGATTGATGATCCACTCGGTCTGTTAACGTGTCGTTCTTCGTGTCCACAGCTCCACATGTCGAGTTCTCGAAGCCGCTCCATGATGTCGAGGTCAGAGAGAAGGAATCTGCCAGGTTTGAGTGTGAAGTCTCCAGAGAGGACGTCAAAGTGAGCACACTTGATTCGTCTCTGTGTCCACACAAGCTTTGAATGAAGGTCGAGTTTTTAATGCTTTAAATCAGTGTCTTCCTCTCTGAAAGCCCCTCTTTTTTTCTCTGCCTCTCAGATCCGCTGGTTTAAAGATGGAAGTGAAATCAGAAAGGGAAAGAAGTATGAAATTATCGCTCAAGGTCGGCAACACACCCTCATCGTCCACAAGTCCGTGTTTGATGACGAGGCTGAGTACGAATGTGACGCAAAGACCTCTAAATCCTCCGGCATGCTCACTGTCGTCGGTAAGAAGAACATTTATTCTCCAGCCAGAAACGACCTGCAAACGTTGAGGTTGATAAGTTGAGCTTGACTCAGATCAGAAGTATGAACTAAAACTTTTCTGTTTTTCTGGTTGCAGAGGAGGAGACGAGGTTCACGAAGAACCTGTCCAACGTTGAAGGAACAGAGACAGACAGCGTGAAGCTGATCTGCGAGGTGTCGAAGCCCAGTGCTGATGTCACCTGGTACAAAGGAGACCAGGAGCTGCCGGAGGGCGGACGCTACGAGCATATCGTAGACGGGAAGAAAAGGATCCTGCTCATCCAGGACCTCAAGATGGCCGACATCGGAGAGTATAACTGCAGGCTGAGTCCTACCATCAAAACCTCCGGAAATCTAAACATTAACGGTACAGGCAGTTTTAAGATGACTTCAGACTCTTTCACAAACAAAAAACCTTGTTTTTGTAATATAATGAAGTGCTTCTGGGGCATCAGAGAGCCTAGTGGTAATATCATGCACCCCATGTGCAGAGGCTATAGTCCTCATCCCAGCATCTATGGGTTCAACTCTGACCTCGGCCCTTTGCTGCATGTCATCCCCTCACTCTCTCCTCCTGACGTTTCCTGTCTCTCTTCAGCTGTCCGATCCAAGACCAAAATGACCCCAAAATATATATAGAAATAAATAAGGTGCTTCAAAAAATAAAAGGAAAACGATGGTTAGAATATATAATAAGGACCAAGGACGGATCCCCGAGGGTCTCCGAGATCACAAAATTAAAAATATTTGCCCGATTTTCTGTTTAAATTTACACAATTTTTAATGTTGAGCATCAAAGTTTAGTTTAGACTTTCTATGCCTTTAGAAAGTCTTCTAGCCTCAGTCTCCTGCAGATCACAAATTTTCTCAGAGGAAATGTTGTATTGTTGAATTGTATTTTTTTAAATGTTCATTTTTAACTTCTTTTAAGATTTAATGTTTTTCTCACTTGATTAAAGACAAACAAACTAAACATTTAGGGACAGATTCTGAATAATTTAATCCTTAAACAAAATGGATAAACTTGGAATCTGTTAATCTGAGGTTTACCGTTGTGTGTCATATTCTTCGTAGTAAAAACTCAAGATTAGTTTTGGTGTTATTATCGGACAATTTAACCCCAATTAGAGAACTTTAATCAGCACAGCAAGCTTTGATGAAACTTCTGATCGCTCTCGTGTTTCAGAGCTCGCTGCTGAGTTCATCTCCAGGCCTCAGAGCACAGAGGTGGTGGAGGGCGAGAAGGCGGAGTTTACCTGCTCCGTCTCCAAGGACACCTACGAGGTGAAATGGATGAAAGACGACAAAGAGCTGCAGGCGGGAGACAAATACCAGATGGTCAGTGATGGAAAGAGACGAACTCTGGTCATCAAGAACAGCGAGCCTAAAGACGAGGGCGGATACGTGGTGATGATTGGACTGACCAGAGCCAGCGCAGACCTCACCGTGCTTGGTAAGCCCCGCCCACAAACACAGACTGGACACACGTCAAAAAGGTTATTTTCTATTTGTAAAGGAAAACGTTAAGTGGAGACAAAAAACTAAGTTTAGAGTAATTTTTAGGTGAGCAGAGCAATAGAAGTTACCTTAAATTTGCATAATTTGCCTTAAACTGAAACTGAAATAAAGCTGCAAGAGATTTGAATTTCTTCACCTTCAAGCAGAAGCTTTTGAAGGCTAATCAGAGTCCCTGCTGTTTTAATCTTTCTGCAGAGAAACTGAAGATCATCACACCTCTGAAGGACACGGAGGCCAAAGAAGGCTGCGAGATTGTCCTGAACTGCGAGGTGAACACAGAGGGAGCAAAGGCCAAGTGGCTGAAGAACGAGGAGACAGTGTTCGAGAGCAGCAAGTACCTGATGGTTCAGAGAGACAACGTGTTCTCTCTGAGGATCAAAGATGCCCAGAAGGGAGACGAATCAAACTACAGCATCACCCTGACCAATCAGAGAGGAGAACAAGCCAAGAGCTCCGGCAAGCTCATCGTGAAAGGTCGGTGGGAAACAGTCATGCGCTCACTTCCTATAGACGCCCAAAGAAACATCAGAAGATTTATTATTACATCTTATTTTAACACTGGCGCAAACAACGACCAAGCATGTTTTAAAGAATAAATTAAAAGAGTCATAAATGCTTATAGAAGAATGAAGGTGTGATATCAGGGCTGATATAGATCATAGAGAATCATGAGAACAATTACGGTTTCCTGTCCCCATGAATCAGAACTTCATCCCCCCTCCCTGCTCACCCCTGATGTAAACAAACTCTGAGTTGACCGTAGTCATGACGACCGGGTGAAACCGACCTGAGGAAGAGAATATGTTTACAGACGAGCTAATGTATCCGAGTATAATTTGCATGACGTTTTTATCACAGCAGCATAAACAGCAACAGTACGGCAAAATTAAATTTTCATTCTGTAAAAACTATAATCATTTGTTAAGTAGATTCCTTAAGGCAGCATGAAACAGACAGTCTGCTCGAGTCCAACACGTGTCTGATTTATGTTTTGTTGTTCAGAGGAGAGTCTGAGGTTCGTTGTTCCTCTGGAGGACATCGACACTCAGGAGAAGAAGACCGTCAGCTTCTCCTGCAAAGTCAATAGACCAAACGCCACGCTGAAGTGGATGAAGGCCGGCCAGGAGATCGTCTTCAACAAACGCATCGTGTACAGAGTGGACAAAGAGAAACACACCCTGACCATCAAAGACTGCACGCTGGCAGATGAGGGCGAGTACACCGCCATGGCCGGTGACAACAAATCCACAGCCGAGCTGATCATCAGCGAGGCGCCCACAGACTTCTCCATGAACCTGAAGGACCAGACCATCCCCGAGTTTGAGGATGCAGAGTTCACCTGCAAGCTGACCAAAGAGAAAGCAGACGTAAAGTGGTACAGAAACGGACGTGAGATCAGAGAAGGACCGAGGTTTGTCTCCACCAAGCTTTAAGTTAGAGTTGCTCAGAATTTTTCTTTAAAACATTTCCTTAAAAAATTTATAATTTTTTTTCCAGATACACATTTGAAAAGGATGGAAAGATGTGCACCCTGCGTATCAAGGAGTGCAGACCAGATGATGAGTGCGAGTACGCCTGCGGAGTGGACGAGAAGAGATCCAGAGCTAGGCTCTTTGTTGAAGGTGAGCTTCCTTAAAATCCATTCTTTATGGACTCTTGATGCAGTAAATTGTTTATTTTAAGTATAAACGGGGCACTGTTCTGTTCTGCACTCCATTGTTTGGTGAGAATGAAATCTTTACAGCTAAGGAATGAGAAATAACAAGCAGAGTGCTGCAGTAAGAAAAAACAGAAAGTAAGAAAACAGAAGTTGTCCAAGGATTGATCCTTATGGTACACCAATTATGAACTCAGCAATTACTGTTGAAATAAACATTATGAGTCATTGATACAATTTTTTCATTAACCTCCTCATGAACCTCCTGTCCTGCAGAGACCCCGGTGGAGATCATCAGACCCCCGCAGGACGTGTTTGAACCTCCAGGCTCGGATGTGGTGTTCGAGGTGGAGCTTAATAAGGACAGAGTGGAGGTGAAATGGTTGAGGAACAACATGACGGTTGTTCAGGGAGACAAGTATCAGATGATGAGTGAGGGTAAAATCCACAGACTGCAGGTCTGTGAGATCAGACCCAGAGATCAGGGAGAATACAGGATCATCGCAAAGGACAAAGATGCCAAGGCAAAGCTGGAGCTCGCTGGTAAGACAACAACAGCTTGTCGGTCTACTGTTGTTAAAAATTGTACCCAAAAGATTCAGGCTGTAGAATATTTTAAACAAACCAAGAAATTTAGAATACAGTGAGCTGAAGAGTGTTAAAAGGAGACTGATTTTCTGTGTTTACTTGCTGCCTTGTCCTCCAGCTGTGCCTCAGATTAAGACCACAGATCAGACCTACATCACAGACGCCAGGAAGCCCATCACCATGGCCGTCCCCTACAGCGCCTACCCACATGCCGAGGCCGACTGGCTCTACAACAACCTGAGTCTGCCCAAAGACAACATCCACACATCCTCTGACCGCACAGAGTACCGTCTGAAAGACCCACTGAAGGCCGACGAGGGCCGCTACAAGGTCATCATCAAGAACAAACACGGAGAGGGAGAGCTTACATCAACCTGGAGGTCATCGGTGAGCTCTCTGAGATAAAACTGTGGTATTAATAGTGGCTTAACCAGCACGCCATGAAGTGGTTGGTAGATATTGTCAGAGACCGCCAGAGAGTCCAGCTCCCCCTTATATTACTCATATCGTATTGTTTTATTTCTCTAGATGTCCCTGGACCTGTGAAGAACCTGCAGGTAATTGACACAGCTGACGGCGAGGTCAGCCTGGCGTGGGAGGAGCCTGAGAGCGACGGCGGCAGCAAGGTCATTGGCTACGTGATGGAAAGACGCGATGTGAAGCGTAAGACGTGGACGCTGGCCACTGACCAAGCAGACAGTCCTGAGTTCACTGTGACTGGCCTCCAGAAGGACTCCATGTACCTGTTCAGAGTCTGCGCCAGAAACAGGGTCGGCAGCGGACCAAACGTGGAGACTGACAAACCTGTGCAGGCCAAGAACAAGTTTGGTGAGAATCCCTCCGATAAAAGATTTACCTCCCAAGCTGTTTCAAGTTTTAAATGGTAGGGCCGGTTTTCTGTGATAAATAGAAAAGAAGTGGGCCAAGAATTGATCTCTGTGGTGCTCCATGAATTAAACAGCCTATGAGATACAACCAATAATTTACAGCGGATAAATTTGACTCTATAATCGTTTCAGATGTTCCTGATGCTCCTCTGAACGTGATCGTTGGAAACGTCTCCAAGTTTGGCTGTACCGTCTCCTGGGAGGCACCAGAGGCCGATGGAGGCTCACCCATCACCTCCTACATCATTGAGCTACGTGACAGGACGTCGGTGAAGTGGTCGCCCGTCCAGGTGACCAAAGCCGACGAGCTTAGCGCCATCATCAACGACGTCATCGAGAACAAAGAGTACATCTTCAGAGTCAAAGCCCAAAACAAAGCTGGTGTGGGAAAACCCAGCGCTGCCTCACAGCCGGTCAAGATCATGGATCCCATAGGTGAGAAGAGTTTCATCTTTTTAATCAAACTTAAAATAAATAAAACATCATAAAGTACATCAAAGTATATAAAGACAAACATGCAAACATCATAAACATAAATCCAAAACAATAATCAGTGTTGTGAACATGAACTTCATCATTCCTACACCTTCTCGGTCCTTTTCAACAGAAGTTATATTTGTTTTTTTGTGTTTGTCTGCCTGCAGAGCCTCCCAGTCCTCCTCTGAACCTGGTGTGGCAGGACCAGAACAAGAACTCGGTGCAGCTCACCTGGGAGACTCCTCTGAAGAACGGAGGTAGCATGATCACCGGATACATCATCGAACGCTGCGAGGACGGCACCGACAAGTGGCTGCGCTGCAACACCCGCCTGTGCCCCGACCTCTTCTACAAGGTGCCACAAACATCAAATCCTCATTGACTGTTTTCTGTCAGACATGATGCTTTAAACTCTAAACTTTTAAAGTGATTGTATTGAACAGGCAACGATGGTCTCAGATGTTAGCATGTTAGCATTCAGGTCTCGTCCAAGAGTGATGTGTGCGGCGTGGAGCTGAACAAAAAGCCTCATCTTCTCTCACACTTACATTACTTTTAAACTTTGATTTGTTTTCAGGTGTCTGGTCTGAGATACGGAACCAAGTACAACTACAGAGTGTTTGCTGAAAACGCCGCCGGACTCTCCGGACCCTCAAACACCCTTGGACCTCTGCTGGCTGACGACCCACATTGTGAGAATGATTTTTAATGTGTTTTAATATCAGTAATTCAATAAAAGCCTGTCAGCTGCTTCACTGTAAATTTTCCTGTTCAATCATCACGCCTATCATGCCTCACTCTCTCTCACTTCTCTGCAGTCGCTCCAACATTCGACCTGAGTGCTTTCAAAGACGGCCTGGAGGTGATCGTCCCTCAGCCTCTCACCATCAGAGTCCCCATCACCGGATACCCGACCCCCAACGCAAAGTGGACCTTTGGAGAGAAGGAGATGACCACCGCCGACGAACGCGTCACCCTGACGACCAAAGCTACATTCGTAGAAATGATCGTCCAACCGAGCGTCCGTCCAGACCGAGGCACCTACACCCTGACACTGGAGAACGACATCACGTCCGTCTCTGGGGAGATCGATGTCAATGTCATCGGTACACAAACTATCAGCAGATTATCCGAAGCAAAAGTTGATCAGTAACAAACAAATCATCACTCAGCTTTTTTTTGTGGTTCAATCGTTTCTATTTCTGTTTGCGTCCTCCAGCTGCTCCCAGCGCTCCCAAGGACTTTAAGGTCCTGGAGGTGACCCGGCAGCACGTGCACTTGAGCTGGGAGGCTCCGGAGCACGATGGAGGAAGTCCTCTGACCGGCTACCAGGTGGAGAAACGGGACGTGTCCCGCAAGACCTGGGTCAAGGTAAGAAGTTAAAGCCAAAAGATGGTAGTTCAAATACTCAATCTTTCTTTACAATAAAAATAGAAACAGTTAATTATTATAAGACCATTCAGTCGTATAATGTAACAATACTATGCTATATGATAATAACTGTGGTACAGTGTTTTACTGTACAGGACACATTATAAGTCAATCCTAAAGTACTCAAACTCTACATTTAATCTCTGTGTCTCTGCTCTCTGTCAGGTGGTCACAGGTATCCAGGATCAGGAGTTCACCGTCACCGATGTGGTTGAAGGAAAGGAGTATCTGTTCAGAGTCACCGCCTGCAACAAGTGTGGACCAGGAGAGCCGGCGTACATTGACGAGCCTGTCAACGTCTCCTCTCCTGCCAGTGAGTCACACCACCAGTGTTTCACAACATGCATTGTAGCAAAGACACTGCAAAGTCTTTAAACTAACAGAAGACTGTGTTTTGAGTCTTCAGGAACTTTCTAACCCCTCCCTCTCCCCTCCAGCTGTACCCGACCCCCCAGAGAACCTGAGGTGGAGAGACAAGTCAGCCAGTGGCATCTTCCTGACCTGGGAGCCTCCCAAGTACGACGGCGGCACCGGGATCAGAGGATACAACGTGGAGCGCTGCCAGAGAGGAACTGATAAGTGGGAGCCCTGTGGAGATATGGTGCCTGAACTGAAGTGCCAGGTGACCGGCCTGATCGAGGGCCAGTGGTACTCCTACAGAGTCAGAGCCCTGAACCGCCTTGGAGCCAGTAGGCCCTGCAAGGCAACCGACGAGATCCAGGCCGTGGATCCCATAGGTACCCAGACCGTCTGATTGTTACTTTTTTGTCTCTTAGTGCAGTAGTTTCTCTCACAGCTATCTGTTACACCAAGCTTCCTGTTAAATTTACTCCCTGTCCTCCTTTTTGTCCCTGTAGAGGCTCCAGAGATACAGCTTGACGCCAAGCTGCTGGCCGGTCTTACCGCCAAAGCTGGCAGCAAGATCGAACTCCCCGCAGAGGTGAAGGGTAAGCCCGAGCCTCGCGTCAAATGGACCAAAGCTGACCTGGTTCTGAAACCAGACGACAGAGTATCCATCGACACCAAGCCGGGAAGCTCCACCGTCACCATCGCCAAGACCAAGAGAGACGACAGCTCCACCTACATCATCGAGGCCACTAACAGCTGCGGTCGCGCCACCGCCACCGTCGACGTCAACATCCTTGGTCAGAACAGAGAAATGTTTTTTTAAAAGAGTTTGTCATTAAATTCGTTTAGTTTCTGGATAACTAAACTCAAATATTATTTCCTGGCACAGATAAACCCGGTCCTCCGGCTGCCTTCGACATCTCCGAGATCACCAACGAGACCTGCTTCCTGGCCTGGAACCCTCCGCGTGACGACGGCGGCTCCAAAGTCACCAACTACATCGTGGAGAGGCGAGGGGCCGACAGCGAGATCTGGCACCGTCTGTCCTCTACCGTTAAACAGACCACGTACAGAGCTGTGGGTCTGACCAAGTTCAAGGAGTACATCTTCAGAGTGTTTGCTGAGAACCAGTTTGGAGTCGGACCTCCGGCTGAACATCTACCCATCATCGCCAGATATCCCTTCGGTAAGCCAGTCCAGTTGAGGCAGTCTCCAAAAGCCAAATAATCCTTATTAGGTCACATGGTTACAGCCTGGTTCAAAAAACGAATTTGGTATCGATAGCCGACGAGAGTTGGTGAAAAAGTAGCATAATTTGGGGTGTGGCTGAATTGACCTACAGGTGGGTGTGTTGTAGCTGTTTGTAAGGAGGCTTAAGCTCCGCCTTAGATCCACCTCTAAGCCGATTTCTTTTTTGATCTTAAGAGTCAAATATGCCGACCGCCATCGCTTGGCTTCATAATGCCTCGACCGAAACGATGGGTGATGTTATTGATAATACATCCATGTCTCATATAGGGTTCACACAGAAGCTTGAAGATCTTTAAATATTGTTATTTCTTCCCTGTTGATCAAAAATAAGTTTGATAAAAGTCTGTTTGGCCGATCCAAAACTACAGCCAGCTAACTTAGCTTAGCATATGGCTAAAGGAGTATCAGGGAACCTCTGACTCCCTTTAAAAAATTACTTTCTTTAAAGAGATCTGTGTCAGACATTTGTCATTGTCTGTCTCATCCTCAGACACGCCTGGAGCTCCTTACAAGCTGGAGCCTTCAGACATCGCCAAAGACTCTTTGACCCTGTCCTGGTACGAGCCCGATGAGGACGGAGGAAGCCCCATCACCGGGTACTGGGTGGAGCGACATGAACCCGAACACGACAAGTGGATCAGATGCAACAAGCTGCCCATCAAAGACACAAACTACAGGTTAGCCTCTCACCATCTGTTCTTCTTTCTGTCATCCAATCAGATCAGTACTCTTTAAAAAAAAGTCTGCTATTGATGTTGATTTTTTCTGGTTGGATGATGATGAAAGAGAGCAAATACTCTCTTTAAGACGCGTTTGTAAAAGGAGCATGAGGTTTGGGCTCTTTGTGTGCGTGACATGTGAATAAGAATTAATCGATCTATGTGTTCCCCTGCAGAGTCAAAGGACTTCCCACCAGGAAGAAGTACAAGTTCAGAGTCCTGGCTGAGAATCTGGCTGGAACTGGAAAACCGAGCAAGGAGACAGACATGATCCTCGTTAAGGATCCTATCGGTACAAAAACATTCACTCAAGTTGTGTTCAAGAATCTCTAGTCTTCCAGAGAACTTTCAACATCATGCTTTCACTCTTTCAGATCCTCCATGGGCTCCCGGTAAACCCACGGTGAAGGACGTGGCCAAGACTTCCTGCTTCCTGATCTGGACCAAACCGGAGCACGACGGCGGTGCAAAGATCGACGGCTACATCATTGAGATGCTGAAGAGCGGAACCACAGACTGGATTCGCGTGGCAGAGAACATCAACATCCTGGAGCACTTCCTGAAGGGACTGATGGAGAAGCAGGAGTACTCGTTCAGAGTGCGAGCAGTCAACGTTGCCGGGGAGAGCGAGCCCAGCGAGCCCAGCGATCCCGTGCTCTGCAAAGAGAGACTCAGTGAGAAAACTAAATCCCCACAACAGACAAGGCATTTCAAAATAAAACTCCAGAACAAGACTGAATAATTCAATCGTACATCTCTCCTCAGATCCTCCGTCTGCTCCTCGCTGGCTGGACGTCATCAGCATCAGCAAGAACAGCGCCGAGCTGAAGTGGACGGCGCCCGAACGCGACGGAGGCGCTAAGATCACAAACTACGTGGTGGAGAAGCGTGACGTCAGGCGTAAAGGCTGGCAGGCGGTGGACACCACAGTGAAGGAGCTGAAATACTCTGTGACCCCCCTCAACGAAGGATCGCTCTACGTGTTCCGCGTCGCTGCTGAGAACTCAGTGGGTGTCGGCCCATTCTGCGAGCTGGCTGACTCTGTGCTGGCTAAAGACACGTTCAGTAAGTCAGAGAAAAGTTTAGGTAATTTCTAGGTTACTTGTTTTAATCATTATATTTCGATTTAACTGTCGATGTTTGTTCCAGCTACTCCCGGACCACCGTACTCTCTCACTGTCAACGCTGTGACCAAGAGATACGTGGACTTGCAGTGGGAGGCACCTCAGAACGACGGCGGCAGACCCATCCTCAAGTAAGTGTCAATCTTTGTTTGTATTGTTCAACATTTACCTGTGACCACAAAAAGTTACGTTTCAGCTCCACATATAGCACATAGAGTAAGTCCCTATGAAGGTTTGTTTACCTGGCTGTTACCCCCTCAGGTATTCCATTGAGAAGAAGGAGAAGCTGGGAACTCGCTGGGTGAAATGTGGAAAGACTTCCGGTCCAGACTGTAAGTACAGAGTGACGGACGTCATAGAGGGAACCGAGGTCCAGTTCCAGGTCGGCGCTGAGAACGAGGCCGGCGTCGGTCACCCCAGTGAACCCACCGAGATCTTGACCATCGAAGACCCCACCGGTCGGTGCAGTCGCCACTCCTAACACTCATTAAAAAGATGATAGCAAAGAGAAAACAGACTGAATCAATCTGTCCTGTCTCTTCCAGGCATCCCATCGCCGCCCATCGAGCTGCACGTGACCGGAGCGAGCCGTGACTTCCTGTCCATTGCCTGGAAGCCCCCCCAGAGGGACGGCGGTTGTCCAATCAGCGGCTACCACATCGAGATGTGTGAGGCCGGCACAGAGAAGTGGATGAGGGTCAACTCTCGCCCTGTGAAGGAGCTGAAGTACCGTGTGGAGGAAGGCCTGGTCCCCGAGAAGGAGTACATCCTGAGAGTGAGGGCCATCAACGCCGCCGGAATCAGCGAGCCCTCCGACATCTCCGAGAACGTCTTCGCCAAAGAATCCGACTGTAAGAATCTGCCCACCACCTGGACCTTAACCTTCAAAATTACTTGTATGGCTGATTTATTCCCGTCCTTTGTGTCCAGGTAACCCGACGCTGGAGTTCCAGACGCTGGACCTGGTCGTCGTAGAAAGAGAGAAGATGCACATCCCCATCCCATTCAAAGCCGTCCCCTCACCAAGGATCACCTGGCACAAAGACGGGAAGGAGCTGAAGGCGGACGAGCGCCTCAGCTTCAGGTAAAAAAAAGATCAACTTGTGTAAAGACGTTTATTTGTCCGTCAGCGACCGCAGGAACTGTGAGAGGGGAAAGTCTTCGCACTAAAACTGAAGAATTAAAAACCTTAAACATTTAACTTTTCAACAATAAATCAGATGCCGTTCTTCACCCGTCGCCGTTTGAAGTAACAAACATGTTCAAACATCAGGAACAGCTGGACGTTTTCTACTGCAGTGTTTAAAGGATGAAATGTATTTTATATGTCAGAACAAAATCATGAAAAACAAACTAATGTGACGTCATGTAAACAGAAAACAATTACCATAACATCCGGTGTTTAGGACACACTTTAAATACCATTTCTATCATCTCCAAAGTTGGCTGCGTCCTTTATACCAGTATATAAAAATGCTGACTCACCATGACACAGCTGCCACCATCACCACCCACAACATGCGATTGAAAAGTCACCTCCACTTGTTGTGTTATGGAAGCTGTGCCAGGAACCATAGGGACGCTAATGAGGCTGGCAGAGTCGCTTTTTACCGCCTTCTCTCCATCATGAGGTCATCATGGTGCTTTTAAATCAAGCAGTGGTTTACTGATCAGTAAGTTAGTCTGGTGGAGTTTAAGTCCTATAGTAAAGAGTTACCAGCGGGTGGGCAGCGCGACTCGAAGGATGAGGGTCCGTACACCACACCTTTCCCTGCAGGCTGAGAGCTCGAGTGAAACCAGATGAAACTAAAAGAGCGACACAGCTGCACAGACACTGACCATCGTAGACTGAACACAATAAATCATCACACAGGAAGTCAGTTTAAACAGTTTTAGTTTTTCTCTCTGGGAGACCTCCAACATCTGCGTCTTATATTCCAGATAATGATTCCCATATTAGAGCTTCTGAAAGCATGTCATGTGACGGCTGCTTAAATGTCAAACTCGAGGATCCAGCTTCACAATAAAATGAATTGATTGTTTTTTGTCCCATAGGAAGGAGTACATGTCGTGTCACCTGGAGGTGGAGAGCAGCGTCCACGCTGACGCAGGACCGTACAAAGTGACTCTGGAGAACAAGCTGGGAGCCGCCAGCGCCGCCATCAATGTCAAAGTCATCGGTACTGAATCGGACACAGATTCGATTTATGATTAAAAGTCAACATCCTGCTATAGGACGACCTCCTACTCATGGTGTCTCTGTCTCTCTGTCCTCAGGTCTGCCCGGTCCCTGTAAGGAGATCGTGGCCTCTGAGGTCACAAAGAGCTCCTGTAAAGTCTCCTGGGATCCTCCAGACTACGACGGAGGCAGTCCCATCCTTCACTACGTCCTGCAGGTCCGACATACAGGGGATTGTTTTTGTGTTTGAGCTGGTACAAAGTTTAAATCGGACCTCCGGGTCTGATAGACGGTCACACTCCTCTCTGATGTTTGTGTTTGTTCACGCAGCGCCGTGAGGCTGGCAGGAGGACCTACGTCAACATGATGTCAGGAGAGAACAAGGTGTGCTGGACCGTCAAAGACCTGATCCCCAACGGAGAGTACTACTTCAGAATCCAGGCCGTCAACAAGATCGGAGGAGGAGAGTTCATCGAGCTCCGCAACCCGGTCATCGCCCAGGACCAGAAACGTACGATGATAATAGAGGGGTTTATAGGCATGATCAAATACAGCATCAGAGTGGATTTAGAACAAGAAACTTACAAGAAACAAGAGCTCTGAGAATTATTTACACTGCTTGAAGAGGAGGAGGACATGTGACCTTTAACATCGACTCTTTTTTCATCCAAGAGAAATCTGACGTTACTGTTTCTCCTACACAGACATTCCTGACCCTCCGGTGGACGTGGAGACCCACAACCCGACCTCCAGCACCGTTACTCTGACCTGGAAGCCCCCGATGTACGATGGCGGCTCCAAGATCATGGGCTACGTTCTGGAGAAGCAGCTGAAGGGCGAAGACAAGTGGGAACGGTGCAACGACTTCCTGGTACCCGTGCTGTCCTACACCGTCAGAGGCCTGACAGAGGGAAAGACCTACACCTTCAGAGTCAAAGCCGAGAACGCCGCCGGACTCAGCGAGCCGTCACGCAACTCGCCTTACGTCAAGGCCTCAGACGCCGTGGGTAAGGATGACATCAGCTTCTGACAGCCTCAGAAGAGTTTAACCATCTGAGTGTTAGATATAGGAAGCAGAGGGAAAACATTTAGAGTTTTATAACGAGGGAATTCTGAGAAATTTTTAAATTCACTGATGCTTGATGAGTTTTTCATGCTGACCAGCTGTTTTCCTATATTCTGCGTCGTCATGTTGACCTAAGCGAGCTTTTTGATGATTACAGATTAATATCGACTACACAGAACAAAATCTTACTTTATGGCAGCAGAGTAAATTAAAGGCAAGAAGGATGATGAAGCAGAAATCTGAGCCGACCTTTGAGTTGATTTGTGTCGTTCTCTCTCAGATCCTCCCAAAGTGTTCCTGAGCGGCAGCCTGCAGTCCGGCCTCAGCGTGAAGCGAGGCTGTGAGATCTGCCTGGACGCAAACATCTCCGGCTCGCCATACCCTCAGATCACCTGGTACTGGAACAACCAGGTGATCAGTCCCGAGCCGCTCCGCAAGAGGCCCGATAAACCCCTGAAGAAGAAGGTAGAGAAGAAGGAGGAAGAGAAGAAGCCAGAGGAGAAGAAGCCCGAGGAGGAGGGAGCAGCAGAGAAGAAGGAGGGAGAGGAGAAGAAGGAGGAGGAGAAGAAGAAGGAAGAGGCAGCGGAGCCCGAGGTGGAGGAAAGCGACTACCCGACCATCAACGAGCGTCTGACCATCAATAACAGCCGCAGGGGTGTGTCCTCCATCATCATCAAGGACTCAGTCCGCGCCGACCATGGCGTCTACATGGTGAAGGTGGAGAACGATCACGGCCGGGCCTCGGTGACCTGCGAGGTCAACGTGCTCGGTGAGAATTTATAAAGATGACTTTTACTGTAGAATGTCGATACTTCTGTAAAACGTCAGTTACGTTCCACATTTCTGGGTGTAAAACAGTTTAATCTCCTCTGTCCGCAGACACTCCTGGGCCGCCGGTGAACTTCCGTTTTGAGGAGGTGAGGAAGGACTCTGTAATCTGTAAGTGGGATCCTCCGCTGGACGACGGCGGCAGTGAGATCCTGAACTACAGCCTGGAGAAGAAAGACAACTCGAAGCTGGAGATTGGCTGGAGCAGCGTCACGTCCACGCTGAGAGGGTGTCGTTACCTGGTGCCCAAACTCATTGAGAAGAAGGAGTACATCTTCAGAGTGCTGGCCGAGAACAAACACGGAGCTGGTCCACACTGTGTGTCCAAGCCGCTCATTGCTAAGAACCCATTCGGTAAGAAGATATGTTCTAAACATAAACTCATTTATCTTCTCGGTTAAGGTAGATTTATAAGATTTAAACCAGAGGACAATGAAGGTTTGTCACAAGACCAGAGACACAAAAGGAGACACCATACAATTCATGAACACTAACATATGCGTTCAAAGAGAGAATATCTATAGTCCTATTCAGAGCGCCAATTTGCTCCTGCTGCTTCATCGGCAGTATGTGAATGTGTAGGTGTGACCGGCGGTTTGAGTCATCAGAAGGCGAGAAAAGAAGACGATACAAGCTCAAGTCAGTTCAGCATTGAAATTGAATTGTGTCTCTTGGTCCTCCTCAGAGCCACCTGAGACTCCTGATAAGCCAGAGATTGATGACATCACAGCCAACAGCATGCTGGTGACCTGGAACGAACCCAAAGACAACGGTAGCCCCATCCTGGGATACTGGGTGGAGCGCCGCGAGATCAACAGCTCACACTGGACACGAGTCAACAGGTAGGACAGTCAACAACAAAACCTTTGTATCCATTTTTATACACCCAATATCAAAAGCTTTCTACTGGACGTCTGATTTACTCATGTGTCGCCCTGACTTTCAGGAACATCATCACCGACACCGAGGTGAACGTCGAGGGTCTCATCGAGGGGCTGACTTACATCTTCAGGGTCGCGGCTGAAAACCAGGCCGGCCCCGGAAAGTACAGCGTCCCATCAGAACCCAAGACCGCCCAGGCTCCGATCTGTACGTAAACTTTGATCCAACCTGTGATGAGTGAGGCTTAAATCAACGTTTACATCTCCGTCAAACTGCAAGGAAGTTACCGACATCGAGAAATGTTTGATGGTCATAACTTCTCTCGTGGTTTTTTCTCAATAATGCTGACTTAGCAAATGTTCTATAATTTGAATCATGGAGAAAACAAGGCCATGAAGACGCTCCTCACACTACATGTTCCTCTCAATCATGGACAGAGAATCAGTGTCAGAGATTTTACATCCAATTTGTGTTTGTCTGTGACATTGCAGTACCTCCTGGACCTCCAACTGCCCGAGTTGCATCAACATCCGATCACTCCATTGATGTGGAGTGGGACCCTCCAGCCGACAATGGTGGAGGAGATATCCTGGGATACCACGTGGATAAGGTCAGATTAACACTTTCACCCACCTCCTTTTATCTTCCAGATACATTTTCATTTCTCTTTTGATGTTTTAAAATGTAACTTACTGTTTCTATGTGCTGTGCTGGTTTTAAGGCCATGGCTGGTACAAAGGACTGGTCCAGGTCTACCGAGCGACCATGGAAGACTCGGGAGTTCACCGTGTACGGAGTCCGTGAGGGAGCCAAGTACATGGTCCGAGTCATCGCCTGCAACGCTGCAGGAGAGGGAACCCCAGGATTCACAGAGTCCGTGTTCGTCAGAAACCCTGCAGGTCAGACTCTAAACACAGACGTTTACAAACGGACAGATTTACTCAGTTATGGTCAGAATGGGTTTAGAATGAATGTTTTAATGACTCATCCATTTTGATTTGATGAAGGTGTAACGGTTTGTCAGGAGGCTTAAATCCCGCCTCAGCTCCAGCATTTTTTTTAAGATTTATTTTTGGGCTTTTTCTGCCTTTAATTGAAAGATAGAACAGCGGATAGAGTCGGAAATCAGGGAGAGAGAGAGAATGGGGAATGACATGCAGGAAAGGAGCCACAGGCTGGATTTGAACCTGGGCCGCCCGCTTGGAAGACTACAGCCTCCATACATGGGGCACGCGCACTAACCACTGCACCACCAGTGCCCCAGCTTCAGCATTTTTAGGTTACATTTCTTTTGATCCAGTGTTAAATTTTCTCCATTCTGCAGAGGTGCCGGTGATTGAACTGGACCTGTCCGTCAAGAATGGCGTGGTCATCAGAGCCGGAGAGACGCTGCTTGTGCCAGCTACAGTCACAGGTAAACCCTACCCGTCACTCACCTGGACCAAGGATGATGGAAAACCCGACAAAGACACCGTGGAGATCCTCAGCGAGGGCAACGACAGCATCGTTCAAATCAAGAAAGTTCAGAGGAAAGACTGCGGCAAATACCAGATCTCTGCCTGCAACCCCAGCGGCACCAAGTCCGCATGGACCCGAGTGGAGGTCATGGGTGAGTGGAACCAGGATTCAGGATCCATCTTATATTATAAACAATAGGAACAAGGAGGAATAACATGGTTTTGTCTTCAGATGTCCCCGGACCTGTTACCGACCTCAAGCCCGTTGTCGTCACTCGTAAGATGATTTTCCTGAACTGGGACGACCCCGTGGATGACGGAGGCAGCGACCTGACCGGCTTCATTGTGGAGCGCAGAGACGCCAAGATGCACACCTGGAGGCAGCCAGTTGAGACGGCCTCCTCCAAGTGTGAGTGTGTGGGCATCATGGAGGGACAGGAGTACATGTTCCGAGTCATCGCAAAGAACAAATACGGCATGGGCCCGCCCGTCGAGCTGGGACTCATCAAGGCTGTGGACCCACAGGGTGAGTCCTAAAAAAATGCCAAGACTTAAGAGTGAGGAGGAGCTGCATAAGCTGTCTGTGTTTATAATCCTTGTTTGATATTTTCTCAGGACCACCATCGTACCCTGAGAAGTTCCACTACACGGAGCGTACAAAGAACTCGCTTACGCTGACCTGGAAGCCTCCTCGTAACGATGGCGGCAGCCCCGTCATCGGATACTTTGTGGAGAAGAAGAGACAGGACAAGCAGGCCTTCGAGCCCTGCAACACTGAGATCTGCCCTGACATGACCATGACTGTGGAGGGTCTGGAAGAGGCCTGGATGTACGAGTTCAGGATCAAGTGTGCCAACCTGATCGGAGAGAGCGAGCCTTCCATCCCACTGACCGTGGTCATCCAGGACGATGAAGGTGAGGCCAAATGTTTCTACTCTAACCATGCATCCAGTCATCCAGGATGAACTCCACAGTCTCATAAACGCAGACTTTTTAAAACCTTCTGCTGGACGGACACTCCTCCTATTTGTAGTCATCTGCCATCTTGTTCCATGGCGTCTTCCATTTAATGACGTTAGAATGAATAAAGTGACGTTTCCTGGTGGAGGTGGTTCTGTGACATTAGTGAAATGAGACATTTATTTTATAAACTGTGAAAAGCAAGTGGCTGCTAAGGAGGCCTAGGATGCAATGTTGATGATAATGATAATGTTCTGATCTGTCTATCCTCGTGTCCTTTCCCCTTCAGTGTCTCCTGAGGTCCACATGCTGAAGCACTTTAAGGGCGATCTCATCACCGTGAGGAAGGGCGAGAGTGTCGAGATCCCCGCTGACATCCTGGGTCTCCCCATCCCGAAGATCGAGTGGACCAAGGACGATGTTGTGATTGAGAAACCCACAGAGACTCTGCTGATAGAGACAGAGGTGACCGGCCGGTTGAACGCCAAGACCACTCTGTCTATCCCCGCCGTCAACAGGAGGGACCGCGGCAGCTACACCGTGACCGCCTCCAACAACATGGGCTCAGCCAAGCACACCACCACCATCATGGTGCTGGGTGAGTTTCAACACGCAGTTAATCGGATTCACAATGCGGCCATTTTCCTCTAACATCATCTTCACTGCGGGAAGCTCAATGTTGTCAAAATATTTTTGCAACTTAGACATAGCCCAGGAGTTTGTCTGCAATGATTGATAATAATTAGCATCCTGACAAAACTTGCGCAGTGTGAAAAAGGTCAATGACTCAATCAGAGGCAGGAAACAACAGATCTGCTTTATTGTTAAGAAAAGAATCGTCTAAACTGTTTCTCTCCTCTCAGACCGCCCCACTCCGCCCAGGAATGTTAGAGTGTCCAACATCAAGGCAGAGTCATGCTACCTGCATTGGGACGCACCACTGGATAATGGTGGCAGCGAGCTCACAAACTACATCGTTGAGAAGAAGGACGTGGTGACAGAGGAGGCGGAGCTGGAGGAGGGACAGGAAGCACCTGCCGAGCCTCAGTGGGAGGAGGTCACCAACAGCATTGTTGAGAAAAGATTTGGGGTACGTCCTGAAAACAACAACAAGAGGAACACGGTCGCATTCAGACACACATTTCACTCTAATTCTAACTTAATGTCCTGCAGGTGTGGAACCTGGAGACCAACAAGTCCTACCTGTTCAGAGTGAGAGCCGAGAACCGTTACGGTAAATCCGACCCCTGCTCAACGGAGGAGGTCCAGATCACAGATCCATTCGGCCTCCCCGGCCCACCGGAGAAACCCGCCATCGCAGAGTACTCCAAGACCTCCATGACTCTGACCTGGGATGTCCCAAGAGACAACGGCGGCTCCACCATTATTGGATACTGGTTGGAGAAGCGAGAGAAGGGCACCGCCTACTGGGCCAAAGTCAACAAGATGCCGTTCACCAAGAGGGGCATGAAAGGATGGGAGTACCAGGTGAGCAGTCAGGACCCTGTAGGTCTTTAGTGAAGACAATGAGTCGCTCACAGCGAAAGGGTGTGAATGCAGCTCCATTTTTACCATCTTTTCTCCGTCATGAGGTCATAATCATGCATTTAAATCAAACAGTGGTATTCAGTTTGGTGAATGAAGCTTGCGGGGTGCTGGACTGATGATCGAAAAGACTCCTCAGACAACAAGCGATCGGCAGAGATGTACTTCAGAACTTCAGAAGTCAAGCTGTATCTAGTAGAACAGCAAATGCAACAAAGCGAAAACAGATGTAACTAAAAGAGCGACACAGCTGCACAGAAACTGAACATTGTAGTAAACATCGTCACACAGGACGACAGTTTACAACTTTTTTTCTCTCTGAGAGACCTCCAAAACAGACAGACACTCAGGATTTTACGATACTTATAAAAATGTCTCCTTGAGATATTTCCAATAGTCAAATGGAATGATGTTTTGCATCTCTTTGTGAGGGTCCTTCACAGACCTTTACATGATTTCACTGAAAGCCCAAATAATTGTATTTCAGAGAGCCATTATAAAGACAGTGATGAGGGGTCTTCATGGATCCAAAGTCTGATGAGTCCAAACATCTCTCTTTGTCTTTCAGGTGACTCGTCTGATCGAGGGAACAGAGTACGAGTTCAGGGTTGCTGCCTGCAACTCTGCAGGAACTGGACCGTTCAGCGGACCATCAGACTCTGCCTTCGCCGTCGATCCCCTCAGTGAGTGATTAAACAAACTTAAACACACTGGTGCTTCTTTGTTTTAAAGATCATCTATTGAATGTCACCTTGCTTGGATGCTCTGTTTTAAAAACTGCTGTTCTTCCCTCCAGCTCCTCCCAGCATGCCTGCTGCTCCCGTGGTTGCGGATAAGACAAAGCACAATGTGACGCTGTCCTGGACGCCTCCAGAGAGAGATGGAGGAAGTCCCATCAAAGGGTACATCATCCAGATCCAGGACGAGGGCTCGTCTGAGTGGGTGAGGGTGAATGACCCTGATACACCCCACCCTACCACCGAGTTCACTGTGCCAAGTCTCCGCGCTCTTAAACGCTACCGCTTCAGGATCATCGCTGTCAACGACATCGGCGAGTCCGACCCCAGCCCCCGCACCAGCGAGGTCCTGATTGAGGACATCCAGCGTACGTGCTGACTCTCACTGTAGTAACTCGAAATGTTGTCCAAAGTGTGTGTCAATGTGCTTCACTGATGTTTCTTTACTCCACAGTTCCACCTTCCATCAACATCGACCTCATTGTTGAAGATCTGCTGTGCATCCGGGCCGGAGATCCATTCAAAATCCCTGCCACCATCAAAGGCCGCCCTGCTCCCAAGGTTACCTGGGAGTTTGACGGCAAAGCCAAGTCGCACAAGAAGAACAAACTGCACACACTGCCTGTGGACTCAGAGGTGAGACACCACACAGCTGAAACACCCTGTGCTCTTTATGTTTGATGCATTTAAGTCTAATTTTATAACTGTTTGTTTTCAGGTCGAGTCTACAGACACCACGTCCATTGTGAGCGTCCCCGTCTCTCTGAGGAGCCACTCTGGACGTTACACCATCACCGCCAAGAACAAGTCAGGACAGAAACACGTCAACGTCAGAGTCAACGTCCTGGGTACGTCGTTGAACTCTTTACACAGGCCGGGCTTGTTTGTTTGGCTGATGGTTTCACTGTTTGTTAAACTCTCTTCTTATTCCTGCGTGCAGACGTCCCTGGACCTCCAAAGGAGCTGAGAGTCACCGACATCACCCGCTCGACCATGAGGCTGATCTGGAAACTACCCGACAACGATGGAGGAGAGAGGATCAAGAGCTACTTTATTGAGAAGAAATGCATCACTGACAAGGCCTGGACCAAGGTGAACAGGGCTAAACTCATATTGACACTTTTCTGTGTTCCTCTAGATCCTCTCCTCTAAATCTTTTTTTGCATTTCCAGAATTGAAGCTCACTATTTATTTTTCAAGCCATTTATCACCTATAAGCTTTCTGAGAGTTTCTTCAGTGACTCTTTGAATGCTACGTCTAAATAACCAAACATTTGAACTCAATCTACGATCTGCAGACTGATCACGATGAACTGATGGATGGTTTGTTTGTCTTCAGGTGAATGCAGCCTGTGCCAGTCAGGCCTACGTGGTGCCCGGCCTGCTGGAGGGTCAGGACTACCTGTTCAGGGTCCGAGCTGAGAACAGACTCGGATTTGGTCCGTTCACCATCACCACCGACCCCGCCCGGGCCAGAGACCCCATCTGTGAGCACACACTCTAACTCAATTATAGAGCTACAGAACATCTGGTACTGTTAATCACTAAACCTCCTGCTCCTCCTCAGATCCACCCGACCCCCCCACCAAGGTGAGGGTCAACCTGGTGACGAAGAACACGGTCACTCTGAGCTGGGAGGCTCCCAAAAACAACGGAGGCTCTCCGGTGAAACATTACATAATCGAGCGTTTGAGCTGGGACACCAGCGGCAAAGAGAAGGAGACATGGAAGCAGTGCAACAAGAGAGAAGTGGAGGAGCTCACCTTCGTGGTGGAGGACCTGAAGGAGGTCCGTACCTGTCCCTTTAAGGATCCCACATCGCTCACTTTACTACTCAAACTTCAGGCTCACATTTAGACAGCACAACAGCCTGCATCTACACGTTACACTTATTGTTGCTGGTTTTGGAAAGTTTAATTCTACTTCCCTATGTGGTGACAGTTAGCTTCATGTTTTTAATATTTGATTTTATTAAATTAAATTTCACAAAGAAAAACTGAAAACAATGTAAATGAATCCTGGGAATCGTTCCCTCAAAAAACAAGAATCAGATTGGTTCCTCCTCCGCCATTGTTGTTGACAAAGCTGATATCAGAAGTCACTTCCCTTCTTGTTTTGATTCGTCATTGAGGGCGAAGTGGCATTGATTAGCGCAGCAGTGTTGCAGAAGCTGAACTTTTTATCAACTGAAAGTGCTGTGAGTGCAGCGAAAATAAACAACTGGCGTTGGGACGCTGGTTTGTATTTAAAATTGACAGTAAGCGCAAAAAGTGTCCTCAGTGGACAGAGACCTGCAATGCAATAACTTCTGCTTCAAAATGAGACTTCATAGGAATCCATCTTTCATTTTTTAAATTAAAATTAAAAACTAATTAGGCCCAAAACGGCACCCTGAGGAACCCCAAAAGTTATTGGATATACCATAACTACAAAATAGCTCAATAATTTCAATATAAAGACAATTATAAAACCATAAAAATAAATCAAACCATTATCAAACTTGTTCTTCACTCTATTGATATAGTTATGAATCTATGTGCTTTAGGTTTCTCTCAGACTGATTGATTTTATTCCTCTTGTTGTTCTGCAGGGAGGAGAATATGAGTTCAGAGTAAAAGCCGTGAATGCCGCTGGACCCAGCCGACCCTCTGCAACTGCTGGACCCTTGGTCATCAAGGATCAGACATGTGAGTGACAGAAACTTCCACCAACGAGAGCCTCATGAACAGTGAATGTGTAAAATCCAAAAGCTGTCTCAACCTACCTGCTGGTTAGTTACGTGTTTCTTAAAGAGTCTCAAATCTTTCTTCAGGCGCTCCCACCATTGAGCTGCGTGAGGCCATGGAGGGCGAGGAGGGCTGTGATGTCAGCATTGTGGCGAAGGTGAGCGGCTGTCCATTCCCCACGCTCACCTGGCAGAAAGCCAGCGTGGCCAAACCTGAGGATAAGGCCGCCATCCAGTACGACCAGCACATGAACAAACTGGTGACCCACGATAAGTGCACGCTGCTGATCCAGGAAGCCAGCAGGCACGACAGCGCCATCTACAGCCTGATTGCCACCAACAGCCTGGGAAAAGCCACCAAGGACATCAAAGTCTCCGTGTTTGGTGAGAAACTAAAATTTACTCTTCACATGTCGTCACATCGGGCTGTTATGAGTTGAATTTAGAGGAAACTGAAGGTTTACCTCTGAACATGTAGATTTTGCTTAATTCTTGCCACAAAAAAAAGATTGGCCAATCACAGTTTAGCACAAAAGGTCACTGACTAAATACAGAAGGGACCAAGTGTCACTTCTAAGACCAACAGTTTCTAATATCAAACGCTAGACGCAATTTTCTATCGGGGACAGCATGTAAAAAATGACATCCATAGTACCATGATCTGGATACAGAGTCCTCAAGCAACTCCAGCTAATCATACCTGAGATATTTTTGTCATTTTCCTGGTCTGTTAGATTTTAACCAACACGAGGGGCTGACCCCTTCTCAGAAACAAATGGGTGTCCTTTTGCTGTACATGGTGCTAACGTTAGTATAGTTTGTTAGCTAGCTTATCATCAGTTATCATTTAATTATTGATACAGAGCTTTAAAGTGACCACAGGTTTGATTATCAGTTGATGCTTGTATAAATTGTATAATGTGACTCACCTTCCCCCCTCCCTGCAGGACCCCCCGGCCCCCCTGTTGGACCAATCAAGCTCACCGAGGTGTTTGCGGATAGGATCGGTTTGGCCTGGAACCCGGCCAAAGACGACGGCGGTTCAAAGATCACTAACTACGTGGTGGAGAAGCGCGAGGACAACAGGAAGTCCTGGGTCCACGTCTCCAACGACCCCAAGGAGTGCGCCTACGTGGTGACCCGTCTGACGGAGAACCACGAGTACGAATTCAGAGTCATGGCCCAGAACAAGTTTGGGGTCGGCCCTGGGATCGTCAGCGAGCCCGAGAAGGCCAGAAACCTCTTCAGTAAGTTCACATCAGACCACCTGCCTTGAAACCGGGCGGCGTCATGATCCTTAAAGAGACTTTCTTTGAATTGTCAGTCACTGGATAGATTTCAGCTTCTTCTAATGTTGCTATTCTGAACAGTCTTGTTGTTGTTATTGGTGGTATTATGGGATGTTTCATGTTTAATACAACACCTGTAGAGCTCCATGTTACCTTCCTACCCGACTCCCTCAGCTGCTGGAGTGATTAATTACACTAATAATCGTTACAGTGATGTTGTGGTGCCGTCCTCATTGATGTATTGATTGTTGCTGACTGTGCGTCCTCTTGCAGCCGTCCCCGGTCAATGTGAGAAACCGACCGTGACTGACGTCTGTCTGGAGTCCATGACCGTCAACTGGGACGAGGCAAAGTACGACGGTGGCTCCTCCATCACCGGCTACATCGTGGAGAAGAAGGAGACAACCGCCAAGCGCTGGGCCCGCATCACCCGAGACCCAATCCGAGCGCTGCCAATCGGCAACAACTGGGATGTCACAGGGCTGCTGGAAGGCGCCACGTACCACTTCAGGGTCAGCGCAGTGAACGCAGCTGGTGCTGGACTGCCCAGCCCGCCATCCGACCCCGTAATCTGCAGAGATCCCCTCAGTAAGAGAGAGATCTTTACACCGAGTTAGAGGACGTCTTGTCTTAGTTTGTCTTATTTCTTCTGTAACCATTTTCTTGTTCAGTTAAAAAAACAAAAAGTTTATAAAATAATTAAACGCTGTGTTATTCATGCAGAGCCTCCCAGCCCGCCCACACCGAAGGTCACAGACTGGACGAAGTCGACGGTAGAGCTCGAATGGATCCCTCCTCTGTTGGACGGAGGGTCGAAGGTGACAGGCTACATTGTGGAGTTTAAGGAGGTGAACAAGGAGGAGGAGGAGAAGAAGGCACAGAGGAAGCAGCTGATGATCGGAACTGAGGAGGAGGAGGAGAAGGAGCCCGAGGCTGACGAAGGCTGGGAGAAGGTGAGAGCACGAGATCAGAGGAGTCTCTCAGAGCTCCGGATGTTTAGTTTCTCCTAGAACAAGATTCAAACATTTCATCTTTCTCTTTCTTCTTTGCAGCTTCAGAGTTTAAACTCCTCCTTTAGAGATTTACGATTTAATACAAGTATCCCAGTTTTGATTTTCCTCTCTTCTCTTTCCAGGCCAAGGACACAGAGGTCAGAGGAACCAAGTTTGTTGTTCCTGGTCTGAAGGAAGGCGGTCTGTACCGCTTCAGAGTCCGAGCTGTGAACGTGGCCGGAGTCGGAGAACCAGGACACGTTGCTGAGCTGATCGAAACTAAAGACAGAACAAGTAAGACTCCGATCTGACTCCGCTTTTAAGTAATTTATTAAAGAACACTTATTAAAAACAAATATGTACCTTCTCGTGTAGTCCCTCCTGAGATGGACCTGGACGCCTCGGTGAAAGAGAAGATCGTGGTCCACGCCGGTGCAACCATCCGCATCATCGCCTACGTCTCCGGTAAACCCGCCCCTGCGATCACCTGGTGCCGTGACGACGCCGAGGTGCCCAAAGAGGCCGTGGTGGAGACAACAGGAATCTCCAACTCTCTGGTTATCAAAAATTGCAGACGCCAACACCAGGGCATCTACACCCTGAGCGCCAAGAACGAGGGAGGAGAGAGGAAGAAGGCTGTCATTGTTGAGGTCCTCGGTGAGTCAGCAGGACCAGAATGGCCGCGTCCTTGGGTCTCTTGAAAGGCGCTTTATAAATGACATATTATTATTATATCATGTATCTTACAGGATTTCTTTCTACAGTGTTCTCGGGTTTAAAGGGAAAAGCAGTAGTAGTGAAAATGTCAATATTTAATCTCACATTTCTTGAAAACCTTTTTCAACAAGCTCTGACTTCCTGTATGCTCCCTCCAGATGTTCCCGGACCAGTCGGTCTTCCCTTCGCCGGCGAGAACTTGACCAACGACTCGTGCAAGCTGACCTGGTACTCCCCCGAGGACGACGGCGGCTCGGCCATCACCAACTACATCATCGAGAAGAGAGAATCGGACCGCATGGGTTGGACCTCTGTGTCCTACACAGTGACAAGGAACAACGCCGTGGTGCAGGGACTCCTCGACGGGAAGGGCTATTTCTTCAGAATCGCCGCCGAGAACATCATCGGCATGGGACCGTTCATCGAGACTGACAAGATGGTTCTCATCAAGGACCCCATCTGTGAGTGTCACTCAGGTTTCATTTGTTTATGTGTCGGTACATGATGTCTCTGCTCTTTCCCTCCATGTTTGTAGTTTTTGTGAATCTGGAGGAATTTTAAGATCTTTCTTTAAAATTAGTTAAAATGCTAAAAATAAAATGGAGTGACTAATATTAAGACACTGGCTGGTTAGAGGTGAAGCTCTTGTTGTAAATGTCACTTTGTGTCTCGACCAGCCGTCCCGGAGCGTCCAGAGGACTTGATCATCACCGCCATCACCAAAGACTCCATCTCCGTTGCCTGGAGAGCGCCAAAGTATGACGGCGGCGCAGAAGTGACCGCGTACATCCTCGAGTCCCGTATGATCGGACGGGACAGCTTCACACGTGTGGGCGGAGAGGACAAGCTGATGGACAGGAAGTTCACTCTGACGGGTCTCAAGGATGGCTCGAGTCATGAGTTCAGAGTCTCGGCCGTCAACCAGGTGGGGCAGGGCAAACCGTCCTTCGCCACCAAACCTGTGCAGTGCAAGGACGAGCTCGGTGAGTGACCGCACACAACGATATGAGCATGCAAAATATTAGAGATAAAATATACAGTTTGTAGATATAAAACAACCAGAGTCCTTAACGATCGAGTAAATAGTTGTTGTTTTTGTCAAGATCTCCACGTATCTATCTCCCGGGTGTAAACAAGTTTTTCTATCGAGAGATAAAAAGATAAAGAAGATCTCGAGGAAACATCTGAAATATACCCGTTATTATGATAAGATTGACTGCATGGATGTATGTCCACCGAGGGCTTCCGTACTTTACGATGCGCCAAACACAGATATTAAATAAAAAGTATAAAATGGTGAGAGCTTTCTTTGATGTTCCGCCTCAGAACCGCCCACTCTGGACCTGGACTTCAGGGACAAGATGATGGTGAAGGTGGGAGATGCCTGCACACTGTCTGGACGCTTCAGTGGTAAACCGGCCCCAGCTGTCGCCTGGACAAAGAACGATGAGGAGCTGAAGGCTGACGAGGAGATCAGCCTCCACAGCACCGCCCGACACCTCAGCCTCAACATCAGCAAGGCCAAGAGAGAGCACAGCGGGCGCTACTGCGTCAGCGTGGAGAACTCTGCCGGAACAAGAACCGGAATCTGCACCATCACCGTGGTCGGTGAGTTGCTGCTCCAATCACAGATTTATACCCTGAACACGAGGCAGGTTATAGGCAGTGTAAAATCTTTAACTTTTAAACGTTGAAAAAGTATTTACAGACATTTTGAAAGGTAACTTATCTTGTGGAACGCACACATAGACCAGAGTTAAGTCCTCTGGGAGATGTTTGTTATTACGTTCTGCAGATGTTAAAAACACAATGAGAATTTTAAAGGGGGATGCTAATATTCAACATGTTGAGTCACCTGTGTGAATCCTTTCTTCTGTCAGACCGTCCTCAGCCTCCAGAGGGCCCCGTTGTCTTCAACGAGGTCTACAGGAACTACATGGTGATCTCGTGGAACCCTCCTCTGGATGACGGAGGCTGCGCCGTTTCCAACTACATCATCGAGAAGAGAGACACCAACAGAGACCTGTGGATGCCCGTCACCGAGTCCTGCACCAGGACCACCTGCAGGGTGAGCAGAGCACGGACTCTGGAATGTCTTATGCAATGATTTATGTCTTCCTGTGTGAACTCTCTGACATATTCAACGTCAGTTAGTGTGGCCATGCTTTAGTTTTTAATGATCATCCAATAAGTACTCACACACGCCCCCTACTGTCTCTTATTTAAGGTACCGAAACTGATCGAGGGTCGTGAGTATATCATCAGGATCATGGCACAGAACATCTATGGTATCAGTGACCCTTTGCTGTCTGGAGAGACCAGGGCCAGAGACATCTTCAGTGAGTCCTAACAGACACACACACACTCAGCGGTCTCAGACTTGTGTACAGTGATGAGCTGTGAAACCAACAGTTACAGGTGGTATAGATCCTGCCACAGTGTCTGATCGCAGGGTTTCTGTTTGTGTGTTTCTATCACAGAGGTGCCCGACGCTCCTAAACAGCCCACAGTGAAGGAGGTCTATCACGACTCCACCCTCATCAGCTGGGAGCCTCCCGCTGACGGAGGAAAGCCAATCTCAGGCTACATCGTGGAGAGGAAGGAGACCATGGCCAACAGGTACACAATACACACAGCAGGAGAAACACCTGTAGACGTCAGTTCTATCTGTTGAATCTTAACCCTGCAGTGTATTCTTTATTCAGTTATTTATTTATATTTTAAAATTTTGAACGTTTTGTTTTACTGTGAAATCATGCCCTTTATGTCATAGTAAGGCAAAATTTTAAATGTAGTTCAAACATGGAGGATTTGTATCCTTTAATACACAACTGAACTGAATTGAACAGTTGTATTGTTTACTAGATTTTTTATAAATTAGCCACTTGTAGCCTAGTGGTTAGTGCACACACCCCATGTATGGAGGCCCTGCTCATCCAGGTGGGAAGCCCCGATTCAATTTCGACCTGTATCTCCTTTCCTGCATGTCATTCCCAAATCTATCTTTGCCCAATTTCTGACTCTATCCACCGTCTTTTCTCTAAGTAACGGCATAATAACCCTTAAACAATAACAAAAACAAGAAATCTGTATTTTTTTCCCGTCAATGAGCTTATTCAGTCTCAGTACCAAGAAAACATGGCTAGAAAATCGGAACACATACAAACACTAAGGCATGAACATGTTCCTCAGTGGCTAACAGATGAGCTGTTTCTGCTTCCAGGTGGGTTCGCTGCAACACAGAGAGAATCTATCCAAAGGTGGAGTACTGGGTGATGGACCTGCTGCAAGGCTGCGAGTACGAGTTCAGAGTCAGTGCTGAGAACGTGGTGGGAGCCGGAGACCCGAGCCCACCATCCAAACCCGTCTTTGCCAAAGACCCAATTGGTAAGTTTCACATTTTATAACAGCAATCTATTCAATTTATTCACTTTTTCCTCTCAACCCAAATAATGATCCTCTGTTCTTTCCAACAGTGAAACCCGGTCCACCGGTTAACCTCCAGGCCATCGACTTCTCCAAGGAGTCAGTCACTCTGTCCTGGCAGCCGCCCACCGACGCCGGCAGAGGAAAGATCTTTGGATACCTACTGGAGTTCCAGAAATCCGGAGAGGAGGAGTGGAGCAAGGTCGGATGGTTCCTCAGTTAGCATGATATCTTCTTCAACAGTTCTCTTGTTGTGTAGAAGTGAAAGTGAATATTGAACTCTTGTCCTCATGCTGTCCTCAGGTGAACCAGACACCAGACTCCTGCCAGGAGACTAAGTTTAAGGTGATCAACCTGGAAGATGGTGCTCTGTACCGCTTCAGAGTCATGGCCGTCAATGCTGCCGGAGAGTCTGACCCAACTAACCTTCAAGAGCCAATCAAAGTGCAGGACAGACTGGGTGAGATGTCACTTCAGTGGTTAATAATTTTTTAAACCACTGTCTCTGATTTGAGAATTGCTTTTACATCAAATGAGGTATTATGGAGTGAATGACCAGTAATTCATCTATGTATCTCCCTCCCTCTCAGAGCCCCCAGATCTGATTCTCGATGCAGGAATGACCCGAGAGGTGAAGGCCATGGCAGGCACTCACATCCCTCTGATTGCCACCATCATTGGCGTCCCATTCCCCACTGTCACCTGGAAGAAGAACGATGCAGATGTACCCACTAGTACTGACATTGATACCAACCAGACTAGTACCAAGCTGGAGATTAGGTTCTGTAACCGTGGTGACTGTGGAGACTACACCCTCACTGTGGAGAACCCAGCTGGATCCAAGACTGCCACCTGCACTGTGCTGATCTTTGGTGGGGAATTAATTTAGCAAAGTATCCGTGATGAGACATTTATGTATGTATTTTTCATTAATAAAGGGGCAAGCTCAACAGTTTGGTTCTGTTCCTCATGTGTTTTCTCCAGACAAACCTGGTCCCATCCAGCACCTCCGGGTGTCTGACATCAGGAGTGACTCTGCCTACCTGTCCTGGAAGGACCCGGAAGACAACGGAGGAGCCCGCATCACTAACTTTGTGGTGGAGAAGAAAGACACGGCATCTACTCAGTGGGTCCCCGTCTGCTCAACATCCAAGAAACGAAGCATGATGCTGAAGCACCTGATGGAGGGCACATCCTACTCGTTCAGAGTGGCTGCTGAGAACCAGTATGGCCGCAGTGAATACGTTGAGACGCCAAAGGCCATCAAGGCAATGAACCCACTGTGTAAGTATCAGACCTATCATTAGTCATTATCCTTAGGGATGAAGGATGTTATGAACGTTCAAGCTCAGTCTGTCAAACCTTTGTTTCTCCTTTTTTATATTCCTTCAGTCCCTCCTGGCCCTCCCAAAGACCTGCACCATGATGATGTGGACAAGACTGAGGTGTGGTTGGTCTGGAACTGGCCTGACCGCAATGGAGGAAGTGAGATCACAGGCTTTCTTGTAGAGTATCAAGAAGAGGGAGAAAAGGAGTGGGACGAGTGGAAGACTGTAAGCATCCCTGAAAGTCATGTGACTGGCCTGGAGGAAGGAAAGACTTACCGCTTCAGAGTGAGGGCTGAGAACGCTATTGGCCTCAGCAGACCTGACACCACTGTACCTATCCTCTGCCAGGAGAAACTGGGTGAGATATAGGACAAATGGCAGATGTTATGTTGAGTTATTAAACAGTTACTGTTGTAGCATCATCATTGTAGATGTAGCTGGTAAAGCTTTAATAGGTAAACACATTTGCCAGTTTTATTATTTCAGTGTTTTTATGAATATATACAGTGTGTTTGCATAGGTTAACCTCTGTTTGCATGTCCACAGTGCCTCCCATTCTGGAAGTGGACGCTAAGCTCATTGAAGGCATCATTGTTAAGGCTGGCACCACCATTAGGCTGCCAGCTATCATGAGGGGAATTCCTGTTCCAACTGCCAAGTGGACCGTTGAAGGAGAGGAGATCGTGAGCAAGGGTAACACCAAGATCGACACTGACAACTTCTCCTCCGTGCTCAGCATTAATGAGTGCACCAGAAACCACACTGGCACCTACCTGCTCACTGTGTCGAACCCTGCTGGAACCAAGACAGTGGGCTTGTCTGTCACTGTCCTTGATGTTCCCGCTGCTCCTATCGGGCCTGTCAACATCCTGGAGGTCTCACCAGACTCAATGATGATTGAATGGCGTCCTCCCAAGGATGATGGCGGTAGTCCTGTAACAAACTACATCATTGAGAAGAGAGAGTCAAACAAGGAGACATGGGGAGGTGTTAGCTCTAGCAGCCTAGCCACACAGCTCAACATCACACGCCTGCAGAAGGGAGTCGAGTATGTTGTTCGCATCCGTGCTAAGAACAAGATGGGCACTGGTGCTCCTCTGGAGAGCAAGCCTACAGTTGCAGAGCACTCCTTCATGCCACCAAGTGCACCTGGAAAGCCACAACCCTCTGACATCTCAGAAGATGCTGTCACTGTTGGCTGGACCATGCCACTGACAGATGGTGGCAGCCAGATCACTGGCTACATCATTGAGCGTAGACATAAAGGAGGAAAATGGATCCGTGTCAACAAAACACCCTGCAAGGATCTTAGGTACAGAGTCCTGGGTCTATTTGAGGGTAATGAATATGAGTTCAGAGTGTTTGCTGAGAATATCGCTGGCTTCAGTGGCCCCTCTCCCACCTCTGACCTCTGCAAGCCCTGCAGGCCCATCACTGTCCCCCGTCCCCCTGTCAACCCCAGAGTTAAAGATTACAGCAAGACAACTGCTGACTTGGTGTGGACCAAACCCTCAAAAGATGGAGGAAGCCCAATACTTGGCTACACTGTGGAAATGAAAAAGGCAGATACAGAAGAATGGAAAAAAGTGAACCTGGATGATTTTGTTAAGCAGTGTGCCTACAGTGTGAAGGGTCTGGAAGAGGGTGTGACCTACAAATTCCGTGTCTTTGCCTCCAACATGATTGGGGATGGGGAGCCGAGAGAAATCCCAGACTCCATCACTGCTCAGGACATTCTTATCCCTCCAGAGATTGAGATGGATGCCACCTGCCGTGAGCGACTCACTGTGCGTGTTGGACACAACATTAACATCATTGGGTACATCAAGGCCCGTCCTGACCCTGAAGTCATTTGGTCAAAGGAAGAGTTGGTTCTGGAAAACAGCAAGCGTGTCACCATGATTCAGAACCTGCCTGTGGCACACCTGAGGATCAAGGAGGCCACTAGAGCTGACCATGGAAAATATGTTCTGAAAGTTTCAAATGAAGGTGGTGAGGCTTCTTGCACCATTACAGTCAATGTGCTGGACAGGCCTAGCCACTGCCAGAACCTGCACACAACCTATGCAACAAGGGATTCATGCATGATAAACTGGGAGGCTCCTACGGATAACGGTGGATCTGAGATCACCAACTACATTGTAGAATGCCGTGAGCCAAGCATTAGCATGTGGTCTATGATCTCCTCAAATTGCACCAATCGCAAGATCAAGGCCAAGCTAATGGATGGCCACGAGTACCTGTTTAGGGTATGTGCTGTGAACAAGATGGGACCAGGAATCTCTGTGGAGACCAAAACTCCTCTACTCGCCATCGACCCCATTGAGAAGCCCGGTGAGCCTGAGAAATTCAGAGCCACTGACGTTGGTAAGAACCATGTGTATCTAAGGTGGAGGAAGCCTGACTATGATGGTGGCAGCCCCAACATCTCATACAACCTGGAGTTCAAAGCCAAAGATGCTGAGGAGTGGAAGAAACTCAACGCTGGTACTCTTACTGACACCTTCTTCCTGGCTGACAAGTGCCAAGAGAACCAGACGTACACCTTTAGGTAGGTTACTGTGTTCTTATCTAAACAGGTCATATCTGTGTTTTGCAGGTTGTTTGTTTGCCCAATGTAGTTTAAATTACTTTTAAAAATATATTTAAATTTGTTCCCCAGGGTGCAGACCGTCAATGAAGGAGGTGAGAGTGACTGGGTGAAACTTGCTGATATCCTGGTGAAGGAGGAGATCCAGAAGCCTGTAATTGACTTGAAGTTGGCAGGAACTCTGACAGTAAAGGCTGGAGAGTCAGTCAGAATGGAGGCTGGACTGAGAGGAAAGCCTCAACCTGAAGTCAAATGGACAAAAGACAAGGCTGTTGGAGACAACCCAAGGATCAGCTATGAGACTGGCCCAGACTACTCTAAGTTCCTTTTGACTAAGTCCAAGCGCACTGACACTGGAAAGTTTATCATCACAGCCACCAACTCGGCTGGCACCTTTACTGCCTATGCCACCATTAATGTCCTGGATGTCCCCGGTCCTGTGAGAAACCTCAGGATAACTGGCATTGGAGCTGACAAGTGCAGAGTGGTATGGGATGCTCCAGAGGATGATGGAGGTTGTGAAGTGGACAGCTACATCCTCGAGAAATGTGAGACTAGGAGGATGGTCTGGTCCACATACTCCGCCTCAGTGGTCACACCATACTGCAATGTTATCCGTCTGGTGGAAAGCAATGAGTACATCTTCAGAGTTAGGGCTGAGAACAAGATGGGAACTGGCCCCGCAATGGAGAGCAAGCCTGTCACTGTGAAGACCCAGTTCAATAAACCTGGACCCCCTGAGGCCCCTGAGGTCACCAAGGTAAGAGTCCCACAGATTTTCTTGATATTGACTCACATGACAAACACCTCAGTCTTTTCTAACATTCTAAAAACGAATTCATCAGACACTCAAGTTTCTTTGTTATTCATACATATTTTTGTGATGCAGGTTAGTAAAGATGAGATGACAGTTGTCTGGGCTCCTCCTGAGAACGACGGAGGAAAGTCCATTACTGGCTACATTCTGGAGCGGAAAGAGAAGAGGGCGGTGCGCTGGGTGCCCTGCAACAAGAGCCCCATATCTGAGAGACGCATGAAAGTCACCAACCTGATTCCCAACCACGAGTACCAGTTCAGGGTGAAGGCTGAAAATGAAGTCGGCCTGGGAGAGCCAAGCAAAGCCTGCAGACCTGTTGCAGCTAAAGATCCAATCGGTGGGTGTGAACTTTCTTTTCACAGTTCAGTTTACGTCTAACATTTACTCACTTGTCTTCTACTACAGGAAGCTAAAGATGTCTGAGACTTCTGCTGTGTCACTGATTTGATTAAACATGGATACTGTTTCTACCTGCAGAGCCTCCTGGTCCCCCTGCAGGCCTGAAGGTTGGTGACAGCACCAAGACTTCCATCACCCTGTCTTGGTCTAAACCTGTGTATGATGGCGGTGCCCCCATCATCGGCTACAGCCTGGACATCAGGCTCAAGAGCGAGGCAGACCCTGAAAATCCCACAGTGGGCTGGAAGAGGATTGACACACATGGCCCATTGGTGCTCACAGAGTTCACCATCGGTCAGTTGGATGAGAAGCTAGAGTATGATTTCAAGGTGTCAGCCAAGAACCAGGTTGGCTGGGGACGCCACGCATACTTGAAGGAAGCAGTCTCACCCAAGGAGATCCTGGGTAAGAGTTAGTAGTTACTAAAGCAACAACATATTGTGTAAACAATACAATACACAACATGATAAATTTGAACAAAACTGATGAACCACTGTGTTTCTATGGCAACAGAGGCTCCAGAGATCGAGCTGGATGCCAGTCTGAGGAAAGGACTGGCTGTCAGGGCTGGTTGTCCAATCAGGCTTTTCGCTGTGATCAGAGGAAGACCTGCCCCCAAAGTTACATGGAAACGTGTGGGAGTGGAAAACTTGATCCGCCGTGGTCATGTGGACCAGGTTGACAGCATGTCCTTCTTGGTCATCCCTGAGAGCACCAGAGAGGATTCTGGGCAATACTCACTGACTCTGTCAAACTCATCTGGAGAGAAAGCTGTGTTCGTCCGAGTCAAAGTCCTAGGTGAGAAACAAAATAAGAATGATAAAATCTTGACTGTAAATTTTTACAACAGTTTTCATTGTTAAGGAAACTGTTTGTTAAAAGTGATTCATACTCTGCAGATACTCCTGGTCCTGTTGGCGGCCTGTATGCAACCGATGTCACCAAGACATCGGCCATGCTGTCCTGGTTGCCACCAGATAACGACGGCGGTAGCCCAATTACCAGCTACATTGTGGAGAAACGTGAGGTGGACAGGAAGACTTGGAGCAAGTGCATAGAGGACCTCAGGAAGACCAGCTTCAAGGTGACCACAATGACACCTGGCATCGAGTACTACTTCAGAGTTGTGGCCTGCAACAAATATGGAATCGGAGTTCCTCAGGACTCGCCCAAGTCCTACCTGGCTGTTGACCCCATCAGTGAGTGTCCCCCAAAGACTTTGTTCCGTTGTCTCTGTTGTTTTTACCTTTGAATTCTTCCTATAACCTGCTGTGTGTATAATTCAGGTGAGCCAGACCCTCCCAAGAAGATGGATGTCTTGGAGATCACAAAGAACAGTGCCACACTGGGCTGGCTGAAGCCACTCCGAGATGGAGGGGCCAAGATCAATGGCTATGTGGTGGACTACCAGGAGGAGGGCTCACCCGAGGACAAATGGACTCCCTATTCTGTGGTCAAAGACCTGACCATAGTGGTGGTTGGTCTGAATGAAGGAAAGAAGTACAAGTTCAGAGTGGCGGCCAGAAACTCAGTGGGAGTCAGCCTGGCCCGAGAGGCTGAAGGGGTGTTTGAGGTCAAAGAGCAGCTCAGTGAGTAGACCAGCTTATAAATATACTGCAGACTTGCATTACACAGTGGAGACAATTTAAATATTTGTTGAAGTCATCTAATTTATCTCTCAAGTAACTTTTTGTTTTTGTTTTCCTCCCAGTGCCTGCCAAGGTCATCATGCCCGACATTGTGACTGTTAGAGCTGGATCCAAGATGGTGGTTGAGGCCATTGTGGCCGGTAAACCTGCTCCCTTCTGCAAGTGGAGGCAGGGCAATGAGGATGTGCTGACCTCTGACCGCCTGTCTGTGGTTAAGACTCTTACAACATGCACCCTTATAATCAAGAACGTTACAAGAAAGGACAGTGGTTACTACAGCCTTTCGGCCGAGAACAGCTCTGCCAAAATCAACCAGATCCTCAGGGTTACAGTCATGGGTTAGTCTGAGCAAAGTTTCTAAATGATGCAAATAATACTCAATGATGAATAACAGCTCATTAATTAGGCTCCAAAATCTCATGTATACATATTCTGCATCTCTACAGACATCCCTGGACCCCCTGAAGCCCCTATGGAGATCACTGAACAGGAAATCGATGCCTGCACTCTGCTCTGGAACTCCCCACAGGAGGATGGTGGCAGCAACATCACCAACTATATTGTTGAGAAGTGTGATGTCAGCCAGGGTGACTGGGTCCCTGTATCCACTTCATGCACCAAAACCAGCTTCAGAATTACCAAACTTACTCCTGGTAAAGAGTACTGCTTCCGGGTTCGTGCTGAGAACAGGTTTGGCATCTCTCAGCCCATCTACTCTGAAAAGATGATTGCCAGATATCCATTTGGTAAGTTTTAGCAACAATGTTTAACAGAAACCGCTTAACAGAATTAAAGATTGGACAACATGCTCTAACTGTTTTCTTTTGTCCGAAGACCCCCCCAGCGAGCCAAGGAACCTGCAGATCAACAAGGTCAGTAAGGAATCAGCCATCTTGTCATGGGAGCGTCCCAGCAGTGACGGCGGCACTCCCATTACTGGATTCTGCATTGAGAAGAAGGAGAGGAATAGTCTCCTGTGGGTAAAAGCCAACGAGACTGTGGTCAAATCTACCCAGTACACCTGTACTGGCCTGATCGATGGCCTGGAGTACACCTTTAGGGTGTCAGCTCTCAACCTGGCTGGACAGGGCAAACCCTGCAAACAGACCGACTTTATCACCGCCAGGACTGCTGTCGGTACGATTATGTCCTATGACTGACTCAATGATGTACTAGTTATCTTGTGCAGCCTTTATTCATATGTTTAGTTTGTAGTCATATTGTGCAATAGGAAAGTTAGTTTACAGGCAACCTCATTCTTTCTCATTGTTCAGAGATGTTTGCTTAGCTCAAAATTCTCTGTTTCTTAACATACAGATCCTCCAGGTAAACCTGAGCCCATGGATGTGACCAAGAGCACTGTCTCATTGGTCTGGTCTCGTCCTAAGCATGACGGTGGCAGTAAGCTAATTGGCTACTACATGGAGTACACAAAGTTTCCAGAGGAGAAGTGGACACGCTGTAATGCCAACTGCATGAACATCCAGACGGAGAACTATGTGGTAACCGGCTTGGAGGAATTCCAGCAATACCAGTTTAGAGTCATCGCCAAGACTGCTATCAACCAGAGCCAGCCCTCCGAGTTGTCTGACCCCATCCCTGTTATTGCAGAGAACGGTACATCTCTACAGAGCCAGAGAACTAACACTGACAGATTAAATGATTGTGAAATATCAATTATTGTTTTCCCTTCTTCATTTGTGCAGTTCCTCCTCGTGTGGAGCTTGGTCTTGAAATGAAGAACCTGATCGTGGTGAAAGCCGGAGAGAACGTCTCCCTTGATGCTGAGGTGTGGGGAAAGCCGCTGCCCAAAGTGAGCTGGAAGAGAGATGGTGTTCCTCTGGTACTCGTTGAGGGGATGAAGATGGCCCAGAAGAAACATGTCCACCTGCTGGATCTTTTCTCCGTCACCAGAAAGGAATCTGGAGACTACTGCATCACAGCTGAGAACATCAACGGCAGCAAGTATGCTACCATCAAGGTCAAGGTGCTCGGTAAGTTGGATTTAAAGATGATTTGTTGGTGGTCTTATTGCCTAAAAACAAATCGAAAGCCAATCCTCCTCTTTCCTCCATGCAGACAAACCAGGCCCCCCAGCTTCAGTGAAAATTGCAAAGGTCTTTGCAGACCGCGTAAAGGTGCGCTGGGAGCCCCCGCTTGCAGATGGCGGCTCTGAGATCACCAACTACATTATTGAGAAGCGAGAGACCAGCAGGGCTAACTGGGCGCTGGTCACAGCTAACATCCATGGACACGTCACAGATTGCTCAGTAGAGAAACTCATTGAAGGACACGAGTACCAGTTCAGAGTCAGTGCTGAGAACCAGTATGGTGTGGGAGACATCATCATGACTGACCCTGTTATGGTCAAGAATCCTTATGGTATGTTCAGACATGTAAACCAAACCGTGAAACATCAGCATCTCAAGTTCATTTCAACATAGTTTAAGTACTCTTCAAACTATGTCAAACATCCTGTAGGAACAAATTATTTGTGTCTTATTTCATGGTGATGCTTTACAGTAGTCCATTTAAGAAGATATAGAACCATGCCATTGGCTCATCCAATCAAATCAGTTTGTGCTTTTGGGTGTAGTCAGAAGACAAACCTTAGATATATGCCTTCTGGTAAAATACAGCAAAATTAATTTAGCCAAAAAAGTTATGTATTTTTTTTTGTGGGGGGGGATTCAACAACTTATATGGTTTGATAAACATCTTAATGACTACTGTTTTCCTCTGGTATTATCAGACATTCTAACATAAGCATTTCCAAATTTACAATCTCTAGTCGATGCAATATTCATTGACCGGCCTGTTACAATAACTCTGAATGTTCTCCATACTATACTGACACATGTTTGTTTTATGAAACCACCTGTCCACTCCAACACTGATGATCCCTTTCTTCAGATGTTCCTGGACCAAGTGAACCCCCCGTCATCACAAACATCACCCAGAACTCCATGACAGTGAGCTGGAAGGCCCCTGCCAACGATGGCAAGGCTCCCATCCTGGGCTACATGGTTGAGAAACGTGAGGCCACCGAGCTGGCTTGGGCCAAGGTCAACCGACGCCCAGTCATTGACAGATCAATCAAGGCCATTCAGTTGACTGAGGGCTCAGAGTATGAGTTCAGAGTTATTGCCATTAACAAAGCCGGTCTAGGCAAACCCAGCGACGCCTCCAATGCTGCTCTGGCTGTTGACCCTGTCTGTGAGTAAATGCTTTAAAAACCCCTTAATCACAAACTCTGTGATTATTCTCTAACTAATGTGACCCTATCACCCTCCAGATCCTCCTGCCCCTCCTGCCTTCCCCAAGGTAGTGGACTCCACCAAGAGCTCCATCAGCCTGAGCTGGACCAAACCAGCATACGATGGTGGCTGTGAGATCATCGGCTACCTGGTGGAGAGTAAGCGAGTGGATGGAGAGAACTGGACAAAGTGCAACATCCCAAAGAAGCTCCAAGCCACCAAATTCTTAGTGACCAGCCTAATGGATCAGACAGAGTACCAGTTCAGAGTCTCCGCCGTTAACAGAATCGGCTTCAGTGAGCCTAGTGAGATCCCTGGAAACCACATGGCCAAGGATATCTTGAGTATGTTCCACCAATTTATTTTAATAAATAACCTCCAAGCACGAAGCCATTGAATCTGAATTTTCAAATCTCTGAATGGATGATGTTCAGTCCACAGGTCGTATTTTCTGGTCAGCAACAGGACATGTGTTTTGTTTTTTTTGCTGTTCATTAATGAATAATTGTTAAGAATTCTGGTGTTTTAAAACATGTTTACTTTTTTTTCTTATATTAGTTTAAATGTTTCTTAGATGGTGAAGTTGTTAAATTACTTCAGTCAAATGTTTAACTGTCAAGGCTGTAACGTAATCCTACAGTTCTGACATAAATGGAATAAAGAACGCAAAGGATCAGAAAACTAAGATTAATAAACAATTTTTTGTGTCCTTCAGTTGCCCCTGAAGCCGAGCTGGATGCTGATCTGAGAAAAGCGTTGGTTCTTAGAGCTGGCGTCACTATGAGGATCTATGTCCCACTGAGAGGACGTCCAGCGCCAAAGGTGACGTGGACCAAAGTGGACGCTAACCTGAAAGACAGGCAGAATTTGCTGATCAAGACGTCCGAGTGGGACACCCTACTGATGATCGAGAATGTTAACAGATATGACGCAGGCAAATATGTCCTGTCTCTGGAGAATGGCAGCGGCTCAAAGAGCTACACCATCGTTGTCAAAGTTCATGGTAAGTGTAGTCCATCACTGGATCTGCTGAACCTGAACAGATGCAAGATATTGTAAAACATGATATAAAAACTCATTATCTGAATCTACTAAAAAGGTCTACAATGGACTTTCCTGTTCCTACTCTCTCCTTCTCTCAGATTCTCCTGGACCACCTGTGAACCTGATTGTGAAGGAGACTTCCAGAAGCCATGCCTGCATCACATGGGACGCCCCTCTGATCGATGGCGGCAGCCCAGTGAAGAGCTACGTTGTAGAGAAACGTCTGGCTGAGAGGAAGGCCTGGACCTGTGTGTCTGCCGAGTGCCCCAAGACCTCTTTCAGGATCCTCAACCTAGAAGGGGGACAGGCTTACTGCTTCAGAGTGCTGGCTGAAAATGCATACGGCATCGGAGAGGGCTGTGAGACCGCCGGCAGCGTCCGCGCCTCAGGTACATGCAAGTCATCATCAATTAGAATATTTGAAATAGGGAAAAATTTAAATTCTCAGTGAAATAAAACAAATGTGTTTCAATAATGAAAAGAATGAGCTTTGTTGTTAGTGCAACATTTGCAAAATGTGAAGCAGTATAATGGTCTTTGAATTCATGGAAGCTGAAGGCCATGCTGCAGAAATACGTTTTGATCTTCTTAAAAGTCTTGATTGGGTTAGCTTCCCTGATATTTAAAGGCTGTGTGCCGTGCAGCTTAGGAAAATATTTAGCGAAGGCTGAATCCCTGATTTTCCCTCAGATATTATGGGGAACCTCTAATAAACCAGTTTTAGATCATTAGAGGTAGAGAACTGGAAGTGGACCTGGAAGTCTCATATTTGTTTTATTCACATTTGAGACAAAGGAAGTTGTCTGGAGTCCTATAACCCTGTCAGCTTGTTTTTTTGAACAACAAATTAAGTCTTTGATCATCTGTCTTGCCCCTTCAGAGCAACCTGGTCCAGTGACGGACTTCAAAGCTCAGAAGACCACAAAGGACTCCATCACTGTGGGCTGGAAGAAACCCATCAGTGATGGCGGAAGCCACGTGACAGCTTATATCTTGGAGCAAAGTGAAGGTGAGGAGAAGTGGAAACAGATCATGAAAGGAAAGACCAATTCACATACCATCAGCGAGCTTGCCCAGGGCAAGGAGTACTTATTCAGAGTCAAAGCGCTCAACGAGTCCGGAGAGGGACCACCCACCGAACTCACAGCTGTTGCCAAAGATCAGTTTGGTGAGTTATCAACCTGACTCAGCCATCATGCTAAATATTAATATTTCTTGTTAATATAGAACATCAAATGTCTGTTTCCTAACTGTTTTTGAGTTCAAAACATTCTTTGGGTTTCAGTGAAGCCTGACTGCAACCTGAGCAATCTGCACGATGGTTGCCAAGTAGTGAAGGAGGGCAGCACCACGCGTGTCAACATCCCCCTCATCGGAGTACCCTACCCCACTGCAACCTGGAAGAAAGGTGACGTGATGCTGGGAGATACTGGCCGGATGTGTGTGGAGGCATCTCAGGGCATCAGCACTCTGCTAATCAGAGACTGCCAGAGAGGAGACGCAGACACCTACACAATCAACGTCAAAAACAGCGCAGGCTCTAAGGACTGCAAGATCCAGCTTAAGGTAGTCGGCAAACCCGGTATCTGCACTGGACCCATTAAGTTTGACGAAATAACCGCCGATGGCATCACCCTGGAATGGGGACCGCCTAAAGACGATGGCGGAGCTGAGGTGTCTAACTATATTGTAGAGAAGAGAAGGACAACTGACAACAAGTGGGCCACAGTGGCTTCAGCCATCCAGAAGACCACCATGAGAGTGATCCGGCTCCATGATGGGATAGAGTATATCTTCAGAGTGTTTGCTGAGAACAAGTACGGAGTTGGAGAGTATCTTAGGTCTGACCCAGTCGTCGCCCAGCATCCATTCAGTGAGTATCACACTTCAAAGTGGTATTTCAAGTTGAATGAAAAAAATTCAAAGTTCATTACATTTTGGCCTAATATAACTTCATTCTAGCTTTTTCAGTTTGTGTTTCACCATTATAATGATCAGCCCACATTTGCAGAAGTTTGAATATTACTGATTTTAAATGTATTCTAACTCAAGATCTTAACAAAAAATATCTACTTTTATCCAATATAACTGGAAGTGTCTTGACCGTTGTTTGTGGCATTCCAATGTTTGTCTTGTTTCTATAAGAATACTAATTCTTCCCATTCCTCCTTTTCTTTTTTCTCTAGATGTGCCTGAGGCTCCTGCTCCTCCAGAAATAATGAGCATCCGCCACGAGTCAGCAATCTTGACCTGGGCGGATCCAAGGGACTCTGGTGGCTCCCCGATAACTGGTAACAGACTATAATGGAAAACAGTTTTTAGTTCAGCGTGAGTACCTATCAAATAGTAAACAGCAATGATCATAACTGGTTTGTGCTCTCTAGGATATCATGTGGAGTTCAAGGAGAGAAACAGTTTAATGTGGAAACGAGCCAGTAAGACTCCTTTGAGAGTGAAGGAGGTCAGAGTCACTGGCCTGATTGAGGGACTCGAGTATGAATTCAGGGTAATGGCCATGAACGTGGCTGGCCTAGGAAAGGCAAGCAAGGTCACTGAGGCTGTGGTCGCCCTGGATCCTATTGGTTAGTAAACGGCATTTTGAATGTTTTTTTCTATTGTGAGAAAAAAAATCTTATGACATCTCTGAAGTTTGATTAAAATACTAAAATGCTTTTAACACACTTATTGTGTGTTCTCTTAGATCCTCCTGGCAAGCCTGAGGTGATTAGCGTCACCAGGACCACAGTCACTCTGATCTGGACCGCTCCCAAATACGATGGTGGCCATAAGCTGACTGGTTACATGGTGGAGAAGCTGGAGACTGGAGGAAAGGCCTGGATGAAGGCCAATCATGTCAACATCCAAGGATGTGCCTTCACCGTCACTGACCTGACAGATGGAGCTCAGTATCAGTTCAGGATCAGAGCAAAGAACTCTGCAGGGGCTATAAGTGTTCCTTCTGAGTCTACCGAGCTTTTGACTTGCAAGGATGAGTACGGTAAGCTGAGCACCAAACTAAATTGGGGAATTTGGCAATTAAAACGTTTACGTGAACATGGACCTATTATATATTTGTATCAAAGTTTTTATAATGCAATGTCTTAAAAGTCTTGTTGTTATAACTTTAACTTAAGATCTTGTAGACAATCACTAAATCACTTATTTATATCCCTTATACAGAGCCCCCAACCATAACTATTGACCCAGACATGAAGGAAGGTGTATCAGTCAGGGCAGGAGATACCATCGTGGTCACAGCCTCCAAGATTATTGGCAAACCTCCCCCCACTGCTGTCTGGTCAAAGGGAGGCCGCGAGTTCAAGACCTCTGACATTGTCACCATCACTAGCACCCCTACCTCTTCCAGTCTGGCTATCAAGTATGCAAGCCGAAAGAACACAGGAGAGTACACCATAACTGCCAGCAACCCTTTCGGCATCAAGGAAGAACATGTGAAGGTGAAGGTTCTAGACGTGCCTGGACCTCCAGGCCCTATTGAAGCCAGTAACATCTCAGCTGAGAAGTGTACTCTGACCTGGCTTCCACCAGACGAGGATGGAGGCTGCACTATCAAGTCCTACATACTTGAGAAAAGAGAAACCAGCCGCCTGCAGTGGACCAAGCTAGCTGAAAATGTCATGGACTGCAGACATGTAGCACACAAGCTGATTAAGGGCAACGAGTATATTTTTAGAGTATGTGCTGTGAACCAGTATGGCACTGGAGACTCAAGCCAGTCTGGTCCAGTCAAAATGGTTGACAGTTTCGGTAAGTTTATATGGTTTACGTTTAAAAATTATTGCATGATATAAAATGAAATGTAAATAATGAAGATGTGGATAATCAAAAAACTACATGACAAAGGCAAAATATCAAAGCATGAATACCATGAATACAAGAGTCAAAGGTTTAAATAATGTATATATATACATTGTGTTTCCCTAGGCCCACCAGGTCCACCCTCAGTTCCAGAAATTGATAACATCAGTAGAAATGCTATCACCATTTCATGGAGGAGACCAGTACGAGATGGAGGAAGTGACATCAGAGGATATTGTGTAGAAAGGAAAGAGAGAAGAGGAATGAGATGGGTGAGAGCCTCTAAGAGGTCAGTCCCTGACCTGCGCTTTAAGGTGCAAGGCCTGACAGAGGGAGTTGAGTATGAGTTTAGAGTCACTGCAGAGAACAAGGCTGGATTTGGTGAGCCGAGTGAGCCCTCACACCCTGTAATGACCAAGGACATTGTGTGTAAGTAAAGTACACTTTTATCATTTAAAAATCAAGTTGCATACGTATGTTCATATTATGTCCATATTCTTTATATTATCTGTAAACTAGTATAGCATGCTCACTGCATCTTAATCTGTATATTATTAGTATAGCATGCTCACTGCACCTTAATCTGTATATTATAATCCTAAGAATACACTTATTTTGTAGCATTACTTATTTATAGCATTTATTTATATTTATAGCATCCCATTAATCCAGCCATCCAGATATACCTAATAATTCAATTTTTTTGTCTACATCTGTAAATTTTGTAATTACTGTACATAGCACAGACTCTTGCACTTTCTGCTTATTTGCACTTCTGGTGAGATGCCAAACCTCATTTCGTTACTCTATACTTGTATATGTGTAATGACAATAAAGGTGAATCTCATCTCATCTCATACAGGAATAATGGACACATTTGCATGATGGACTTAGTTTAAAAAAGCCCTCCATTAACCTGTTCAAACTCTTTTTATTTTATTTATTAGATCCACCTGGTCCTCCTTCCAACCCCAGAATAATGGAGACAACAAAAACCACAGCCACATTTGCCTGGGGCAAACCCCATTATGATGGTGGTCTTGAAGTAGATGGATACATTGTTGAGTACAAAAAGGAAGGGCATGATGACTGGGAGGTGGAGACACAGTACCAATTGAAAGCTACTGAATATGTTATTGGTAAACTTCAAAAAGGAGGAAAATACCACTTCAGAGTCAGCGCCGTAAACTCAGAAGGAGTTGGTGAGCCTGCAGAGGTTGAAAAGGTTATTGAACTAGTGGACCAGGAGACGCTGCCAGATTTTGAGCTCGATGCTGAACTAAGGAGAACCCTGGTGGTCAGGTGCCGTGCTTCCATACGTATGTTTGTTCCCATCCGTGGTCGTCCTGCTCCTGAAGTAACCTGGAGCAAAGATGATACAAACTTGAAAACACGTGCACACATTGACACTACAGAGTCCTACACGCTCCTGGTTATCCCTGACTGCACCAGATACGATGCTGGAAAGTACAACCTCTGTCTTGAGAATGTCGCTGGAAAGAAGACTGGCTTTGTTAATGTGAAAATTCTAGACACACCAGGACCACCAGTCAACCTCAAACCTAGAGAGATCACTAAGAACAGTATCACCCTCCAGTGGGAGATCCCTATTATTGATGGAGGTTCTAAGATTCATAACTATATAATTGAAAAGAGAGAGGCCACTAAGAAAGCCTACACAGTAATTAGCACCAATTGGCAGAAGTGTTCTTTCAAGTTCCCAGACCTTGAAGAGGGAGCTTACTACTACTTCCGTGTCTCGGCTGAGAATGACCTTGGTGTAGGTGAGCCTGCTGAATCCCCTGAGCCAATCAGGGTGTCCCAAGCCCCCTCTGCACCAGAGAACTTGTATGTCACGGATGTGTCAGCTGACAGTGCCAGTCTGTCGTGGACCAAGCCTTTGCATGATGGTGGCAGCTTAATCACCGGATATGTCATTGAGGCCCAAAAGAAGGACAGTGACAATTGGGTCCATGTTACCACTATCAAGGCTCTGGACTACACCGTCACTGATCTGATTGAGGGTGCTGAGTACATTTTCCGCATAATGGCTGTCAATGCATCAGGAAGGAGTGACCCCCGTGAGAGCAGGCCTGCTGTTATTAAAGAACAGACTTCTGCGCCTTCCTTTGACCTGCGTGGAGTCTATCAGAAGACCGTCATCGCAAAGGCAGGAGACCGTGTAAAGGTGGAGATTCCTGTGCTTGGTAAACCAAGACCTCTTGTTTCTTGGAAGAAGGGTGACATAGTACTCAAAGAGACACAAAGAATAAACACTGAAACCACACTAACATCAACTGTTCTCAATATCAATGAAATCAAGAGGACTGACGGGGGCCAGTATTCCATTACAGGAAAGAACATGCTGGGGACATTGACTGAGACAATCACAGTCCTGGTCCATGACATCCCAGGCCCTCCTACTGGTCCCATCAAGTTGGATGAGGTCTCATGTGATTATGTTCTCATGTCCTGGGAGGCTCCCGAGAATGATGGTGGCGTTCCAATCAACAACTATATTGTTGAGATGCGAGAGACTACTGGTACTTCATGGGTCGAGTTGGCAGCTACAGTGATCAGAACCACATTCAAAGCAGCCCGTCTCAACACTGGAACCCAATATCAGTTCCGTGTCAGAGCCCAGAACAGATATGGAGTTGGACCATACCTTGTTTCAGAACCAGTTGTTGCTGCCTATCCATTTGATGTGCCAGGACAGCCAGGTGTTCCTGTTGTCACATCTTTCAACAAAGATGCTATGAGTTTGAGTTGGAATGAACCTTCCTCTGATGGAGGAAGTGCAATCCTGGGCTATCATGTGGACAGAAAAGAGAAAAACAGTATTCTTTGGCAAAGGATCAGCAAAGCTCTTGTTGTGGGAAACATTTTCAAATCAACAGGTCTAGTTGATGGAATTGCGTATGAACACCGTGTCACTGCTGAAAACATGGCTGGTCTTAGCAAACCAAGCAAAGCCTCTGATCCTATGTATGCATTGGACCCTGTTGACCCACCAGGCAGGCCTGTGGCACTCAATGTCACCAGACATGAGGTGACAGTTTCATGGACCAAACCAGAGGGAGATGGTGGATTTTCTATCACTGGATACACAGTCGAGAGAAGAGAGATGCCAAATGGACGCTGGCTTAAAGCCAACTTTAACAACATCCAGGAAACGATTTATACAATCAGTGGTCTGACTGAAGATGCAACTTATGAATTCCGTGTGACTGCTAGAAACTCAGCTGGTTCCGTTAGTGCTCCATCCCAGTCATCTGAAGCATTCACATGCAGAGATGACATTGAAGAGCCCAGACTTGATGTTGATGCATCATATAGCAGCAATGTGGTTGTCATGGCAGGAGAGATTTTCAAGCTGGAAGCTAGTGTTACTGGCAGGCCAATTCCATCCCTGGTATGGACCAAGGAAGGAAAGGAGCTTCAGGATACAGCCAAGATAGAGATAAAAACATCTGACTTCCACACAACTCTAACAAACAAAGATTCTCTGAGGAGGGACGGCGGTTCCTTTATTCTTACTGCCAGCAATCCCGGTGGCTTTGCCAAGTTCACATTCAATGTCAAGGTGCTTGACAGACCTGGACCACCAGACTCTCTTACTGTCACTGATGTTGCTGCTGAGAAATGTGTTCTTAACTGGCTACATCCTACACATGATGGCGGTGCCAAGATCGAGTACTTCATCATTCAGAAGCGTGAGACCAGTAGGTTGGCATGGACAAATGTGGCGACAGACCTTCAGGCAAACAGGTTCAAGGTCACAAAGCTTCTAAAGGGCAATGAGTATATCTTCAGAGTCATGGCTGTTAACAAGTATGGCATGGGTGAACCCCTGGAGTCTGAACCTGTCATTTGTACCAACCCCTATGTCCCAAGTGATTCACCACATCAGCCCGAAGTCACCACCATTACCAAGGACTCAATGGTCGTCTGCTGGGAGCGCCCTGAACATGATGGAGGCAGCAGAATAAACACATACATTATTGAGAGAAGAGATAAAACTGGCTTGCGCTGGGTGAAGTGCAACAAAAGGACAGTAACCGACCTGCGATTCAAGGTCTCAGGCCTCACAGTAGGACATGAGTATGAATTCAGAGTTCTTGCTGAAAACAATGCTGGTCTGAGCCAGCCTAGTCCTTCAAGTCCATTCTACAAAGCAGTAGACACCATCTTCCAACCTGGTCCTCCAGGGAACCCCAGAGTACTTGACACAACCAAGTCCTCCATCACCCTCACCTGGAATAAACCTGTCTACGATGGTGGTTCTGAAATCACTGGTTACATTGTAGAGACATGCCTACCAGAGGAGGATGAGTGGACTATTCACACTCCCAAGAAGGGATGGACAGCCACTTCCTTCACCATCACCAACCTGAAGGAAAACCAAGAGTACAAAATCAACATTTGTGCCACTAATTGTGAAGGAGTGGGTGAGCCTGCTGCTGTTCCTGGAACCCCGAAGGCCGAAGACAGACTGCTTCCTCCAGAAATTGAACTTGGAGCAGAGCTGCGCAAGGTGGTCTGTATCAGAGCCTGTAGCACATTAAGACTGTTCGTCCCTATTAAGGGAAGACCAGCACCTGAAGTGAAATGGTCAAGAGAGCATGGAGAATCACTTGATAAAGCCAACATTGAAATTACCCCTTCATTCACTACTCTTCAGGTTGACAATGTTGATAGGTTTGATGGAGGTAAATACATGGTGACTGTCGAGAATGCAACAGGAAGCAAGACAGCCTATGTCAATGTTAGGGTGCTGGATACTCCAGGAGCACCTCAGAATCTGATTGTCAAGGAGGTTACTAGAGATTCAGTTTCCCTTATTTGGGATGCACCTCTCATTGATGGTGGCTCAAGAGTTCGCAACTACATTGTGGAGAAGCGTGAGTCTACCAGAAAAGCTTACTCAACAGTGTGTGCCAGCTGCCATAAGTCCAGTTGGAAAGTTGGAGAGCTGGAGGAAGGAAAGATGTACTTCTTCAGAATTCTGGCTGAGAATGAATATGGCATTGGCCTCCCTGTGGAGACTGTGGAACCAATTAAAGTGTCAGAGAGGCCTCTACCACCAGGCAAGGTGTCCCTTTGTGAAGTAACCAGCAACAGTGTCACACTTAGTTGGGAAAAGCCTGACCATGATGGTGGAAGCAGAATCACAGGCTATATAGTTGAAATGCAGGGTAAAGGCAGTGATAAATGGATTCAGGTTATGGTGGTGAAAACCAATAGAGCTCTTGTAAGTGGCCTTACTCAGGGAGAGGAATACATGTTCCGAATCATCTCCACCAATGAAAAGGGAGTAAGCGACCCTCGTGCTCTCAGTGTTCCAGTTGTGGCCAAGGACTTGGTCATCTCACCAACATTCAAACTGTTATTCAGCACATTTAGTGTGCTAGCAGGAGATGATCTGAAGATAGATGTACCCTATGCTGCCTGCCCCAAGGCTACAGCAACTTGGCTCAAAGATGGTGTTGTTTTGAAGGAGACAACAAGAGTTAATGCTGAAGCCACAGACAAAAATCTTCTCCTGGTTATTAAAGATGCTTGCAGGGATGATGTAGGCACTTACACAATTAAACTAACCAACACAGCTGGAGAGGCATCCACAGACCTCAGTGTTGTTGTTCTAGATAAGCCTGGTCCTCCAACTGGCCCAATTAAAATGGATGAAGTCACAGCTGACAGCTTAGTCCTGTCCTGGAATCCACCAGAGTATGATGGTGGTTGCGCCATCAACAATTATATTGTTGAGAAGAGAGACACATCTACCACCAACTGGCAGATTGTTTCAGCTACAGTGGCCAGAACAACTATTAAGGCAGCCCGTCTGAGGACTGGAACTGAGTACCAGTTTAGGATTGCTGCAGAGAATAGATATGGCAAGTCCTCAGTTCTGCTCTCTGATACCATTGTTGCTCAGTATCCATTTGAGTTGCCCAGCCAACCTCGTTCTGTTGTGGTCCAGTCAGCAACTAAGGAGACAATGGTGGTTGTGTGGGAGAAACCCAGTAATGATGGTGGAAGCAAAATCTTGGGCTACCACTTAGAGCTCAAAGAAAGAAACAGTATACTGTGGGTGAAACAGAACAAACAAATCATCCCAGAGACCAGATTTAAAGTTGTTGGTCTTGAGGAGGGAATTGAATATGAATTCAGACTCTATGCTGAAAACATTGTTGGCCTTAGCAAAGCCAGCAAAGTGAGTGATATGCAAGTGGCCAGAGATCCTTGTGACAGACCAGGAAAACCAGAGGCCGTCATCGTAACAAGAAATAAAGTCACTCTCAGATGGACCAAACCCGAGTATGATGCGGGTATTAAGATCACAGGCTATGTTGTTGAGAAGAAGGAAGGGACTGGACGCTGGATGAAGGCCAGTTTCGCTAATGTCATTGAGACTGAATTTCTGGTTACAGGATTAACTGAAGATCAAATATATGAGTTCCGTGTCATTGCCAGAAATGCTGCTGGGGTCCTAAGCCTGCCATCTGATTCAACAGGAGCTATTACTGCAAAGGATGAGGTTGACCCACCAAAGATTGATTTGGAAGCTAAATACTCACAGGCTGTAGTGCTAAATGCTGGAGAGACATTCAGGCTCGAGGCTGCTGTCTATGGCAAGCCTGTGCCAACAATACACTGGCTTAAGGAGGGCCAAGAGATTACAGAGGCAGCTCGGTTAGAGCTCAAGAACACAGACTTTATAGCTTGTCTAGTTGTTAAAGAAGCGATCCGTGTTGATGGAGGTCAGTATACTCTGCTGGTCAAGAATGTTGGAGGAGAGAAATCTGTAAACATTAATGTCAAGGTCCTGGATAGACCAGGTCCACCTGAAGGTCCCATTTCCGTTTATGGAGTCACCAGTGAGAAATGCTCCATTTCCTGGAAATCACCCTTGCAAGATGGCGGTAGCGATGTTTCCCATTACATTGTTGAGAGGAGGGAAACCAGCAGACTGGTTTGGACTGTAATTGAACAAAAAGTTCAGACACTAAATCTAAAGATCACAAAACTTCTTCCTGGTAATGAGTACATTTTCAGAGTGATTCCAGTGAACAAATATGGAGTTGGTGAGCCTCTAGAATCTGAGCCTATGATCGCAAGAAATCCATATGTCACTCCCAACCCACCAACAGAGGTAGAAGTCTCCACGATAACCAAAGACTCCATGGTGGTGACCTGGGAGAGACCAACTCAGGATGGTGGCAGCCCCATCCAAGGATACATTGTTGAGAAACGTGATAAAGATGGCGTGAGGTGGACTAGGTGCAACAAGCGCACAGTGAGTGAGCTGCGCTTCAGAGTAACAGGGCTCCTGGAAAACCACAGCTATGAATTTAGAGTTGCTGCTGAGAATGCTGCAGGTGTTGGCACACCTAGTGCACCAACAATGTACTACAAAGCACTGGATCCTATATTCAAAGCAGGCCCACCCAACAACCCCAAGGTGGTGGACTCAACTAGGTCCACTGTTTCCCTGACATGGGGCAAACCCATCTATGACGGTGGCTGTGAGATTCAGGCTTATATTGTTGAAGCCTGCAATGGAGCAACCGATGAGTGGTTTATGTGCACTCCTCCAACTGGAATCACAGATACCAAGTTTACAGTGAGAAAGCTTCTGGAAAAGCACGAGTACCAATTCAGAGTATGTGCTATCAACAAAGTTGGTGTTGGTGAGCATGCTGATGTTCCAGGAAAAATTCTTCTTGAGGAAAAGCTTGAGGCCCCTGATCTTGACCTGGATAATGATATGAGAAAGATGATAAATATCAGAGCAGCTTGCACTCTAAGGCTTTTCGTTCCTGTGAGAGGCCGTCCAGCCCCGGAGGTGAAATGGGGCAAGGCTGAGGGTGAGATTAAAGACACAGCCCTGATTGACAATACAGGCAGCTATGCCTCACTTGTCATTGAGAATGTTGACAGATTTGACAGCGGCAAGTATACCTTGACTGCGGAAAATGCCAGTGGGGCGAAGTCCGTCTTCATCAGTGTTAGAGTCCTGGACTCACCTAGTCCACCAACTAACTTCATAGTGAAAGAGATTACCAAGAATTCAATCACTCTCACATGGGAGCCCCCACTGCTTGATGGTGGTTCAAAGATTAAGCATTATATTGTTGAGAAGCGAGAGAGTACCAGGAAAGTTTACTCTCCCATCACCACCTGCAACAGGATGTCATGGAAGGTTGAGCCTCTTCCAGAGGGTGGAATCTTCTTCTTCAGAGTCCTGGCTGAGAATGAATATGGTGTGGGTCTTCCTGCTAAAACTATAGATCCAATTAAAATCTCTGAGAAGCCTCAGCCCCCTGGTAAAGTCAGTGTTGTTGATGTAACTTGTAGCACTGTAACTCTAGCCTGGGAAAAGCCTGTAAATGATGGTGGCAGCAGGATTAGTCACTATGAAATTGAACTTGCTCCTAAGGATAGTGAGGCTTGGTCATTGTGTGCTAGTGTGAAGGCATTAGAAACTGTTGTTACAAACCTTCTCAAGGGAGAGGAGTACCAGTTCAGAGTTGTGGCTGTAAATGATAAAGGCAAAAGTGAACCTAGACAACTGGTTCAGTCAGTTGTAGCAAAGGACCTTGTTATTGAGCCTGCGGTCAGGCCCAAAGTTAGCACCTACAGTGTCCAGGTGGGTTATGATCTAAAGATAGAAGTCCCTATTGCTGGGCATCCAAAACCAACCATTACTTGGACCAAGGATGGAGCTGCCCTTAAGCAGACTACCCGAGTCAATGTCACTGACTCGGCAAATCACACCACTTTAACCATTAAGGATGCAACCAGAGAGGATGGAGGCATGTACAGCATCAATATTGCAAATACTCTTGGTTCAAAGGATGCCACTATTGAGGTGATTACCCTTGACAGACCAGGACCACCAACAGGACCTGTCAAGGTGGAGGACATCAGTGCTGAGAGTATGACTCTTAGCTGGGAACCTCCGACATATACAGGAGGCTGTCCAATCTCTAACTATGTAGTGGAGAAGAGAGACACAACCACTACTAACTGGTTAGTTGTATCTGCCACTGTGGCCAGAACCACGCTTAAAGTAAGCAATCTGAAGACAGGTGCTGAATATCAGTTCAGAATCTATGCCGAGAATAGATATGGAAAGAGTTATGCAATTGACTCAGAGCCTGTATTGGCACAGTATCCATTCCAGGAGCCTGGCCCACCAGGAACACCATTTGTCTCTTCATACTCAAAAGACTATATGGTTGTTGACTGGCACAAACCTCCATCTGATGGCGGCAGTGTCATCTTGGGCTACCATCTTGAGAGGAAAGAAAAGAACAGTATTCTCTGGACCAAGATAAACAAAATGCTTATCCAAGACTGCAGGTTCAAATCTACTCCTCTTGAGGAAGGCATTGAGTATGAATACAGAGTCTATGCTGAGAATATCGTTGGCATTGGAAAATGCAGCAAAGTGTCTGAGGTTTATGTGGCCCGTGACCCTTGTGATCCTCCTGGACATCCTGAGGCTGTGATTGTGACTAGGCATTCAGTCAAGCTGAGATGGACCCCTCCAACATATGATGGAGGAAGCTTAGTTACTGGCTATGTAGTGGAAAAACGTGACCTACCTGAGGGAAAGTGGATGAAGGCTAGCTTTGCAAATGTCATTGAACATGAATTTACAGTCACAGGCCTGGCAGAGGAAAGTAAATATGACTTCAGGGTAATTGCAAGGAATGCAGCTGGTGCTGTCAGCAAGCCCTCTGAAAACACAGGATCCATCACTGCCAAGGATGAGGTTGAACCACCCAAGTGTGAGACAGATCCTATGTACAACCAGACCCTTGTAATAAATGCCGGAGAGAGTTTCAGTCTAGAGGCTAGTGTGGAAGGAAAGCCCATTCCTACAGCTCAGTGGTTCAGGGGAAGTGTTGAAGTGGAAAATTCGGCAAGAGCTGAGATCAAAAACACAGATTTTAAGGCTTTGCTAGTTGTTAAGGATGCCATTAGAGTGGATGGTGGACAGTACACACTTGTTCTTACTAATGTTGCTGGAACTAAGACTGTACCATTCAGTGTGAAGGTGCTGGACAGACCAGGTCCCTCAGAGGGACCTCTTACTGTCAGCAATGTGACTGAGGAGAAGTGTTCACTGTCATGGCTGCCACCCAGGCACGATGGAGGAGCTAGCATTTCTCACTACATTATACAGAAACGAGAAACCAGCCGTTTAGCATGGACTGTGGTTTCCAGCGACTGTGGAGCTACCATGTTCAAGGTTACAAAACTGTTGAAGGGCAATGAATACATTTTCAGAGTCATGGCTGTCAACAAATACGGTGAGGGAGAACCTCTTGAATCAGTACCAGTTATCATGAGGAATCCATTTGTTCCTCCTGGCTCACCACATGAGCTTGAGATCACTAACATTACCAGGGACTCCATGACTGTCTGCTGGAACCGTCCTGAAGCCACAGGAGGCAGTGAGATTGTTGGTTACATTGTTGAGAAGAGAGACAGAGCTGGAGTGAGGTGGACCAAGTGCAACAAACGCAGGGTGACAGATCTGCGTTTCAGAGTTACCGGATTGACTGAGGACCATGAATATGAATTCAGGGTTTCTGCTGAGAATGCAGCTGGAGTAGGTCAACCAAGCCCAGCTACATCCTACCTCAAAGCCTGTGACCCCACCTTTGAACCAGGCTGTCCTACCAATGCACAGTTGGTAGACACATCTAAAGACTCCATTACTGTGTCCTGGCATCGACCTATCTATGATGGTGGTTGTGAGATTCAAGGATATGCTGTGGAAATTACAAAGGCTGATGAAGAAGAGTGGGCTATTTGCACACCACCATCTGGAGTCAATGCTACCAAGTTTAGAATCACCAAGTTGATAGAGCACCAGGAATACAAGGTGCGTATATGTGCTATCAACAAGCTTGGTGTTGGTGAACCCACTGAGATTCAGGGAGTTTTGAAACCTTTGGATAAGATTGATTCTCCAGAGGTGATACTTGATTCAGAGCTCAGGAAAGGAATAGTTGTTTGGGCGGGAGGCTCAATGAGAATCTGCATTCCATTCAAGGGTCGTCCAACTCCTGAGATCAGCTGGGCAAAGGAGGATTCAGAACTTCCCAGTAAAGTTCAAGTAGAGACAGGTGAAGATTACACACAGCTCTCCATTGACATCTGTGACAGATATGATGCTGGAAAATACATCATTAACTTGGAAAATAGCGCTGGGAAAAAGTCAGCCTTTGTCTCTGTTAAAGTTCTGGACACTCCAGGGGCTCCTCTGAATCTAACTGTAAAAGATATTAAGAGGGAAAGTGTCACTCTGACATGGGAGCCTCCTCTTATTGATGGTGGTGCAAGAATCAAGAACTACCTGGTTGAAAAGCGTGAGGCCAACAGGAAGGTTTACTCTAATGTGGACAACAAGTGCACAAAAACAAGCTACCGCATCACTGGACTCACTGAGGGAGTTATTTACTATTTTAGAGTGTTAGCAGAGAACGAGTTTGGTGTGGGAAAGGCAGTGGAGACACAGGACGCAGTGAGGACCTCTGAGCCTCCTCTACCTGTGGGTAAAGTCACCTTGACTGACGTGACCAAAACAACTGCTTCACTCTCATGGGAGAAGCCTGACCATGATGGAGGCAGCAGGATCATGGGCTACTACATTGAGATGCAGCCTGTGGGCTCAGAAGAATGGGTGGTGGCTACAATAGCAAAAACCTGTGAGGGAACTGTCACTGGGCTAAGTGCAGGACATGAGTACCTTTTCAGAGTTTCAGCTTTCAATGAGAAGGGCAAGAGTGATCCCAGGCCTTTGGCAGCAACAGTCACTGCTAAAGATGTAACTATTGAACCCAGATTCAAGATGGCATTCAATACTTACAGTTTACAGCAAGGACAGGATCTGAAAATTGAGATTCCAGTGATTGGACGCCCTGTTCCCAAGGTTGAATGGAAAAAGGATGGACATGCTATAAAAGAGACAACTAGACTAAATGTATCCAGCACATCATCATCTACCAAGCTGACCATCAAGGATGCAAATAAGGAAGACTCTGGCAAATACACCATTACAGCTACCAGCAATATTGGAACAGCTACTGAGGAGATTACTGTTATTATTCTTGAAAAGCCTGGACCACCTAAAGGCCCTATAAAGATTGAGGAGGTGAGCTCAAATTATGTCACACTCTCCTGGGAGCCACCAGAGTACACTGGAGGTTGTCAGATCAACAACTACATTGTGGAGAAAAGAGACACCACCACAACCGCATGGCAGATTGTCTCTGCTACTATTGCCAGGACAACCATCAAAGTCAGCAATTTAAAGACTGGAGTTGAGTATCAATTCCGAGTGGCTGCTGAGAATAGATATGGAAAGAGTTCTGCTATTGTCTCCCCAGCTGTTATTGCTCAGTATCCATTCAGTGAGCCCGCTGCTCCAGGAACGCCAGCTGTATCTGCTGCAACTAAGGATAACATGGTTGTTGAATGGAAAGTTCCCAACAATAATGGAGGTAGCCCCATTCTAGGTTATCACCTCGAGAGAAAAGAAAAGAACAGCCTCTTATGGACTAAGCTTAACAAGCTTCTAATCCCAGAAACGCGTTACAAGACTACAGAGCTGGAAGAAGGTATTGAGTATGAATTTAGAGTTTATGCTGAGAATATTGCTGGCCTTAGCCCAGTTAGCAAGGTCTCTGATAGCACAGTAGCCAGGGATCCCTGTGATCCACCAGGCACTCCTGAGGCTATTGACATCACTAGAAACCATGTGACACTCCAGTGGACTAGACCTCAGTATGATGGAGGAAGTGCGATCACTGGGTATGTGATTGAGAGGAAGAAGCACCCAGATACCCGCTGGATGAAGGCCAGCTTCACTAACATCATTGATACTCAGTTTACACTAACTGGTCTGACTGAGGATTGTGTGTATGAATACAGAGTTATTGCCAGAAATGCTGCCGGTATTTACAGCCGTCCTTCAATGGGAACAGGAGAAATTACTGCCAAAGATGAAATTGAGGCTCCAGGAGCCACTATGGACTCTAAATTCAAAGATCTGACTATTGTTAATGCTGGTGAGACATTTGTCATTGATGCTGACTATACTGGCAAGCCTCTGCCTGAGGTCATCTGGTTAAAGGATGGAAAGGAGATTGACCAAACAACACCAAGAATGGAGGTCAAAACTTCAATTACACGTACCATCCTGACAGTCAAGGACTGCATCAGAGTAGATGGTGGCCACTTTGTCCTCAAACTTGTAAATGTGGGTGGAGTCAAGATGGTCCCAGTTAATGTTAAAGTTCTTGATAGACCTGGTCCTCCAGATGGCCCTCTAGAAGTCAAAGGAGTCACAGCTGAAAAATGTTATATCCACTGGAACCATCCCTCACATGATGGTGGAGCGAGCATCTCTCATTACATAATTGAGAAAAGAGAGACCAGTCGTTTGTCATGGACCGTGGTTGAGCCAAAGATACAGGCTATCAGCTACAAAATCACTAAACTGCTGCCTGGCAATGAGTACATCTTTAGAGTCACTGCCGTGAATAAATATGGCGTTGGTGAGCCTTTAGAATCTGATCCTGTTATTGCACGTAATCCGTTTACTACTCCCAGCGCGCCATCCACTCCAGAGCCAAGTGCTATTACTAGGGACTCCATTGTACTTACATGGGAGAGACCAGAAGAAAATGGAGGAGCTGAGATTGAAGGATATGTTCTTGAAAAACGTGATAAGGATGGCATTAGATGGACTAAGTGCAACAAGAAGAGGCTGAGTGACCTGAGATTTAGATGTTCTGGTCTAACAGAGGGCCACTGCTATGAATTCAGGATCTCAGCAGAAAATGCTGCTGGTGTTGGTAAGCCTAGCGCTCCAACCGAATACATCAAGGCCTGTGATGCAACTTATCCACCAGGACCTCCAAACAACCCCAAAGTCACGGACCATTCTAGCACTACAGTTTCTCTGTCCTGGTCTAGGCCAATATATGATGGTGGAGCACCAATCCAAGGATATATTGTTGAAACGAAGGAGGCAGCTGATGATGAGTGGGTCATTTGCACATCACACACTGGTGTCCAGACCACACACTACACAGTAAAAAGACTTAAAGAGAATGCAGAGTACAACTTCCGCATTTTTGCTCTTAACTGCGAAGGAGTAGGAGAGCATGTTGACCTACCTGGATCTGTGATCGCTGCAGAGAAGCTGGAGGCTCCTGAAATCGAATTAGATTCTGACCTGAGAAAGATGGTCAATGTTCGTGCCACTGCCACTTTACGTTTGTTTGTGCCGATCAGAGGAAAGCCTGAGCCTGAGGTCAGATGGTCAAAAGCTGATGGCACTTTGAATGAACGTGCCCAGATTGAGGTCACAAGCTCTTACACAATGATACTGATCGAGAATGTTGACCGATTCGACACTGGTAAATATGTGCTGTCCCTTGAGAACCTCAGTGGGTCTAAGTCAGCCTTCATCAATGTCAGAATTCTTGACTCTCCAAGTGCTCCTATCAATCTGGAGGTTAAGGATGTAAAGAGAAATTCTGTCTCTCTTTCTTGGGAACCCCCTCTCATTGATGGTGGGGCTAAGATATCACACTATATTGTGGAGAAGAGAGAGCAGAAGAGAATGGCTTTCACCAGTGTTTGCACCAACTGTGTAAGAAACTCTTACATTATTTCCGATCTGCAGGAGGGAGGACGCTACTATTTCCGTGTGTTAGCCGTAAATGAGCTGGGAGTAGGTCTGCCTGCCTCCACAGATCAAGTGAAGGTGTCTGAGGCTCCTTTGCCTCCTGGTAAGATAGTCTTAGTTGATGTGACTCGTCATACTGTTACCCTTTCTTGGGAAAAACCTGATTATGATGGAGGCAGCAAAATTACAAACTATATTGTGGAGATGCAGCCCAAGGGAGATGACAAATGGACGACATGCAGTGAAGTCAAAGCACTGGAAGCTACTGTTGATGGACTTGCAACTGGAGAGGAATATTCCTTCAGGGTATTTGCTGTAAATGATAAAGGCAGAAGTGATGCCAAGCCTCTAGCTAACCCTGTGGTGGTGAAGGACATCACAATGGCGCCTACAATTAAGTTGGTGTTCAACACCTACAGTGTAAAGGCAGGTGATGACCTGAAGATTGACATTCCCTTCAAAGGAAGACCTGATCCTGAGGTTTCCTGGAAAAAGGATGGCAATGCACTTAAACAGACAACAAGGGTCAATGTTCTTACATCCAAAACCTCATCCAAGATTTTCATCAAAGATGCTACTAAGGAGGATGTAGGAAAGTATGAGATTACTCTGACCAACTCAGTTGGCACCAAGACAGCTGAAGTCTCAGTTGTAATCTTGGATAAACCTGGTCCACCCAGCAACATTAAGTTTGATGAGGTGAGCGCTGACTTCATGTCTCTATCTTGGGATGCTCCAAGTTATGATGGTGGATGCCAGATTAACAACTACGTGGTGGAGAAGAGAGACACCACTACAACCACATGGCAAATAGTTTCAGCCACAGTAGCCAGGACTTCAATCAAGGTGTCTCGTCTCATTCAGGGAGTAGAATACCAGTTCCGCATTGCAGCTGAGAACCGTTATGGTAAGAGTTCTGCCATTGACTCAGCTCCTGTTATTGCTCAATATCCTTTCGAGCCTCCTGGCCCTCCAACCAATCTTCATGTTGCTCATGCTACCAAGTATGGCATGCTCGTGCAATGGGGCAAGCCTGCAAGTGATGGTGGAAGCCCTGTTATTGGTTATCATATAGAATGCAAAGACCAAAGCAGTATCTTATGGACCAAGGTGAACAGAGGTCTTCTGACTGAAAACCAGTTTAAGATGACAGGAATAGAAGAGGGACTGTTTTATCACTTCAGAGTCTATGCTGAGAATATTGCTGGCATTGGTCCATGCACTAAGGCTTGTGACTCTGTGGCAGCAAGGGATCCATGTGCACCTCCATGTAACCTTCGAGTCACCAACATTACTCGTACCTCAGTTTCCCTCTTCTGGGAAAAGCCAGAGTATGATGGTGGAACAAAAATGACTGGCTACATTGTTGAACGCATGGAACTTCCCAATGGCCGCTGGCTGAAATGCAACTTCACAAATTTGCAAGATACCTACTATGATGTCACAGGCCTTACAGAAGATGTCCAATATGATTTCCACATCATTGCCAAGAACTCTGCAGAGCAGATGAGTGCTCCATCTGAGAACACTGGTCCTATCACAGTCAAGGATGATATAGACCCTCCAACTATTATTCTTGAAGATAAGTTCAGACAGCTGGTTGTCATTAAGGCTGGAGAGATCATTCAAATTGACGCTGAAATCACAGGCCGTCCACTCCCAGTTGTTTCATGGTCTAAAGATGGGAAGGAAATTGAGGCCAAGGCCAGGTGTGAAATAACCTCAACCAACTTCACAACATCACTGGTTGTCAGAGACACTATCAGGAAGGACTCTGGTCAGTATGTCCTGACCCTGCACAATGTTGCAGGGACAAGATCTGTAGCTATAAATTGTAAGGTTCTTGACCGACCTGGACCTGCCTCAGGTCCTCTGGCAGTGTCTGGCCTCACAGCAGAGAAATGCACCCTAACATGGGGACCTCCTCAGGAGAATGGTGGTGCTGAAATAATGCATTACATTGTGGAGAAAAGAGAGACCAGTCGCCTTGCCTGGACTCTTGTTCATGGTGACATGAAGGCAACCACCTGTAAAGTGACCAAGTTGCTTAAAGGAAATGAGTACATCTTTAGAGTCAGGGGAGTCAACAAATATGGGGATGGTGAGGCCCTGGAGAGTGACCCAAGAAAGGCCATGGATCCATTTACTGTGCCTGCAGCTCCGACTAATGTTCAGGTAACTTCAGTTACCAGTGAGGCAATGACCATCTGTTGGGAAAGACCTGTTTCTGATGGTGGCAGCAGTATCGCTGGCTATGTCATTGAAAAGCGGGAGAAGACTGGCCTTCGCTGGTGCCGTGTACATAAGAAACCTGTTTATGACCTTAGAGTCAAAGCATCTCACCTTCGTGATGGATGTGAGTATGAGTACAGAGTCTTTGCAGAGAACTCTGCTGGCCTCAGTGCTCCAAGCACTCCTTGCCCACTTACCAAGGCTGAAGACCCACAGTTCCTGCCATCACCTCCTGCTAAGCCTAAGCTCATTGACTCAACAAAGACCACAGTCACCCTGTCATGGAATAAGCCACTGTTCGATGGTGGAGCACCTGTGACTGGTTACAGAGTAGAGTACAGGATGTCAATGGATGATGAATGGTTTGTTGGAGTCCAAAACACCAAAAACACAGAATTTACAGTGGTGGGATTGACACCTGGGGCTGAGTATGTGTTTGTTGTCAAGTCCATTAACAAGATTGGAGTCAGTGAGCCCAGTCCTGAGTCAGACAAACAAGTTGCCAAAGAAAAAGCCGAAGAGCCAGTCTTTGACATCAGTAATGACATGAGGAAGACTCTTATTGTAAGAGATGGAAGCTCATTTACCATGACAGTACCTTTCAGGGGCAAACCCATTCCCAACGCTACATGGACTAAGCCCGATGTTGACCTTAGAGTCCGTGCTGTCATTGATACTACAGACACCTTCACCTCTATTACCTTAGAGAAAGCAACTCGCAATGATTCAGGAAAATACACTGTCACCTTGTCCAGCGTAGCCGGAACCTCCTCCTTGACACTCAATGTCAGAGTCCTAGATTCCCCTGGACCTCCTGCTAATGTAGAGGTGAAGGACGTGACCAAGTCCTCTGCTACTGTAACCTGGGACACACCTGAGAATGAGGGAGGAGGACCAGTCAAGAACTACCTCATTGATATTCGTGAAGCAAGCAAGAAAGGCTGGACAAGATTGACTGACACATGCCACAGACTCACATACAAGGTGACAGAATTGCCAGAGGGAGGAGTCTACTACTTCAGAGTGACAGGCGAGAATGAGTATGGTGTTGGTGTTCCTGCAGAGACCAAGGAGGGAACAAAGATCTCAGGTAATGAATTTGAATTTGCTAACATTAAATCTTATTGTAAAGCAAAACATAAACTCCAAATATCTAAAAAAAAACAAAAAACTAATTGAACTGTTTTTTTCCCCCAGAGAAACCAAGCCCACCACCAAAACTGGGCGTAACTGATGTTGCCAAGGAGAGTGTGTCCCTGGCCTGGGCCAAACCAGAACAGGACGGAGGCAGCAGAATCACTGGCTACCTAGTGGAAGCTCTGGAGAAAGGCCAGGAGAAGTGGGTTAAGTGTGGAACAACCAAGTCCATACACTTAACAGTGTCTGGTCTGAGGGAGAATGCTGAGTACTTCTTCAGAGTAAAAGCTGAGAACATTGCTGGGTTCAGTGATGCTAAGGAAATGGTCACCCCTGTTCTGCTCAAAGATCAGCTTGGTAAGTTGCATACTGATTGAAAAGAACAATGTGAGCCCAAACGTAGTATTACTCAACACAATAAGGAAATTAACTTTGATTTAAATAATATTGAAACAAATTTGCCCCGCTATAAATATTTGCTAATGAATTGTTTTATTCTAGAATCTCCTGAGATCAACATGAAGGACTTCCCCCACAACACAGTATATGTAAGAGCCGCCTCCACTCTCAAGTGTGAGATCCCCCTTACAGGCAAGCCTTTGCCTAAAGTCACCATGTCCAAGGATAATGTGCTGCTCAAGTCAACAATGAGGTTCAACTATGAAGTTACCCCTGACAGCATCAAGATCACTGTGCGAGAGAGCATAGCTGGAGACTCAGGACGCTACAATATCACTGCCTCCAACTCCACTGGCACAACCAAGTCCTTTGTAAATATTGTGGTTCTGGATCGCCCAAGTGCCCCTGTTGGACCTGTGGAACTGTTTGATGTCACAGAAGACAGCGTTAGTCTGAATTGGCTTCCACCAGCATATGAGGGTGGCAGTCCCATCACCAACTACATCATCCAGAAGAGAGAAACAACCACAGCCAACTGGATGGATGTCTCTTCAGCTGTAGCCCGCTGCACGATGAAGATCATGAAGCTGACCACTGGCTTGGAGTACCAGTTCAGAGTCAGAGCTGAGAACAAATATGGAATCAGTGAGCACATTGATTCACCTACTGTCACTGTCAGCCTTTCTTACAGTAAGTGGTCTTTGTTTTCATTTCCTCTTTTAATTAAACAATTTTTTAATTTTCTACTTTTTTATGAAAAACATAAACATTCTACATCTTTGCCCATTAGCTACTCCTGATGCTCCTTCGACTCCTGTCATCACTGCTGTAACGAGGGAAACAATCACTGTTGCCTGGAAGGAGCCCAAGTCAGATGGAGGAAGTCATGTGTTTGGCTACCATCTCCAGATGAAAGACAGGAACAGCATCCTTTGGCAAAGAGTCAACAAAACGGTGATCCGAGCAACACATTACAAGGTCACCAACATCAACGCTGGACTTATTTATGAGTTTAAGGTTGCAGCAGAGAATGCTGCTGGAATCAGTGCCTTCAGTAAGGTTTCTGATGCAGTACTGGCTATTGATGCATGTGGTGAGTGTAAGCTTAATCAGATTCTGCAAAAGTCAAGAAAATGTGATATTACCTTTTAATATCTATCTAACAACAGTTATTCACTGTTTGCTACTTCAGAGCCACCCATCAACTTGCGCATCAGTGACATCACCAAGAACTCTATAAGCCTAGCCTGGCAGAAGCCCAACTTCGATGGCGGATCCCCCATCACAGGATACATCATCGAGAAGAAAGAAGGCGTCAGTACCAGGTGGTCCAAGACTAACCTCACTAATGTCACAGAGTGCCGCTTTACTGTGACTGGCCTCACCCAGGATGAGACTTATGAATTTAGAGTCATGGCAAGGAATGCCGTTGGCTCAGTCAGCAACCCTTCTGTGACTGCTGGACCAGCAACATGTGTAGACACCTACGGTATGTTCATTTGATGGTTTTAGTGTTGTTTAATTCCATTCTTTTGTCTTTGTGTATTTCAGAAGTTGCTTTTTAATCTGTTTTTAAATAATCACATCATATTCCATCATGTATCATCAATATAACCATCACAGTTTAACTTGACTGACATTTAATTAATCACCCAGGTGCCCCAGAGATTGAATTATCCCAAGAGTACCTCAACGAGGTCAAGCACAGGGCTGGCTCTGATGTTGAGCTCATGTTCAATATCACCGCCAAACCTGCTCCAACCATCGAGTGGTTTAAGGATGGCAGAGAGCTTAAGCCCTCCGCCCAGCTCTCTTTCAGACATACATTTGAGTCTACCAGTTTGTTCCTAAAGGACACTAGTCGTTTGAACTCTGGAACCTATGAGGTCAAGGTGAAGAACTCCCTGGGATCTGCATTTGCCATAGTCAGGCTGCTCATTCAAGGTATTTAATATTTTTCAAATAACTTTTCATTACAGTAATGTTTTTTGCAAGACAATATTTCCTATTAACAGTATAGACCCTAACAACTTGAAAATGTCCCTTCCACATGTAGACAAGCCAGGCCCCCCTGCTGGTGATATACAGTTCAAGAAGGTGAAAGCTGACAACATAACCATCATGTGGTCCCCACCTGCTGATGAGGGCGGTGCCATGGTTACACATTACATTGTGGAAAAGAGAGAGACCAGCAGAGTTATGTGGTCCATTGTCTCAGAAAAACTGGTGGACTGCATTGTAAATGTACCCAGGCTCATTCAGGGCAACGAGTACATCTTTAGAGTCCGTGGAGTCAACAAGTATGGCATTGGAGATCCACTTGAGTCTGAGCCTGTTATTGCCAAGAACGCGTTTGGTAAGTGAACAGAAGAAACACAGCATTTCACTTCTACTGTTGTTCAATCCAGAGTTGATGCACTCTGAAAGCCACTACACTACAATGTACTATGTTGTGTATCATACACTCAAATGTATAGCAACATTTTAAAAACCAGAAAACCTTGATCATTTTAAAGATCTTTTTACTTGCTCAGCATCACCAATTTATTTGAAAAAATCTCAGTTTCAGTCCCTCTTACATAATAAACTGGACACAAATAACTTTTCAGTGTGATAGTTGGATGTCCTACTTCGGGAGATAGTTTGATGTGTGAACACCACCTTTAAATAAAGATATTTTTGACCCACAGAAGATGTATTTAATTAATGAAATCTGGTCATGCTTTTTTAATACAGTTCCTCCCAGTGAGCCTTCAAAGCCTACAGTGACTATGATCACCAAGTCTGCCATGACAGTGATCTGGGAAAGACCAGCACTGGATGGAGGAAGTGATCTTGATGGCTACTACCTGGAGAAGAGGGAGAAGAAGAGTCTGCAGTGGTTCAAGGTTTGCTCACTGGGCCTCTTTAAGATCTTTTGGTTTTTTTTAGTTGTAAAAGAACTCAAGAACTCAAAGAACTAATTTCAAGTATATGTAAGTCATTGTGTCATTTTTTTCCAGGTGGTGAAGGGCACCATTAGAGACACCAGGCAAAAAGTCCCCAATTTGGTGGAGAACAACGAGTACCAGTACAGAGTTTGTGCTGTTAACAAAGCTGGAGCAGGAAACTATTCTGAGTGCTCTGACTTCTTCAAGGCCTATGACCCCATTGGTATGACATCAATTTGCAAAAATCATTCAGATGCCTACTTTTTAAGTATTGCTTCTGAAGATAAGTGTGAATATGGACCAATGTTTATGCTGCCTTGTTTTCTCCAGATTTGCCTGGTGAGCCATCCAAGTTGCGTGTGGTTGACTCCACAAAGACCTCCATCACTCTTGGCTGGGAGAAGCCTGTGTATGATGGTGGCAGTGAAATCACACACTACCTTTTGGAACAGATGAACACAGAGGAAAAAGAATGGGTTACAACAAACCCTAAGGTCAAAACCTGCGAGTATGTGATATCCCACCTCAAACCTGGAACCTACTACTTCTTCAGAGTTTCCGCTGTGAACTGCAAAGGCAAAGGAGAAGATATTAAGATGTACCAGCCGGTGCAAGCCAAAGATATCTTGGGTTAGTATTTAGCTAACCATTTCTAAGTTGTGCCAAATAGATTTTTCTGTTTATAAAACTTAATATTCGGACTTATAGTTATGTAATTCATGATATAATTGATTCCTGCTCCTCACTTTTTGTGTCATTCTTGTCTTCAACAGAGGAAGCCGATTTGGACTTGGACGTGCCCATGACGACTCAGTACACAGCCAGGGCTGGCCGTGACGTTGTAGTGTTTATCCCCTTGAAGGGACGACCTGCCCCCAATGTCACTTGGCGGCGTGGTGATCGCAACATGGCTGGTGACAACCGCTACACCATTACCAGCAATGAGCGAGCGACAACCCTCCTCATTCCCAAAGTCACCCGCGATGACTGTGGCAAATACTTACTGGAGATTGAAAATGGCGTTGGGGAATCCAAGATAATTACTGTGTCCCTTAAGGTGCTTGACAGTCCATCAACTTGCCAGAAACTGATAATCAAGAATGTGACAAGAGGAAGGCTGACCCTCAGTTGGGAGGCTCCTCTCGTCGATGGTGGTTCCCCTGTTTCTAATTACATTGTTGAGAAGAAAGCCTCAACAATGAAGGCATATCAGGTCATAACCAACGAGTGTGCCAACACATCCTACAAAGTGTCAGGCCTGGAGGAGGATGTAGCTTACTTCTTCCGTGTGTCTGCTGAAAACGAGTATGGTGTGGGCGATACTTGTGAAACCACTGAGCCTGTGAGAGCTGCAGAAACTCCAGGAGCTGTTAAAGACTTGGTTATGGTGGATGCCACAAATAAATCTGTCACCCTAAAGTGGACCAGACCTGACCATGATGGTGGAAGCTACATCACTGAGTACATCATTGAAAAGAGAACCAAGGAAGACCCCAACTGGACTTTGGGTGCAACATGCAAGCGCTGCAGCTGTGAGGTCACAGGACTCAAGGAGAATGCTGTCATGGACTTCAGAGTCGTAGCCAAAAATGAGAAGGGCAACAGTGACTTCTCCCAAATTGGTCCAATCACAGTGGTGGACTTTATCATTCCACCTGAGGCCAGCCTAATGGACTACCCCAATGGAGAGCTTGCTGTTCGTATTGGTCAGAACATCCACATTGAGTTGCCCTTCAAGGGTAAACCAAGACCAGTTATTAGCTGGCTAAAGGATAACTTGCCCCTGAAGGAAGGCGAGAAGGTTCGCTTTAGGACCACAGACAACAAGACTGCAGTCACAGTCAGAGGAGCCAAGAAGGAGCATGCCGGCCAGTACACTTTGGTTTTGGACAACAGAACAATCAAAAACTACTTTGACATTAATGTGATCACTCTGGGACCACCCTCAGTGCCTGTTGGCCCCATCCGCTTTGATGAGATCAAAGCTCAGAGTATTATCATCTCCTGGGATGAGCCGAAGGAAGATGGAGGTGGCGAGATTACCTGCTACAGTGTGGAGAAACGTGAAACATCCCAGGCCAACTGGAAGATGGTCTGCTCCAGTGTTGTCAGGACCACTTTTAAGATTCCCAACCTGGTTAAGGGAACTCAGTACCAGTTAAGAGTCCGTGCAGAAAACAAGTATGGTGTCAGTGAATCACTCAACTCATCTGAGATTGTTGCCCAGCATCAGTACAAACCTCCAGGTCCTCCAGGAAAGCCAGTGGCCTTCAATGTCACTAGTGATGGAATGACCATCAAGTGGGAGGGCCCAGGCTTTGATGGGGGATCCCCAATTTTGGGCTATCATGTTGAGAAGAAGGACAGAAACAGCCTTTTGTGGCAGAAGGTGAACTCCACCATCATCTCCAACAAAGAGTACAGGATGATTGGTCTCATTGAGGGTCTGGAGTACTCTTTCAGAGTCTATGCTGAGAACAATGCAGGACTTAGCCCTGTTAGTGAACAGAGCAAACATGCACTTGCTATCTCCCCTGTTGGTAAGTTCATCCTAATACTACATGCATCTACGTTTTGAATGTCTACGTACTATTGTAAAACAAAAATCCAAAGTTTGTTATCAAATCAAAGTAACATTTCTCCTCCTGATGTAGATCCACCTGGCAACCCTGTCTGCATTGATGTGACCAGAGACTCAGTCACCCTGCAGTGGGACATTCCCAAGAGAGATGGTGGCAGCAAAATTGTTGCCTATAGTGTGGAGAGGCGTCAAGGAAGAGGAAAATGGCTGAGGTGCAACTTCACTGATATTAGTGAGACTCAGTTCACTGTGACTGGACTGTCTGCTGGAGACAGATTTGAGTTCAGAGTGATTGCCAGGAATGCTGTGGGCACAGTCAGTCCACCATCTAATTCCTCTGGATACATTATGACCAAAGATGAAAGCAGTAAGTATTGCCAACCTCAAAACCTTTATTTATAGTATGTTACTTCTATCCCTTTGATTGGGTTGATTTAATTCTTCTTCCACTTTGCCTTCCTGCTTCAGTTACCCCTGAAATTGAGTGGTCTCCAGACCAGGTGCTCACTCTGAGGGCCGGTGAACATGTTAAGCTCGGCTGCAGCATCACTGGACGACCTGTCCCCCAGGTTGTTTGGTATAAGGATGGCAAAGAAATTGACAAGAGAACCATGATTGACATTGAGATTACCACTGGCATTGGCACCAGCAGTCTCTTCATCCGTGATGCTGACAGGAACCATCGTGGCATTTACACTGTAGAGGCCAAGAACAAATCTGGTGTCAGGAAGTCTGATGTCAACGTCAGAGTCCAAGGTGGGTTAACACTGATTTTTATGTTTCAATACCTGTTCTAGACATTTAATGGAACATTTCACAACCTGTTTCTCGAACACATTTGATCAGGAAAGCATTACAGTTCATAGAAATGTGATAAACTTACCATATCAAAATTGATGTACAATTTTGAAGCTTCCTGTTAACTGTATGTTTCACTGCAGATACCCCTGGACCTGTTAAAGGGCCTATCCGTTTTACCGGCATCACAGCTGAGAAGTGCACCGTGTGGTGGAATCCACCAGAGAACGATGGCTGTGCTGCTATCACCCACTATGTGGTGGAGAAGAGGGAGACATCCAGGATCTCCTGGGCTATGGTCACTTCCAAATGTGAAGCCTGTTCTTACAATGCTACAAACCTCATCAAGGGCAATGAGTACCAATTCAGAATCTCTGCTGTCAACAAGTTTGGTGTCGGCAAACCACTGGACTCTGATCCTATCATCGCACAGATGCAATACAGTAAGTAAAGTAGCTCTCAGGTATTTAAAACCTTGAAAACATCATGACCTATTAAAATTTAAAGAATATGACAAATGACAGGAAAAACATATTTTTGCTTCAAATACTTGGGTTTTAATACTAAAATATATCTGTATCCACCCACAGCTGTTCCTGATGCCCCTGGCACCCCAGATTCCACTCATGTGACTGGTAACAGTATCACCGTGTGCTGGACCAGGCCAAGGTCTGATGGAGGCAATGAGATCAAACATTACATCCTTGAGAGGAGAGAGAAGAAGAGCCTTCGCTGGGTAAAGGTTTCTTCCAAGCGTCCCATAACAGAGCTGAGACACCGTGTCATTAACCTCACTGAAGGCAATGAATACGAGTTCCGCGTGATGGCTGAAAATGGTGCTGGCGTTGGACCAGCCAGCAGTACCTCCAGGCTCTTCAAATGCAGAGAGCCAACCAGTGCTCCCAGTGCTCCAACACTTATCAAGGTAGTTATTTTCTTAAATAACAAAGACATACAAATCATTAGGTATATCAGTAACTGGAAAATGTATTTTGAATATTATTAACTATGCTCTTTTCCCGTGTATCAGGTTATTGACTCCACCAAGTCCTCTGTCACACTGGAATGGACCAAGCCAGTCTTTGATGGTGGCTTGGAAATCATTGGTTACAACATTGACATGTGCAAGGCCAGTCTGGAGGAGTGGCACAGAGTCAACAACCAGATTTGTATCCACACTAAGTACACTACTAAGGGCTTGGTGCCTGGAGAATTGTACAAGTTCAGGGTCAGTGCTGTAAACGGATCTGGAGAGGGCGAAGCCTCAGTGTTGTCCAACGCTGTTCAGTCTCTTGATAGACTTACATCTCCTGAGATCGAGATTGACGCCAACTTCAAGCAGACTCACATTGTGAAGAATGGTGGCACTGTCACGCTCTCAGTTTCATTCTGCGGAAAACCCGCTCCCCTTGCCACCTGGTCTAAGATAGATGGCGAGCTGCCTGTCATGGGAGATATACACACCTCAGATTCTTCCTCTACTCTGACTATCGAAGGCTGTACCAGGTATGAGGCTGGCAAATACACCCTGTTTCTGGAGAACAACAGTGGGCGTAAGTCCATCACATTCACTGTCAAAGTGCTAGACACACCTGGACCTCCAGGAGCCATAACTTTCAAAGATGTTACCCGTGGGGCCTTGACAATGATGTGGGATGCCCCCACAAATGATGGTGGAGCTCGGATTCACCACTATATTGTGGACAAGCGCGAGGCCAGCCGTCTGGCCTGGCAGGAGGTCAGCACAAAGTGCTCTCGCCAGATAATCAGGGTGACTGGTCTGGATATTGGTGTGCCTTATCTCTTCAGGGTGATTGCTGTTAACCAGTATGGCCAGGGAGAAGCCCATGAGATGTCAGAGCCTGTCATTGCCACAGAAGAACCCGCACCACCCAAGAGACTAGATGTTGTTGACACCAGCAGTTCCTCAGCTTTCCTGGTGTGGTTGAAGCCTGAACATGATGGAGGCAGCCGCATTAGAGGCTACATCGTTGAATTCAGAGCTAAAGGCAGTGACCGCTGGGTGGTTGGTGGTGAGAGTAAGTCTATGAAGATGCTGGTTGATGGTCTGATAGAGAATACTGAGTATGACTTTAGAGTCAAGGCAAAGAACGATGCTGGAATTAGCGAGCCTCAGGGCACCTTCGGCTCTGTGGTCATTAAGGAGCCACGTATAGAACCAACAGCTGACCTCAGCAGCATCACTAACCAGCTCATCACCTGTAAGATCTCCAACACCTTCACTATCGACATCCCCATCAGTGGCAGGCCTGCACCCAAGGTCACCTGGAAGCTGGAGGAGATGAAGCTGAAGGATACTGACAGAGTCTGTATTAGAACCACGAAGGAGAGGACCACTCTGATAGTAAGAGACAGCAAGAGAAGCGATAGTGGCAAATACTACCTGATCTTGGAAAATGCTGCTGGTATAAAGACGTTCACAGTGACAGTAGTTGTTGTCGGCAGACCAAGTCCTCCCGTAGGCCCTGTGGAAATCTCTGGGGTCTCCACAGAGTCCTGCAACCTGTCCTGGTCTGAATCAGCTGATGATGGTGGCTCTGACATTGCCAACTACATTGTGGAAAAGCGAGAGTCTGGCTCTGCCTCCTGGCAAGTGGTCAACTCTAGTGTGAAGAGGACCACCATCAAAGTAACTCATCTTACCAAGTACATGGAGTACACTTTCAGAGTGTGTGCTGAGAACAAGTTCGGAGTCAGCAAGTCCACCGAGTCTGCGCCTGTTGTGATTGAGCATCCATTTGGTGAGTTCTGTTCAACAGAAATAGAAAAAGCCTAACGTTGTACATATTTTGTCCTTAATCATTCAGTCATTGCCTGTAAAGAAAGTGAAATCATCCAAGAATAGCCCTGTTAGCCATTAGAAAAGAATCCATGTTGAAGGGACTTCTGCTGTTGTTTCTGCTACATCCACCTCTTTAGTATATTCTTTGATTTATGATTCATGTAAAGGTCTAAACACAATCGCTTTTCTCATTTCCAATTCACTTCCAAAGTTCCTCCAAGTCCTCCAAATCGCCCAGATGTGGTTTCTGTGTCCGCCAACGCCATCAACATCCAATGGGACGTTCCTTATGCTGATGGTGGCAGCAAAGTGTCTGGCTACTGGATTGAAAAGAAGGAGAGGAACACGATCTTGTGGGTGAGGGAAAACAAGCTTCCCTGCTTGGAGTGCCACTACAAGGTATCCAACCTTATTGAGGGACTGGAGTACCAGTTCAGGGTGTATGCCATGAACATCGCTGGACTCAGCAAGGCCAGCGAGGCCTCCAGACCTGTGGTTGCTCTCAATCCTGTTGGTAAGTAAAACATTTGTTTGTTATCTACAAACTAGTATCATAAAAACGAACAGCAGGCTACCTTTTGTTCAATAAAAATTTATTACGTCATCTAATCACACATAATAATAATCGCTGGTTGCAGCCAGACAGTTTAATCAGATTTAAGTGGTCATCTGTTTTACGATAACTTCTCTTTCCTGTTCAGATCCTCCTGGTAAACCAGAGGTTACAGACATCACCCGCTCCTCTGTGTCACTGTGCTGGACTGTGCCTTTCAACGATGGCGGCAGCAAGATCGTTGGTTATGTGGTAGAAAGGAAAGTCTACAGCACAGACGAGTGGGACGACAACCGCTGGCTCAAGTGCAACTACACCACCATCACAGAGAATTACTTCACTGTCACCAACCTGGGAGAGGGAGAGACCTTGGAGTACCGCATCATCGCCAAAAATGCTGCTGGCGTCCACAGCAAGCCCTCTGAGTCCACTGGACCAGTTACATGCAAGGATGAATACTGTAAGTACATTTATTACTACTCACACTTCTCCTTCCATGGAGCAACTTTTAAAAATGCATAATTTCTTCCATGATGCAGCTCCTCCCAAAGCTGAGCTTGACAGCAAGCTGGTGGGTGAGACCGTCACCATCATGGCTGGTTCTGACCTCGTCCTGGACGGTGCTGTCGGCGGTAAACCAGAGCCCACAGTGTATTGGTCAAAGGGCGAAAAGATTCTGGAGCTTGGAGAGAAATACTCTCTGACCTACACCGCTACCAGAGCCATGGCTGTCATCAAGAACTGTGACAGATACGACACAGGAAGATACATCCTGACTGTGAAGAACGCCAGTGGAATCAAGACTGCTGCCGTCAGCGTCAAAGTCCTTGGTGAGTCACCACGAACCAACAGTAGAGTCACAGTAGCGAGAGTGTTTTAGACAATCTGACCGTGTCTGTTTCTGCCGTCTGCTCCAGACACCCCTGGAGCTCCAGCTGATAACATCACCATCAGCAGAGTGACGGAGGAGAAGTGTACCGTGTCCTGGAAGATTCCTTTGGAGGATGGTGGAGACATCGTCACTCACTATATTGTGGAGCGTCGTGAGACCAGCAGACTGAACTGGGTCATCATGGAGACAGAGTGCAAGACCCTCTCATGTGTCAGCTCCAGGCTGATTAAGAACAACGAGTACATCTTCAGAGTTAGAGGAGTCAACAAATACGGCCCTGGAGTTCCTCTGGAGTCCGAGCCTGTCATCGCCAGGAACGCTTACAGTAAGCTGCTAGATTTCTCTCAGTGAACTCGTCTTTAAAAGGAACATTTCTCTTCTTTCTTTGTAATCAGTCATACTGTTTAACAAAAAAATGTTGGACTGGAGCAAATCCTTCTATTTCTGAAACAGAAGCAAATTCGGTTCATCTATATATGAGTTGCAGAAGGAGACCCTTGAAATAAAAAAGATTTATGTCTTGTGTTGTTTTTGTTTATGTTTTATTCTCCCTCCTTTGTATTGTTTACATTAAAAGGATTTATGCGCTGTATAATCAGGGCTTATATTTGACGTCATCTCTTGTAAAAGGGTTAATAGGTTTAGATTTTGGACCTTTTGTGACTCTGACCTTTCTCTACCTTTACCTTTCCCAGCAATTCCATCCCAGCCTGGCACCCCAGAGGCCACAGTGGTGGCTAAGGAGCATGTCATCATCGAGTGGCTAAAGCCAGAAAGCGATGGAGGCAGCGAGCTCAAAACCTACATTGTGGAGAAGCGAGAGAAGAGCAGCACCAGGTGGGAACAGCTCATGAAGAAATGTCACAGATTTGAGCTTCACTATCTAAAATGGAGATGCTTATTGTTTCTCTGGCACAAACAATATCCCCTTGTTTGTTCTTTGAACCAGGTGGACTCGGGTGAATAAGACTTACACCATCTATGACACCCGTCTGAAGATCACAGGCCTGATCGAGGGAAGCGAGTACCTGTTCAGGGTGACAGCAGTCAATACTGCTGGAGAAAGCCAGCCGAGCGATGCATCACCTTACATCCTCTGCAGAGACCCCACATGTAAGAGAGTCAACTGGCTGTTCATATTTTGGTCTGTGTAGGTTCTCTGTCATCCAGGTCATGGTAAATCAAAGCTTAATCCAAAGGCGGCTGGACTTGGTTAAAGATTTGGAAGATGTTTCTTTTGGAGGAGTAGTGAAACGTCCAGTCCAGTTGCTTTTGGATTAAGCTTTGATGAACTGGTGCAAAAGGTGACAGCTTACTTTTTTGTTTTAACCCTTCATTTTTCACATTCAATCAAGAATACTTTTTCATTCTGAAGAAAGTTGGGACAAGTAGAGATGAAACTTTTTATTATTGTTTACTTTCAGATACCCCCGCTCCTCCATCGATGCCTCGCATCACTGACACAACGAAGCACAGTATTAGCATGACCTGGACCAGGCCCATGTACGACGGTGGCTCAGACGTCACCGGCTATGTGGTGGAGATCCTTGAGGGGGACTCTGAGCAGTGGTATCGCGCCACCGCCAAGGCCCTCAAGACAAACGAGTATGTGGCCGCTGGCCTAGCAGCCAATAAGAACTACAGATTCAGGGTCGCTGCTATCAACAACAAAGGCACCGGAGAGTTCAGTGATCCCAGCGCTGAGGTGCAGCCGCTGGAGAGAATTGGTGAGTCCATGCATGTTTCAAAACCTGCGATTCACATAGAAGTCTGTTGTGCTTGTAGGCTTTATTAATGTGTTCTCGATAGCGTTTTCACATTTTCTTCTAAACTAAAAAGTAAAAACTCATGAAAACAAAACAAAAACTTAACTCAAAGCTGTTGTGGAAAAAGTAATAACTTTTGTCCTGCAGGAGTTACAGACGTGTGTAAGAGTCATTATAAGAGCTTGTTAAATAGCATAGCAGCATTTGTGGACACTCCCCTTACTTTGCTCAATCTGATCAGAAATGCCCGACCTGGAGCTGGCAGATGACCTGAAGAAAACAGTGTGTCTGCGTGCTGGTGGAACCCTGCGTCTGGTTGTGTTTGTCAGTGGCAGGCCAGCACCAGTGGTGGCCTGGAGAAAGACAGGTGTTGAGCTGCAGAGCCGTGGCTTTATCGAGACCACTGATAGCTACACATGCCTGATTGTGGAGAAAGTCAACCGCTATGACTCTGGAAAATATGTTGTGGAGGCTGAGAACCCCTCTGGCAAGAAGACTGCCACCGTCTTGGTTAAAGTCTATGGTATGTCTTCACAAAATGTTCACAAACATCAAATCTAATAGGCTGAGTTTAGGGGATAGTTCAAAGAAAATTACATGAAATAATATAATTTTCTTCCTCAACTTGTCCTTCTCCTGCAGACACTCCTGGTCCTCCAGGTTCAGTGAATGTGAAGGATTACACCAAGGAGTCTGTTGTGATCACCTGGGACGTCCCAAGCATCGACGGTGGCGCTCATGTCAGCAACTACATTGTGGAGAAACGTGAAGCAAGCATGAAGTCATACAAAACCGTTACCACTGAATGTAGAAAGACCCTGTTCAGAATCACTGGTCTGGAGGAGGGTGTGCACTACTTCTTCAGAGTCCTGCCAGAGAACATCTATGGCGTTGGTGAGCCCTGTGAGACCAGTGAGGCTGTGTTGGTATGTGAAGTGCCGTCAGTGCCTCTGAACCTCCAGGTGGCCGATGTCACAAAGTCCTCTGTCACGCTGCGCTGGGAGAAGCCGCATCACGATGGCGCCAGCAGGCTGACAGGCTACATCATCGAAGCATGCAAGGTGGGCTCTGACAGGTGGAACACTGTTGCCACAGTCAAAGCCTCAGTATCCCAGCACACCATCCAGTCTTTGATGGAGAACGAACAGTACCTCTTCAGGATCCGAGCTACCAACAGCAGGGGAGCCAGCGAGCCCATGGACACTGTCACTCCTGTCACCATCCAGGATATCAAAAGTAAGATTACATTAACATATCCAAAAATCTTTATGTAATCATTTCTGCCGTCATGTAAAAGGGGAAAACTTAACAAAATTCTTAAAATGTAATCACATACCTATTTTTATTGCAGTTAAGCCTGCTATCGACATGACCAACATTCCTCAGAAGGTTGTCCATGTGCATCGTGGCAAACCCATCGACCTCAACATCTCCTTCAAGGCCAAACCTCAGCCCGTCTGCTCCTGGTTCTTTGGTGGCAACAAACTGAAGGACAGCCTTGATCGCATTAAGATCGACAGCAATGGGAAATTCACACATCTTGTCATCCGTGAGACAACCATTAACGACACTGGAGACTACACACTGGAGGTGAAGAATGCCATCGGCATGGCCACTGAGGTCATTAAAGTCATCATCCTTGGTAAGGAAACTTTACTTTCTTTCTTTTCTACCTTTCAAAGGTTTACTGTAGATTTGTTGAGCTTGTATTGTGCAATTCTAACCAGCTGCATGTTTGTGTCTGTCCAGACAAACCTGGCATCCCAGTCGGCCCAGTAAAGATTGAGGAGACTGATGGTGTGTCAGTGACAGTCAGCTGGGAACCTCCAGAGAAGGATGGTGGTGCCAACCTCAGCGGCTATGTCGTGGAACAGCGTGATGCCCACCGGCCAGGCTGGAGCACTGTCTCCGAGTCGGTGACCCGACCCTGCTTCAAGTTTACTAGACTCTCTGAAGGAACCGAGTATGTGTTCCGTGTTGCTGCCATGAATCGCTTCGGCATTGGTAGCTTCCTTCAGTCCGAGGTGGTGGAGTGCAAGAGCCCCAAAAGTGAGTTTCATTTCAATCAAAAGCCCCTTTATGTTCTTGATTATTTAATGATGCTTCATTAGTCCCATTACTTTTATTGTACACAAATCATAGTTGAGAATTACTGTACAAAGATCTGTTTGTAGCTAACTTCTCCCCTCCTTTAATTCACCTCATCTTTTAATTGCTCTCCTGTATAGCCATCCCTGGACCTCCAAGCAGACCAGAGGTGCTTGATGTCACACACGAGGGCATGACCCTTTCCTGGCAACCACCCGAGGATAATGGTGGCTCCACTATTGCCGGCTACATCATTGAACGTAAGGAGGCCAGTTCTGACAGGTGGATGAGAATCAACAAGAACCCTGTCACCATGACCCGATACCGCTCCTCAGGCCTCATTGAGAGCTTGGAGTATGAACATCGTATCACCGCCATTAACTCCAGAGGGTCTGGCAAACCCAGTGAGAGCTCAGCCATCACTGTCGCCATGGATCCCATCGGTATGTGGTGCAAAACCCAGTATAGCTGCTGTGCTTCAATTATGAACTGCCTATTACCTTTCTTACCAATAATGTGTCAGTTCATTAACCAAACATTTATCTGTGTTGTTGAACAGAGCCTCCAGGTGCTCCAGTTCAGCCCAGAGTTACCGACAGCACCAGGACTTCAGTGTCTCTGGCCTGGCTGCCGCCTGAAGAGGAGGGTGGTTCTGTCATTACTGGTTACTTGATCGAGATGCAGAAGGTGGACCAGGTGGAATGGACCCTGTGCAACACCACTCCCACCAAGATGTGCGAATACACCCTTACCCATATGCCCCAAGGCGCAGAGTACAAGTTCAGGGTCATCGCCTGCAACGCTGGTGGTGCTGGAGAGCCTGCTGAGATTTCTGGAGTGGTCAAAGTCCAGGAGATGCTTGGTACTAGAATAAAATACCATAATATAAAATTTGATTTTGCAGTACAGAAAACGTATACTTTTGACAAAAATTGCATTTTTCTTTCATATCTTTAATTTAATTTGATGTCTTCTTTAGATTATCCTGACTTTGAGCTTGATCGTAAGTATGAGGAGGGCTATGTGGTGCGCCAGGGAGGAGTCATCCGTCTGTCTGTACCAATCAAGGGTAAACCAATCCCTATATGCAAATGGACCAAGGATGGCCGTGACATCTCCCACCGGGCCATGATTGCCACCCATGACGACATCACTGAACTGGTCATCAAAGAAGCACACAAAGAAGACACCGGCACCTACGACCTCTTGCTTGAGAACAAATGTGGCAGGAAAGCCGCATACATCAAGGTAAATAGCTTCATCATGCATGACCAGTGAAATAAAAAGTACAGCGGCCTAAAAGTGAATCTGAAAAATGTTCTCTGTAGGTGAGGGTGATCGGTCACCCTGATGCTCCAGAAGGACCACTGGAGTTTGATGACATTCAGGCAAGATCAGTTCGTGTCAGCTGGAGGCCACCATCAGATGATGGCGGCTCTGACATTCTGGGATATCTCGTAGAAAGACGTGAGGTACCCAAGGCTGCATGGTGTACAGTGGACTCCAGGGTAACGGAAAACTCACTGGTGGTGAAGGGCCTGAAGGAGAATGTGGAGTATCACTTCAAGATTTCTGCTGAGAACCAGTTTGGTATTAGCAGATCTCTCAAGTCTGAAGAGTCTGTCATGCCAAAGACACCACTTTGTGAGTATTTATACTATTTAGTATTCTAGAGACACACTGAACACAATATTTCACTGTTATCCTGACATACAAGTGTTTTTAAAATATTGATTGTACTAACAACATGTTTAACCTCCAGGCCCACCAGAGCCTCCCAGCAACCCAGCAGAGATCATGGATGTGTCCAAGTCCAGTGTGTCCCTGTCCTGGTCCCGGCCCCGTGATGATGGTGGCTCCCGCGTCACAGGATACTTTGTGGAAAGGAGGGAGGTGTCAACAGAGAAGTGGGTCCGCCACAATAAGACCCACATCACCACCACAATGTACAACGTCACGGGTCTCATCCCTGATGCAGAATACATGTTCAGGGTGGTGGCTCAGAATGACATCGGGCAGAGCGAGCCTGGTCCTGTTTCTGAGTCTGTGATCTGCAAAGATCCATTTGGTGAGTTAACATAACACAAATCCTATTCCTGCATGAATTAAATCATTCAGCTTAGGAGAATAAACACACTTTACAGCAAATATGTTCAACAAGATAGATGAACTTGAAGGGTGTTTGCTGTAAGTCCAAGTAAGAGGAGTCTTGGGTTTGTCTAAAACCAATTCAAGAACAGATTTTTGTGCTACTCCCCAAATACTTGGGCTTAGGTTCTCAATGAAAATAATTATCTTCTTGACTGTGTCCATACAGACAAACCTAGCCAACCAGGAGAGATCGACATTATCTCCATCACTAAAGACTGCATCACCATCCACTGGCTCAGGCCTGAACATGATGGTGGTAAGGAGATTCTGGGATACTGGATTGAGTTCAGGCAGGCTGGAGAAAGCGCCTGGAAGAAATGCAACAAGGAGCGCTCCAAGGATCGTCAGTTCACCATGGGTGGCTTGATGGAGGCCACAGAGTATGAGTTCAGAATCTTTGCAGAGAATGAGACTGGACTCAGCCGGCCACGTCGCACGCCTATGGGCATCAAGACCAAACTGAGTGGTGAGCTGCCAAATAGTTCAGATACCTTTAAACTGAATTATCGCTCACAATGTTGTGTGATTCTTCTATAAATAATGTTTTTGTGTATTACTACCTGAGGCACATGATTCCTCCAATTTGTGATGTGACCTGATGTATTAAGACTCAACCATCCTTATTTGAATCTTTATATTTATTTTTATTTATATTTTTTCATAAAGATGTTTGGTATACACAGAGAAGTGTTAAATGTTTCCTTGACACATGAATAACAATAGACTTTTTCTGATGTGTCTTCAGTTGGTGAGACTCCAGCTCTGAAGGAAGAGATCCAAGACGTTACTACCAAGCTTGGCGAGTCTGGCACTCTGACTTGTGGCATCATTGGCAGACCTTTGCCTGAGATCAAATGGTACCGCTACGGCAAGGAACTGATCCAGAGCCGCAAGTACAAGATGAGTTCAGATGGCCGTAACCACTCACTCAGCATCCTGTCAGACGAACAGGAAGATGAAGGGCTATACACCTGCAGAGCCATCAATGAGGCAGGAGAGGTGGAAACCAGTGGAAAACTGCGTCTGCAAGCTGCACCCCAGCTCCATCCTGGTTTCCCTCTGAAGGAGAAGTACTATGCCGGGGCAGGCACCAGCCTTCGCCTGCATGTCGTCTACATTGGACGTCCCATCCCTAAGATTATGTGGTTCTATGGCAAGAAGCCTCTGAACTCTTCTGAGAATGTGATTATTGAAAACACGGAAAGCTACTCCCACCTAGTGGTTAGGAATGTCCAAAGGAAGACCAACGCTGGCCGGTACAAAGTGCAGTTCAGCAACTCGTTCGGAACTATTGACACTGTCCTGCGTGTTGAAATCCAAGGTAAGAACTGACTAAGGAGAACAGGAAATGGTACTCTAAAATTCTGGAAATCTCAAACAGTCTTGTATCTGGAATTCTATTCAGTTGATTACCCTTCAACCAACAAGTAACAAATTATCTATATATTTGTATATAAATATTTAATGATTATCTTCTCCAGATAAACCATGCATCCCAGAGGGTCCTCTGGTTGTTGATGCCCTGCTAAAGAGCTCAATGGTCATCAGCTGGAAGGCGCCCAAGGATGACGGAGGCTCAATGATCACCAACTACATTGTGGAGAAGCGGGAAGCCAAAGAAGGAGAGCAGTGGCACCTTGTGTCCTCTTCTGTTTCTGGCACCACTTGCCGTGTCCCCAACCTCATTGAGAATGCTGGCTACTACTTCAGAGTCTCTGCCCAGAACCAGTATGGAGTCAGCGAGGCTCTGGAGATCCCATCCGTGGTCATTGTCAAGAGTCCCTTTGGTAAGTCCTTTCAAGTCTTTATTCTTTGCCAATTTTGGCCTTTATAATGACAGTGAAGAGGTGGGACTAATAGATGTGCAGAGAGCCACATTGATAATCTCTTTTTATTTTGCAGAGAAACCGGGCATCCCACAGCAGCCCTTCATCATCAGCTCCACCAAGGACTCCTGTGTTGTCTGCTGGAAGCCTCCAAGCAGCGACGGTGGAGCTAAAATCAGCAGCTACTACCTGGAGAAACGTGAAAAGAGGCAGAACAAGTGGATGACTGTGACCAGCAAGAAGTTTGTGGAGACCAGCTTCGAGGTCCTAGGCCTAATCGAGGGCTTTGAGTACGAGTTCCGTGTTAAGTGTGAAAACATGGGTGGTGAGAGCGACTGGAGTGAGATCTCTGCGCCCATCATTCCCAAGTCTGACCAGGCACCTCGTGCTCCTGCGTTCAGGGAGGAGATCAGGGACATGACCGTCAAATACCAAGCAAATGCCACATTTGTCACTAAGGTACTTTATTGCTTAATTGCATGCAGTTTCAAGCAATCACAAACTGTGTATTGTTGTCAATATGTTAAATGTTGTGTACAATCCAAAGAATAAAGACATTGATAATTAGCTTTCTGGTTTAGCACAGTCATGGAGAAGAAAATAGCTTTTCTCTTGCCTGAAGTGAAGTCATTGAATTCAATAGACATGTTTTGATATGATTCAGGGGAACTGAAGTGACAGCTGTGTGGAAGGAAATTCTATGTTCTGAGTCCTTTGAAATGTGTCATTTAAATTACCCTTTTTCTTATGTAAAAAGGTGGTGGGACATCCCAAGCCTGTGGTGAAATGGTATCGCAGTGGAAAGGAGGTCAATGCAGATGGAACCAAGATCAAAGCCCAGGAGTTCAAAGGAGGCTACTACCAGCTGGTCATCACTACTGCTGATGAGAGCGATGCCACAGTTTACCAAGTCAGAGCAACCAACTCCTCAGGATCCATCTCTACAACGGCTAACCTGGATGTGGAAGGTAATGATATTTCAATCCTGTTTCCTTTAATCCATTAGTTATGAGTAGTAAGTCAGCAAAGTTCTACCTTGTGGTTTTGTGTTTTAATTCTAGTTCCTGCCAAGATCTACCTGCCTAAAGAACTACAGGGAATGGGAGCAGTCCATGCTGCCCGTGGTGACCACATCACCATCAAGATCCCCATCTCTGGCAAGCCCGAGCCAGCTATCACTTGGCAGAAGGGTCAGGAGATCCTTTCCAACTCTGCTTATCACCAAGTCATAACCACCAGGTCTTTCACCTCACTGGTCTTCCAGAAGGGAGTTCAGAGGAAGGATAGCGGCTACTACTCAATTACCGCAAAGAACAGGTTTGGAATGGACAAGCAAACCATCGAGGTGAATGTGGCTGACATACCTGAGGCTCCAAAGGCTCTGGTTGTTAGTGACATTTCCCGGGACTCAATCACTTTGACCTGGGAGCCTCCTGCTAATGATGGTGGAAGCGACATTATTAGCTACATCGTTGAGAAGTGTCCTACCACTGCTGATAGGTGGATCCGTGCTGGACAGACATCTGACTGCAGCATCAACATCATTAACATTTTTGGAAAGACCAAGTACCAGTTCCGTGTCATCGCTGAAAACCAGTTCGGCCTTAGCCCTCCTTCTCATCCAACTGAGCCAATTACAACCAAGGAAGACAAGTCTGTGATTAGGAACTATGATGAGGAAGTTGATGAAACCAGAGAGATCACCAAGGAAGAGGCTCTGGTCTACAAGGTGAAGGAACTTTCATCCAAGTACACCATCTCCGAGGAACTGGCTCGCTGCCAGTTTGGAGCCGTTCATCGTTGTGTAGAGATTGCTACGAAGAAGACCTTTATGGCCAAGTTTATCAAGGTCAAAGGAATGGACCGTGAGTTGGTTCTCAGGGAAATTGAGGCACTCAACGTAGCAAGGCATAAGAATATCATCTACCTCCATGAATACTTTGAGAGCATGGAGGAGATCGTCCTAATCTTTGAATTCATGTCTGGAGTTGACATCTTTGAGCGCCTTGGTACCTGCAACTTCGAGCTTACAGAGCAGGAGATTGTCCGCTACCTGAGACAAGTCTGCTCTGCTCTCAAGTTTATGCATAGCCACAACTTTGGCCACTTTGAAATTCGCCCAGACAACATTGTCTACACAACAAGAAGAAGCAGTGACATAAAGATTATTGAGATGGGTCAGTCTAGGCTGCTGGTGCCCGGAGAAAACATCAGGATGATGTTTTCAGCTCCAGAATACTGTGCCCCTGAGGTGCACCGTCATGACCAGGTCACAACAGCCAGCGATATGTGGTCTGTTGGTGTTATGGCCTATGTTCTGCTTAGTGGCCTTAATCCATTTGCAGCAGAGTCAGTGACAAAGATGATTGAGAACATCTCAAGCTGTGAGTACATCTTTGAAAGTGAAGCATTTAAGGACATCAGCATGGAGGCCATGGACTTCGTGGACAGACTTCTAGTCAAGGACAGGAAGCTCCGTATGACCGCTCATGAGGCTCTGGAGCACCCATGGCTCAAGATGAAGATTGAGCAAGTCAGCAACAAGGTAATTCGGACATTGAGACACAGAAGGTACTACCAGAGTCTGGTAAAGAAGACAGATACTATTGTATCAGCAGCTCGTGTTGCCTATGGAGGTGCCTTCAAAAACCAGAGAGGATTGGCTGTAGGCAAAGTGAAGATTGGAACTGAGTACAGAGGCCTCCGCACTGGTCCTGTCATGCATAGCTCAGCTGAGGAAGGTGGCCATGTGAGATTCACTTGTACCATTGTAAACTATGACAAGAGTACCCAGGTGACTTGGTACTTCGGTAACCGTCAACTACACCAAAGCACCAAGTATGAAATCACTTACAGTAATGGCTTTGCCAGCATCTATGTAAAGGACATTGAAGAAAGCGATGATGGAGTGTACAGATGCAAGGTGGTGAGTGATGATGGAGAGGACAGTGCTTATGGAGAGCTCTTCGTTGAGTCAGTGAGGAGCATCAGAGAGTTCTACATCAGCCGTTCAGTCAAGAAACTGAGGAGAAGAGTTGACAAGACTAAACTCCTGCAGAGACCACCAGAGTTCACTCTACCTCTGTACAATCGCTCAGCTTACATTGGCGAAGATGTGCGCTTTGGAGTCACTATTACCGTGCACCCTGAGCCTCATGTAACATGGCTTAAGAATGGAGAGAGAATCAAGCCAGGTCAGGATGACAGCAAGTACACATTCACCAGTGATAAGGGTCTGTATCAGCTGATAGTCCACAACCTGGACATGAACGATGATGCTGAATACACCGTCATGGCCAACAACAAGTTTGGAGAAGACAGCTGCAAGGCCCGGCTCACTGTGACACCTCATCCTGTGACGACGGATATGATGAGGCCCATGTTTAAACGTCTGCTGGCCAATGTTGAGTGTGCTGAAGGACAAAGTGTCCGCTTTGAACTCAGAGTCTCAGGAATCCCAACTCCTACTCTGAAATGGGAGAAGGATGGTCATCCACTACAGTTTGGTCACAAGGTTGTTGTCATACAGGAAGATGTTGACTATCATGTCCTGCATATCAGAGAGACTCTTCTTGAAGATTCTGGTTTTTACAAAGTTACTGCAACTAACTCTGCTGGTTCTGCAAGCTGCCAGGCTACACTGAAGGTTGACCGCCTTACCTACACTAGGAGAGAGTACAAGAGTGAGGAAGAGAAATACAGATATGTACAGAAACAAATTGAGAAGACAAACAAGATGGCTTTGCAAATTGTAGCAACTGAGGAGATTGGACCTCTCAACCCCACGGCCCAGGAGGCTCTCAAATTTGCTGCAGAGATGTACAAACCTGCAGTGAGCACCAAGAACATCGAAGGCGAGTTCGACATCAGAGTGGAGAAGTCAGAGACCAAGAAACTGGAAGAGGAGAGGAGAATCTTCATGCCTTATGAGATCCCTGAGTCAGTGGTTCATGATCGCAAAGCTCTTGATGAAGACAAAGCTATCAAACAGTTTGTGCCTCTCTCTGACATGAAGTGGTACAGAAAACTTAAGGACCAGTATGAGATCCCAGAGAGGATGGAGAGAATTGTGCAAAAGAGGCAGAGACGTATTCGCCTCTCAAGGTGGGAGCAGTTCTATGTGATGCCCCTGCCCAGAATCACCGACCAGTACAGACCAAGATGGCGAATTCCAAAACTCACTCTGGATGATCTGGAGACTGTCAGGCCTGCCCGCCGCTCGCCGTCTCCAGAATCAGAGGTCTCCTTCAGATCCAGGAGGAGATCTCTGGGTGACCTTAGTGATGAGGAGCTGATGATGCCTGCAGAGGATTACCTTTCAGTGAGGAGAACAGAGGAGGAGAAAATGATGCTGGAAGATGAACTTGAGCTCGGCTTCTCTGCCTCGCCGATGGGCAGCCCTGTCCGTATGGAGCGATATGCAATGGAACGTGAAGAGAGGAGGCAGGAGGTCAGGCATGAGGCTGTAGAGGTTACTGAGACAAAGAAGAAACGTACAGTTTCTCAGTATATGAGAAGGAGAAGGTCGCTGTCTCCCACATACATCGAGCTAATGCGTCCAGTCTCAGAGCTGATCAGACCACCACAGCCCAGGCTTTCTGTAGAGGTAGAGGGGGAGGTTGTGGGAAGGAGGTCCCCCACCCCTGAGAGGACCCGTCCCCGTTCTCCCAGCCCAATCAGGTCTGTTGAGAGGTCATCCCGGTCCTCCTCCAGGTTTGAGCGATCTGCCCGCTTTGACATTATGTCCCGCTATGAGGCCAGAAAGGCTGCTCTGAAGTCTGAGAGGAAATATCAAGTGGTTAGCCAGACTCCTTTCAGTCTGGACCATGCTCCCAGAGTGACAGTTAGAATGCGTTCTCATCGCATACCTATTGGCCAAGACACCAAATTCACTCTTAACATCCAAACCAAGCCAGAGGCTGAGATCATGTGGTACCACAATGGAGCTGTTATTTCTGAAAGCAGTGAGAAGTACATATTTGCCAATATGACTGGCGTTTTGTCTATCACCATCCTGGACTGCCAGGAAGAGGATAGTGGAACATACCGCTGTGTGTGCTCAAACTCCAAGGGAGAGGCTTCCGACTATGCCACCCTTGATGTGTCAGGTGGTGGCTACACCACTTTCTCCTCTCGCCGCAGGGATGAAGAAGCTCCCAAAGCCCGCGTTCCTGAAGTCACTCGAATTGACCACTACCACACTTCCCATTTCAAAGCTGGCTATGCCTCCGAGTCTCGCCTTGAGGTAGAAGAGAGCAAGTCTAAGCTGACCGAGACACATGAGGTTGTTGCACGTGAGAGGTATGCTGCCTCCTCTGAGAGATACTCCTCTGCTGAGAGGTATGCAGCCTCCTCTGAGAGATACTCCTCCGCTGAGAGGTATGACTCATCCATCAAGTATGCCTCTGCTGAATACCTATCATCTAGTTCCTCCTTCTCATCTGACAAATTTTCTCTGACTGGGAAACACACCTCATCGGAAGCTAAAATTAAGTCATCTTCTGCTGCTGTATCTGAGGAAGTTGCTGTCACCAAGGTGAAGCCTTCTCTTCTTGCCAGAATCCTCACCAAGCCCCAGTCTGTGACAGTTGCAGAGGGAGAGACAGCTAGATTCTCCTGTGATATTGATGGGGAGCCTGCACCCACTGTTACATGGATGCACGAGAGCAGATCCATTGTCTCATCTCACCGCATCCAGGTCACTACCACTCAGTACAAGTCCAGCATGGAGATATCCTCTGTGACAGCCTCCGATGAGGGCAGTTACACGGTTGTGGTGGAGAACTCCGCAGGTAGACAAGAGGCTCACTTTACCTTGACCATCCGCAGACCAGCTCCAAAAGAGGAAGTCAAGGCTGTCAAATCCCCTGAACCATTTGTAAAGTCACCGGAACCTTCAGTGACCTCACCCTCTCCCTCTGTAGCTTCTCCAGTCCCCAGTATTAAGTCCCCCACTCCCAGTGTCAAGTCCCCTGAGCCTTCAATTAAATCACCAACTCCCAGTGTCAGGTCCCCTGAGCCTTCAATTAAATCACCTACTCCCAGTGTCAGGTCACCTGAACCAAGCATAACATCTCCTGCTCCGAGTGTGAAGTCCCCAACGCCAAGTGTGAAGTCACCAACACCCAGTGTCAAGTCCCCTACACCAAGTGTTAAGTCTCCTGAACCAGAGGGAATTAAATCTCCTAGGAGTGTCAAGTCTCCTGAGCCAGCACCCTCTCCAGCACCCAGCATAAAATCACCAGTTCCAAGTGTCAAATCCCCTGAACCTGAAGGAGTCAAGTCACCACTGGCTATGAAATCTCCTGAACCCAGACTTAAATCACCACCCCCAACAAGGTCTCCAGAGAGAGTAAAGTCACCTGAAACTGGTCTTAAATCTCCAGAACCGGCAGGAATCAGATCACCTAAAGGTGTGAAGTCCCCAGAACCTGCTGGACTCAAATCACCAAAAGGCATCAAATCCCCAGAGCCTTCAGGCCTCAAATCACCAAGGGCTTTGAAGTCTCCTGAGCCTGAGGGAATCAAATCACCTCCTAGGATGAAGTCACCTCCTCCCATCATGTCCCCAAAAAGGGTTGTGTCTCCACCCACCATAAAATCTCCAATTCCTAAACCCCCCAAGGTCCTGAGTCAGCTTAAAGCCGAAGCCTGCGAGGGATCAGTGAAGATGTCCTGCATCTGCGAGAGCAGCGTCAGGGAGGTGGTGTGGTACGTCAATGGGAGGAGGCTTTCTCAGAGCAGCCACTTTGAGATGCACTACTCTGAAGGCTCCTGCAGCCTTCTTATACATGATTTGGTAGACAGTGATCAGGGAGAGTACACCTGTGAGATGACAGCTGAGGGAGGTGTTTCCAAGTCCTCCTTCTCCTTCACCGGGCAGGTGTTCCAGTCCATAAGGATGAAGGTCACAGCCTACCGTGAGCAGCAACTGGTACTTAAAGGTAAGAAACTGCCTCAAGTATGCTCACAGTCTAACTTAAAACCAATTGTAATGAAGCATGAACTTGCAAGTAAGATTAACATTAACGTGTACTGTTTCCATCTTTAGCCTCATCGGGATCAGTGATGATGGGTCACAAGGAGTCTTTGTCGTCCATGAGCTCATCCATGATGATGAAGAAGAAAGAAATGCACACAATGGAGGAGTCATCCTCTTTCTCGTCCTCCACCCAGCAAGCTATGATGTCGTCAATGATGGAGTCCAGCTCCTTTAGCAGCATGGCAGCTGAGATGAAGGTTGAGACCATGTCCATGTCCAGCATGTCATCCATGGCTTCTGAATCGTACGCCATGAGCTCCAGCAGCCTGACGGAAATGGCTTCTCACATGGAGGGATCCACGTTCAGACCAATCGGTAAGATGATGTCATCTTTTAATAACGTGTCTTTGGAGTCTGTGCAATTTTTTAAGGTCTCTTTATCACATCAATATTTATAGGTAGCAATAAATAGTTAGAAACTCTTCAGCAGCATATTAAATAAACTATACTGATGAACATGTCCTGTGGTTCTCCAGGTTGTGCTCCCAGGATCGAGGCTCTGCCTGAGGACATCAGCATCGAGCCCGGCAAAGTCCTCACAGTCACTTGCGCTTTCTCCGGTGATGCCAAACACATTGAATGGTCCCGCAGCGGCAGAATCATCCAGGTGACTGCTGGCGGACGCTTCCACATCGACACCTCAGAGGACTTAACCACCCTTATCATCACCGGGGTGAAGGCAGAGGACGCTGGGACCTACACCCTTAAACTGTCCAATGAGCTTGGATCAGACACAGCGACTGTTCACATTAGCATTCGATCAGTGTAAAAAAAAAAAATTCTAAACTTTCAATTTTCCCCTTTTCCCTACTTCTGTTCCTTTTTATTTATTAATTAAGCGAAATAATCTACTTGATAAAGATCTCGATTTCTGTTCTTGTAAATATGAACTATTTTTGTACCAATCTTGACATTAATTTATGCCAAACTAGACTCAAGTCTAAAGTTGTTATAAAATGTGCCATATTGGATAAATATGACTTAGGATTTTTGATCCATTTTTCTGTGACATGTACATAATGTATATAGCCGAATTGAACGGTTATGGGAAATGTATGCATTGTTATTTATGACAATATTAACTGAAACAAATGAAACTGAATGTGGTTTAACAGGAGAAAGTTTCACAAGAACGAATACCCTGTCAAACCAAGAAACTAAACTATGTGCCTCAACGATACGTTGAAGTCTTAAGATTGCCTCAACAGGTAGAGAGGCTCCCTGTTGATGTTAACTCAATCCAAGACGGAACTACGAACGCACTGCTGCAGAGAGAGCAGTGCTGTTGCATTGGAACAAGAGAGTGAGATCCTGAGTGCTGTTTGCATATACCCTCATGTAAGCAGGACGACTGGACCTCGCTCTCTAACCGATAATGTCATACTGCCATTTCGATGACATGCTCATAGTGCGAGCGGCCTGCACTCCCTGAGCACAAGTTTTTTTTGTGCTCTTCTTCTGACAAATGACCCCTCGATCAGGCTCTTCAGTCATACCATCTACCTGGCCAATCACGATAAAAAAAGAGTCCATCGGGTGTTTGTTTGCAGAGGCAGAGCTGGCTCCTGGAGGTCTGCAGTGTGTATGTGTGTGTGTGTTAGTTTTTAGGAGTTCAATCAAGCTGGGCGCCGCTTAGCACATGTACCGCAGCCGAAACAACCGCCACTGCACTCAATGAGGACCAAGAAAATTATGGTCCTGCGTGTTGCCCAGCACTTTGATTTGATTGAAGTTAGACTTGTAGCGTTGATTTTTCGCAGCCTCCTTGAGTTTTTCTCCAATTATTGATTTAATAAAGCATGATGATCAGCAGAATGACTACGCTGTGTTCTTTGTGTCTAATTCTTTTTCAATTACAAAATAACAAAAATTACGTGTGTCATACAAATGACATTCAAACACACATACATTCATAATGACATACATACATAGTATACTACACTCTACAAACATGCATACTGTTACCACCTGGCTCATGGCAGGTAACAAAGGAGGGAGGCCACACAGTTACTCATTCAAATAATAGTTTAATTAACTAAAGTATCACATATACATACATATATGAAGGTCATCCAGTAGACAATAGACATAAATGTACTGATGTTTGTAGCATGCCCATCTGAGAGCGAGTGAGCACATCTCTTGGGCAGGCCTAAATAACTTTCTGAAGGCCCTACTCAGCTGAGCAGGCACCAACTGATGACACTCCTAGCTCCACTCACATCCCAACTCCAATCACCTGGATAGAACACAAGGCTGAGAGACAAGAAACACAAAAACAGACAGAGTGGGAGCAAAAAGGGAGGGGTCGTCACAATACATACAAGCATACACACACACACATACTATATATGTACACTATATACTATACTCTACAAACATACATGCATGCATACATTCACACAAACATAATGACATACACATACTATACTGTCCTTGCAATGAGTTGCAGATCTTCAGAGCTAGACAGTTAGCTAACAAGTGTAGGCTATGTCCTTCAGAAAATTACAAGGCGTAACTTTTCTCGTCATTTATTGAAGAATTCACAATATTATTATTTCTTTCTAGTAAAACAGCAACAAAGCACAAATTGCAAAGTACATTAGAAAATAACCAACAGAAGGTAGGGCACAAGCAACAATTAGTGAACCAAACATGCTTAGTCATGCTGCTAGCTTACGACTCTGCTAACTATCAATTTATTAAAATCTAATCGTGTAAAGCAACAACTTAAAACTTACATTCTGCCTCTGTACACCAAAGAACACAAAATAATAAATACTTAAGGACAAGTAGTGTCCAAGGCAACAATGTAGTAGATCATTTTGCAGGAGGTGAAGCAACTGCTGTCTGCGCGCCACAGTACTTAAAAGGTCTGGGCCTGTGTTCACAAAGCCTCCTAAACACTAAGCGTCGCTCCTAGTGACACAATTCTAAGAACATTCTTAGAATCAGGACATTTTCTAAGAATTTCCCCTCAAAGTTAGGACTAGATCCTTGTCAAGATAAAAGTAATTCTCAAAGTGTCTTAGCCCTTAAAGGAAGAATATGCGAGTTTTCACACTTAAATGTAGCAGAAATCAAATATATCCTCTGAAAATAACTCTGTGAGTCATGACTGTCTACAAGGAGTGTGACACCCGAGTCCCGCTGTCTGTGATGCTTTAGCATGTTAGCACAACAACACAGCGCGAGTTAACAGATAGAGATAAAGACAAAGACAAACAGTTGTGCACATAAATACAGTGCAGTTATGAATGCAACAGGGATAAAATACAGTTACAAAGAGAAGGCAGCAAAAAAATATACGACAGACATTTGTGTCTCATGTACGTTTAGGTGTGGGAACAATGTTGTTTCTCCTTCAGTCATGATTTAACACCTTTGTTAAATGCATTCAAACTGTGTAGACTATTCCAGAGTTTAGCTCCTACAATGGAGAAGGCTGATTGTCCAAATGAGGCTGGAATGCAACAGTTACCGCTTACTGAAGCGTGTGTGTGTCTCGACGAGAATCCTGACGTCTTGTTACAAATTCATCAAACAGACAAGAGTACAAAGTGAGACATGCATATTAAGTTTCTCTACATGGTGTCACCTCCACAGGTGCATCGAATCACTGATTAAGACTCTTTACCTGATGATGTAATGATCAGCTGGTGAAGAAGCCACTGCACTGTGGGCATGTGATTTCAAACATTTTGTAGGCTTTTAAATTAAGTTACAAATGATAATTTCATAGTGTTCATAATTGCACAATGTCTGATTCTATGGCTGAATCTCAATGTCCTCCCTGAACCCTGAGCCCTGAGCCCTTACTGACTTTATTGGCGTCACCTGGAAAGTGATTGAGTGATTGAGGCTGCGAGGGCTCCAATGGTTAAATACAAATGGGACAGTACTTTGTGACTTCTCTGTAACCATGACAGCATGATGTAATGTGGCAAAAGCTTATTTAACGTTTTTTACTTTTCTCACTCACAGCCATGGTGCTTATAAAAAGTTCTACTCAGTAAAGGCCTCTAAATAGATTTATTCGTTGTGGGATAAATAAAGATTTATCTTATCTTATGGGACTAATTTCTCTCTCTCTCTCTCTTTTTGTTTATAGACTTGCAAATAAGTTCTGAATTAGCTGTAGTTTCCAAATAACCTCTTTTAGTAGACTGTAAATAGAGCGTGGTTTCACCTTCCTGTTTTTTACCGTCTCTACCTTTTTTCAGTTTTATGGCATTTGTTTACCTTTCAATTCTTGTGGGCTTCCCCGGGAAATCATATGTTTCCCGTCACAATGCTATGAACTATGGGTAATTCCCTCACGTTAAGTCTGCAGATATGCCCACTTATGGACAGGGTGCATAAAGGGCTCATAAAGTTAGCGAGAGATCCCTCAAACACTTGATGATTTACAGTGGGACAGCACTAAGCCCTCACAGAATTACCAGGAATGCGCACCAAAGTTAGTGAGTGTGTGAGGGTGGACATCGAGATTGGGCCATTGATTTACTTTTTTTCTCAATATTTTTGAATCAACCAATGTGTCAAAAAATGTGTCATACCTCACAATGGGGTCGACCACGCCTCCTCACTAAGATACTTCACACGCTCATACTGCTCAGTTCACTAAAACAACCAGGAGGGGGCAGTGTAAAAACAAAACTTCACTCAAACAATATTAAATGTCCTTCACAAAGGATAACACATACGCACGCACGCACGCACGCACGCACGCACGCACGCACGCACGCACGCACACACGCACGCACGCACGCACATACAGACCTGAAGAGAAACAATTAAATGAACCTACCACAGTTAAATGGAGTAAACTAAAATACTTTGGTAAATGTCTGCTTCAGGCTTCTGTAGAGAGCAACATTAATAAACTGACAACATAACGATCACCCCGACTGAAGTTCACTTCATGAATACGCTGCTTGAATCCCAAATGAACTAAGAACTGTTTTTGAATGGATGTAAGAAGATGATAGATGTTGGGAAAGAGACACATGAGACAGTAAAAGCATTAACGTTTGGTTTCAGTTCCAGAACATGGTGAACATGCAGTTTACAGCATCGGCCACCAGGTGTCAGTGTAACCCCAGAGAAAGCTGCAGCCTCAGAATGAGGAAGCTCAGTTTTTTAGACATTAGAACATAGGGATAAGGACTCAACAGTGAAAGACTTCATGATTTTTTTTACAATTATTTTACAAAAAATTGAAAGAAACACTTTAGCTGAGTTTATCTTTTTAATGCTGCTGAAGAATCCTACAATTCAGAGAGTAAGAACATCACAAGCGAGGCTCTATAGAGAGGAAGAAACAACATCAGGAAGCGTAAACAAACAGTCTGATCGGACGCACAGGTGCTGCAAAAGAACAAAAAAACCTAATCAGTTATTTACAGATGCTTTAAATCTTTGAAAGCTGCCCAGTATCTCCTCTCTTAGTGTGGGGGAAAGCAGACGTGTGTGAGGGTCGTCGCTCTGATCGCAGCAGGTTGTGACGTCATGTTTAAGGAGGCCTCCGGCCTCAACCATCTCAAACACTGACCAGGCCGAAGTTGCTAAGCAACTGTTGTGCAGCATTTTGTTGTTATGTTGTCTTATACAAGGATGAGATGCTGCTGGTGAACGTGGCTTCACTCTGCAGAATGACGTTTTCTGAATGAAGGTTTCATTCTTCAGTTGAAAATCAACCTTTCCCTTTGACTGCCTTCTCTTAGTGCCCATCCAGAGTGGGACGCGGGAACTGGATCCATCCAGTGTAGAGAACCTGATAACGTGACCTCAAAGGAGACCGCAGACTGTAATGATCTCTCCACATGAAGAACACCTGACATGTGACCTCTAATGAAGGTCTCTGTGCTTTGTTGAGATCACACCTCGCACCCTGAACGACCTCCGGTGACATCAGAGTACCTTCAGCCTCCAGAAAGACCTGTCCTCCTTGGAGACCAGATGCCACCTGATGCCGTCACTTCCAGTCACACTCAGCAGCACCACAACACACACTACAGGTTTCCCTCAGTAATGGCTGCCAGGTGTGATGAGACGAGACAGCAGCGGGGGAATGAAGGAACGTCTCAACACCGCCTTCGACAAAGAGAACACAAAGAGCAACGGCTAATCACAGCCGCTGACATCGGCCTTCATTAGATACTAAGTATGGCTAACGGAGGGCTGCACACTTTGTTTATAAACCTGTAACACACACACGAGGAACTGCATGATTTTACACTTCAGCATCGGCTTCTAATAGATCTAATCTAATAGAACAATCATTTCCAACAGGGAGAATGGCGTCTCTCTCTCTCTCTCTCTGACTCACTCTCTCTCTCTCACACTCTCTTTCTCTCTCTCTCGCTCTCTTCCTATCTTCCTCTGTCCTCTTCCTCTTCCACTTAGCCTCAGTCATTGTATCAAACAGTACAGAGACGGGCTAACTGGCTGCCTTTTTAGCTGAAGGCTGCTGTGTGAACTAGCGCCGTAAAGACGTACGCCCTACGCAAAGTTACATAGTGCTGAAAACAGGAGAGCGGGGCGCTCTGTGGACATGAGAGAGATGCCATTCTCCCTGTTTAAAGTTTGTTAGCAGCTGATTTCCCTTTGGTCCAGAAGAATGTGATGCCTCCGTTCAGCGCTCACTGAGTGAGGTGTGGTTGTCGTTCTGAAGCTGCAGCAGCTGTTGAGTTTAAATGTTGACATGAACACTGAGAGAGAGAGAGAGGGAGAGAGAGAGGGAGAGAGGGAGTGAGAGAGAGAGAACAGGTGGTTGTAGACTCAGACATCCTCCACAAACCGTCCTCCACCTCTGTGTGTGTTTCTTCTCAGGTGCAGCGCTGCCCCAAATACTTAGTTTTCCTCTGCTGTCGCTCGGAGGAAAACATGAGCCGACGTGTGAAGAGTTTCAGGCTGCAGCTGCATGGGGGTGGGGGGTGATTTAATAATGCAAATTAATGAGACACATTCCACTCAGGTCCTCTGACAGTCAGCTGCAGACACTACAAAATGAATATTCATGTTATTAACGATGTCAGGAGGTTCAAGTGAAGAGATGAAGAGTTTATTTAAAAACTGATGAAGAAAGTGATCACAGAGTCTCATAATGACAAAGTGTCGTCTCCGATTAATTCAATCATTCTCACAGAGAGGATGAGAAATAATGAAATGAATGGAAACAAACAATCCAATGAGGTCAATTAATTATTTTGACATTTCCTGCCATCAGCTGTTTGGAGGTTGCTCGTGATGAATGAGCTGTTGGTGCATGATGAACACTTAATGAGGATGAATATGTGCAGAAAGCTGGACTAATGCTGCACAATGTTAGCTGAGGCATCAACAAAATATATAAAGAACATCGGGGCACTGGTGGGCTAGAGTTTAGTGTGTGTACCCCATGCGCAGCGGCTGTGGTCCTCCTAGCAGGAAACAGACACTAACTGCATTGATGCGTCCTTCTCATGAGCGGCTTCAGGACCACCTCACATCTTTTCATCAAGTTGGAACTTCGCCTCTTTTTTTATCCACCTACACCCTCTGACACGTTTCCATTCACTCGCTCCATCAGGCCACCTCGAACATTTGCTCCACATTCAGCCAGAGCACATTCAGAGGACCTTCAGGGCTGGGAGGGTCTGAGGATCAGCACACTCATAAAGCAGGAGGAGGAATTTGAGTGAGTCAGTGGATTCATTTCCCTCATTCTGAAGGAGAGAGAGAGAAACGTTCACGTGTTCAGTCTGTGGGTTTAACACACGACGAGTCTGAAGCTCTGCCCTAGTTCTCTATTCAGACACACAAACACACACACACACACACACAGACACACACACACACACACACACACACACACACACACACACAGTTCATTATCAGGATGTGTGTGTTACTCCTGTGTTACATCAGAAGCAGCTCAGCAGTTTGCTTCAGAGATAGATTTGATTTAAACGATTTAACCGTCACCGCCCGTATACTCCTGCGCGTCCTTTACGATGGAACAGACATAAAAAAAATGCATCCACTAGAGGGCGCAGTTTAACACAGACGTCCACCTCTCCCTCAAAATCTTCTGCCTTGCATTTTTGCTGCTCCACACTCCCCCCACGTTTTCTGGTGGTATTGCAACAGTTGGTCCGTATCAGTTTGCTTCCAGAAAACGTGCAGAAATACGGATGAAATGAACGCAGAGTACGTGCAGAAGTCTCTGTCTGTATCGACGAGCTCAGAGGGGGAACACTCAAGCTCAGCTGTCATCTTGTCTTTGTACATTAATGATTCCACCACAGTGTTATATTGGCTTCCAAGTCTGTGAGGTCACATTGTGTTTCAGTGTTGTGGAAGCACGGCACAGCTGGGGTCCACACACACGCACGCACACACACACACACACACACAGCGCTGTTCTTTCCCCGCTGGCTCATCTGATCCCGACTCTCTTCTGTATCGCCTCTGAAGACGGTACAGAGGGGACATTCAGATAGAAGAATATCGCGACTGGACACAGCGGTCTGAAAGGGGTTAAAGACAAAACCAGTGTAGTTTCCCCCTGCTGGCAGTTAGAAGAAATTCAGGTTAAAGACATGACGTAGTCTTCATTATTTGATGTGATGTGAAAAGATTCATTAGACGGAGCGCCAGCAGGTTAGACATTTACATAAATATATTAAATAATGAATGTAGAAATTAAGATAATTAAACGACCAGCTGAACCGAGAAAGTCATTAATCCACACGAGTGTGACTAAAACGTAACCTGCATGAAACATTATTACACTTTAATTAAAGTTACACAACACAACTCATTCTTTACAACAACTTTATTTAAATAAGAAAACAAACTTTATGTTTTTATACAAAATCACTTCATCGTCGTCTTGACTTCCTTTACATCGCTTCGTCTTTTTGATCTGAGGGCAACAAAAAGAGACAAACTAGAAACACCTTCATCGTCTCCTCTTCATTGTCTCCTCATCAACACTTTTTATCAAACAGAAGAGAGGAAACTTTGGTATTGTTCTTTCAAAACCAGAAAGTGAGTCTGTTGTCTCGTCCAGAGTGTCCAGTGTCTGCCTCGGTCAACATCCTCATCGTCCTGCAGAATATATCCAACACACACACACATACACACACACACACACACACACACACACACACACACAAACACTGCGTCCCAACACGTCCTCAGAGTGTGTGTGTGTTCTGCCTTCGTCACGCCGAACCCAAACTGTCAAATCCACAAAACTTCCAGCGTTTCTCCAGAGTCGCTCCGACGCCGCTCAGCTCCTGACGGAACATCGACGGCAGGCGAACCATGAGACGCTCCAACTCCCCCCGCAGACACCTGAGGGACAGACAGACACACAGACACACAGACACACAGACACACAGACACACAGACAGACAGACAGACAGGCAGACAGATAGACAGACAGACAGACACACACACAGACAGACAGGCAGAGACAGACAGACACACAGACAGACACACAGACAGACAGGCAGAGACAGACAGACAGACAGACAGACAGACAGACAGACAGACAGACAGTCAGACAGACAGACAGACACACAGATAGACAGACACTCAGAAAGATACATCATCATATCATCTGCATATAAAGAAACCAAAAACTTGTTAATTTAAAATGTGTTGGCACCTCTACCTTCGAGTCCAGTCTCTGAATGTACGACCACAGGTACTCCAGGTTCGCTCCAAATGGATGGACGTGGAGGAAGGTCGAGATGATGCCTGCAGAGAATAACAAAAACTAAATCAGACAGAAACTGAAAGAAAGGAAGGGGACAAAGAAGGGATCCAACTGTTGAGGAAATTATTAAGAACTTGACTTCACACAAGAATGATTCAGGGAGACTCATGGCTTAAGTTGAAGAACGAAACTTGTCTGTGATGTCTAGGACAATTTGAAGCAGACACTAAGTCTACCAAACAACATTCAGATATGAGGGGCCCTTGACACGTTAAGCTGTCCTTGCTTTCTAGTCACAGCTGAACTCTATTAGGTCTGACTGACATCAGAGAGCAGTGAATAAACAAAATAATTCTGTACATCTAAATCTAAAAAGGTACTGAAATTCCACCACACCAACAAGTTACAGAAGTATTCAAACTAGTTAACGTTCAACCTGTGCTGTAATAATAATAATAATAATAATAATAATAATAATAATAATAATAATAAATTAGATTTATATAGCGCTTTTCTAAATACTCAAAGATGCTAACAGTCCATTCAGTCCAGTACAGTCTGTTTACCTGCTGCAGAATGAAGAGATCTACTACGGATGTTCAGAGACTTTGTTTTCTTATAAGTCATTGTGGCTCTCTTAAGGCTCAGGGTTAGAAACAGCAGATTTATCCAATAACAACGATTTGTCTTGTTTCATTAGTCTGTGGTTGTGTGCTTTTGATTCCTAGATACAGGTGCTGCTTAGTGAAAGCTGAGCTTATCAAGCTAATAAAACAGAGAGAGAGAGAGAGAGGGCGAGAGAGAGAGAGAGAGAGAGAGAGCGAGAGAGAGAGAGAGAGAGCGAGAGAGAGAGAGAGGCCACAATCTGCATCCTCATGAACTGCTGCACAATAAACAAACTGCAGAGCGGCTCTATAAAAAGCGCTGGCCGAGCAGAAAGCGCTCCTGACTTGATTACTTCTGAGAGGTCCTGCAAAGGTGGGCAGTCATGCAGAGGGAGTGGGGCTGGGGGGAGGGGTGTGGGGGTGCTGGTGACGATGGAGGAGTGAATAGACAGGCGTCCCCTGGAGGACCCGGCACAGCCAATATTTATTTCCTTGATTTATGTGGCGAAACGCCGGCAATTACAGACAGGCCTGATTCAGTTCCTTCCAGCAGACGTGCTCACATGGAACAGAGCCGCAGAGTGTGTGTGTGTGTGTGTGTGTGTGTGTGTGTGTGTGTGTGTTTGAAAAAGAAAGTTAAATGTCCAACTTGCACTGAGAAAACCCTCCTGTCCTGATCGTTCTCCTCACCTTCATGTAAATAGAACTTTAGGATAACTCTGGTTGACCTGGTTGTTCACACATGCATCTCACAGCAGGAGACTATCCCTGTCAGACGGGGGGGGGGGGTTTGAGAAATATTTTTACGTTATGTGAAACATTTTGGCCTGTCATTACATATTTTTAGTGTGATGTGACATCTTCCTGCAGTCGACCTTCAGGGCTAAGCTACTTAGATACTTAAACGTGTCAGGTGTGCTCTCTCAGAGGAAGGTGTTGGTACAATCAGTGAGAGATGCTGCAGGACAATTGTTTACAGATGTGGATTATAATCCCTCTGACCGTCTCCACCTCACGCCCATTTAAACACATTAACTTAAATATTAGAGTCTGTGCAGGAGGAGCTGTTCATGTTCTTTGTGTTTCGATTTTGACTGTTTGTTAGCTTAGCATTAAAGGTGAGTGAACGCCTACACACATAGCATGGAGAAAGAGATGAAGTGACAGTGAACTGAGCAGCAGCTTCACGTTCACACAGTTTAAACTGTGTGGACTGTCTGAATCCATCTGTGTATGTGTGTGTTTCTCTCTCTTATAAACGGTGATGCAGACGTGCAGCAGCAGCTCGGAGAGCAGCTCACAGTGATCGCTGACTGTGAGTCTGCAGCAGAGGAGAGCAGCAACAGCAGCATATTTATCTCTATTAGCAGAGCAGAGAAAATCCAGATATGAAGGAGAGAGGAGGCTTGGAGCTCGGCCTGGTGCTGGAGTCTGTTTTTACTCTCACATGAAAACACATAACAGACAAACCTGAACAGAGGTAACCCAGAATTTCTCCTGCCAGCCTTCTGGTACATTTTCCCAATTAAGTCAGGTGAGCTGATGTGAGAACGCAGCAGGAACGATTCAGGAGGGAGTTTATATCCTGTGATCGCTGCATGACCATAGACTGTCTGTAAGCCACCTCTACGATCTCCGTGCTCTTATGAACCTGCTGCATTATGTTTCCTGTTCTCCAGTATGTTCTTCTCCACTCTTTAGTTCAGATTGTGATTCTGTTCAACTACACGTAGCATTGATATAAAGACATATATTCTCATTAAAGCGTCGTATAGAGGACTCTGCTGCTTTGTGCACGTTGTTCTTTTTACGTCATGTCTTACCTCAGGAGACCCCCCTCCTGTCTGACAGGGATAGTCTCCTGCTGTGAGGTGCATGTGTTAACAACCAGATCAGGAGGATTTCAGGAGCAGTCCTCCTCAGATATGCATGTGTGAAAACGCTCTAGCTTAGCTCTTCTTTCAGAGCGAGGATAAATAGAATTTTAAGAAACCTCTAAACACACCTCTGAAGTTATTCAAACATCAAGGTTATTACTCATTCATTCTGAATGGAATTCATATTTACCCAGAAGCAGCGCCTCCTTCTCCGAAGTGGCTCCTCCCCTCATGATGACCTCACTCCTCCTCTCTCTGCTGAGGAACAGAGCGGGAACACACCCGTTCACACCCTGGAAACACACAAACACACACATACACACACACACACACACACACACACACACACACACACACACACACACACACACACACATATTACACAGTAATACGATGTGGAGGTATGTTTACTTTTGTTCAGAATTTCCATTCTGAATCCATTACACCCTAGATGCTAACATAGCACTTAAACTTCACATTATTTAAAAGGTTCAATCAGTAAGATGTGTAGAGAGTGAAATGATAAAGGTACCTTACTATATGATCAGACATTAAGGAAACATGCTATGTTGAAGTGCTGGCTTCTCTGACAACAATGCAGCAGCCAGTATGTCCTCCTTCTAACTTTAGATTCTGCTCCTGAATGCTCTGGATTTGTTTGGACCAGAGAAGGTAGGCGGTTTTAAGGCACCCCCACACGGCCGTTTTGGACGCCCCTCGGTTTGCCAGATATGAGAGCAGTTATCAGGTCAAACCAACAGGTGTTGCAGCGATAGAAGCGGGTGAGAGAACTGGTTCGGATTGAGTGATTGTACCCGACCTAAAAAGCCTCTGCATGTTTCTAATAAGCTCCACGAGCAGAAACGTGCTCAAACTAGGATCAATATTGGAGATGCTTTTGAAAAATGGAGAGAGGTTAGAACACAGAAAGGTTTACAGACCGATGCAGAGCTGGCTAAACACTGAAGTTTCAGTGTCCACCACCCATTTTAACCACTAGGTGTCAGAGTTACATACTGCTCCTTTAAAGGCTTTATATGATTTTTTTATATCGATTTTTATTCGCAAGGGGATGAGTCGGCTGGCCGTCCAGGCGATGTCAACAAACTGAAGATAGGACTCGGAAAACTCTGAAAGCATCACAGACAGTGGGACTCGGGTGTTACACCCATTGTAGACAGTCATGACTCACAGAGTTATTTTCAGAGGATATATTTGATTTCTATTACATTTAAGTGTGAAAAAACACATATAAAGCCTTTAATATCTACTTACATGGATGTTGTAATACTTTAAATACAGCTGAGGTTTCTGCTGTAGTTTGGATTTGAAATCAGTTGTTTGACTTGTAATGAATGTTTCCATTGTTGTGTTTCTTCCTGCTGTGGTTCATAGAGAGAACGTGGAAAACACGGTGTACACATGTTGTTTAGGACAAACGCTTTTAAAAACATTGCTGAACACGTCGCTTTGGATAAAAGCATCTGCTAAGTGAATTGTAGAATTGTAGAAAACACACAGAACATCCATGTTTAATGTAAAACGTCACATCTGACGGCTCAGTGACGCATCAACGTCCTCCTTCAGTTTACACTCCAGCAGCTTCGGGGTTAAAAGTTGATCGCCATGATATGTTTTAATGCATGGATGTGTGTGTGTGTGTGTGTGTGTGTGTGTGTGTGTGTGTGTGTGTGTGTCTCTCTGACACTTAAGTGCTGTGAGAGGCTTCAGAGCAGAGTAATATCAGCCTACACTTTCTGCTTCTGTCTCTTAAGTGTTGATCTACACTGGTGATCTCTGACCTCTCACCCTCTGATGAACTGTGTTTGCACTGTCTGAGGTTTCCCAGAGCTCCAGAGTAACCTCAAAGTGACTTTTATATCATAAAGAATAGAATCAAAAGTGGTGATCCTTTGTGATAATGTCCGTCCTCGTTTCAACACTCGCTTGATAATTGTATCAAATCTCTGAGAGGAAACTTTGAACACGTTGATGAAGAAACCGTATTTATGGTTGAAATGAGATCTGAGATGTTACCATGCTCACTGGGTGACCTGGACTCGTCAGATGAATGTGGACTTCATTAAAGTGTTAGGAGATATTTTTGACTGTAAATCAGACACTTCTTTAGATCTGACTTTTTGCTTTGCATTCACAAAGAAAAGCAGCCGGGGTCAAGGCTACAATGCATCTTGGGAAATCTAGACACTGCAGGCCCAGCTGACGACGTTTTGCGGACCTGATTTCACATAACACAGTGTCTGGTTTACCTTTTCATGCAGCTCTCCGTTGGTCCCGTCCACCGCCTCCACACTGCTGCCCAGCAACTACAGAGGGAGAGAGAGAGAGAGAGAGAGACGGAAAGAGAGGGAGAGAGAGAGAGAGAGAGAGAGAGAGAGGGAAAGAGAGAGAGAGGGAGAGAAGGAGAGAGAGAGGGAGAGCGAGACGGAAAGAGAGAGAGGGAGAAAGAGAGAGGGAGAGAGAGATACAACAGGTCTGTTGATGAGCCGCAGAGCGAGTTCTCGTGTGCAGCAGAGGAGCTGAGTCTGTTTCTTCTTCTCTTGTTTTATAGATGTGTCTGTTAGAGGATCTGTCCACTGAGAAACTCTGATCTCATAAATGATTCAACATGACATCACAAACACGCACAGCGGATTAAAAACAACAAACTAGTTAAACGTGCGGAGACTCTCTGAAACACAAACCTGGTCTGCTGTGACTCTCTTTCTTAATCTCTGGACCAAAACTAATCTATGCTTCTTGTATTGATTTTTGATTCTCAAACAACGAAATGACACACACATATGAAATGTTTAGAAATTTGATCAACTAACGAGGCGACGCCTACGACCTCGTCCAGGTGGTCAACTTGACCTGCCTCACCTCACGACAATCACCTGACGACACCTCCTTCCTATTAGCACTCAATTCAAGCTGCAGAGTCCCCGTCTCTCTCTGACCTGCAGCAGTTCTGCACCCTCGCTCAGCCCCGCCTCCACCAGCATCCACCTGTCGGCTCGACTGGTGGGTTTAAGACGTCATCCCATCACTCCTCAAATGTCTGCATATTAAATAAAACTGTGAGGAGCGACGAGGTCTGAGCTGAGACGCCAAACACAAAGTGAACTGGACTAACGTTACAGCAGGCAAAAATGACTAAAATGTGACAAAAACAGCTGAACATGAGGAATGCTACCGACAAAAATGTAAATCTAAAAGAGCTGGTTAACTTTTCTCTACGAGACCGTGATCACAGAACCAACTAACTGTTCACAATGAAATTCATTGTCAACTTCTTTGTTCATAAACTTTTTTTGTAGACTAATCGTTCCAGCTGAGGTCAGGACTGTGTGCCCTCAGTGATGCTAAGCTAACAGCTAATACAGGGTCCGTACATCCCCCCTGACTGTTAAACCACAACATGAAGTTCAAACTTAAGATGCAACACGGGGATGATTGTAATGAACACACATTATAAGTGTTGAGTAGCGTGGCTAACTTTCAGTCTTATATACCGAATCTGCTCCACACAAGTATTTACACAAACACACACACACACAGATGCACACACACACACACACACACACACACACACACACACACACACACACACACACACACACTCAGTGGCATGTCTCGGGTCAAACCACTCTCCGCTCGGTAGGAAAATAACAGAATAAACCTCCAGGCAGGAATGTTGCCATAGCAGCACTCGTGTCCTTTAACAGCCATGCCTCCCTTCATCATTTTAAAACCTGTGTGCGTGTGTGTGTGTGTGTGTGTGTGTGTGTGTGTGTGTGTGTGTTTATAGACCATGACAGAGCCCCAGAAGAGGTCGCAGTAAAAAGCACTTTAAAGGAAACGTCCCTCTGGGTGGAGGCTGACGCTGAAGAGCGACGGGTTGACGCACAAACATAAATGTTGGTGTGTTCAAACCTTTACACACTAAACTCACTTTAAACACCTTAACTGACGCAGACAGACACCTGTGTTTCATCAAACTGCTCCAATCCTCGGCTTAAAGTGTGAACAAACCGAGCAGATCTACAGAGACAAGCCGAACCAGAGAGTAACGATCCGTCATCAGAGGATCAATAAGAACCAATCAGCTGAGACGTGCGTACACACCTTGTCTCTGAGCGTAAGCACTTCCCCCTCCAGGTGGCGATGCTCGTCTCTGGCCTGCTCCAGCTCCGCCTCTTTGCTCTTCAGCTTCTCTTGCAGACTCAGGAGTTGCTGCAAAACAAACACAGAAACAGACAAACAGAGACATGACATAATTCTAAAAGTGTTTCTTTAATAAAAGAGACCAAACAGAAATGAGTAAAAAGGTGAAACTCTGAAGATACATAAGTGTCTGAGCCTGAATCAGCTCAACACTTCAGATGGTTTTCACATTAAATAAAGTGAAGAACTGATTCACAAAAGGATTGCACGGCTTTGACGCTCACCAGATGCCTGCAAAAAACACAAAAACCCGTAATTTGTTAAACGCACCTTTAACTGCGCTGCAGAGTAAACCGCCTCTCTCTGAGCCCGTGCAGGTTGTGCGTATTTAAAGGAGTCATCAGACAGTTATTGAGGGGTTAAATGTGCGTCTATGTTACAGATCAGTCTGTGACAATCTCTGAGACTGTGAGAAGTCAAATAAACAGCACATGAAAACACGCCAGCAGCAGGCGGTGTGTGTGTGTGTGTGTGTGTGTGTGTGTGTCTCTAACGTGCCTGCTTCTATCAGCACTGTCACTTTAGATCGAGACAGACAGAAAGTCGAGTCACATCAGGCTAACCCGTAGCAGCCGAGCGCTGCGCTCGAACACGCTGTCTCTGTGTTTATGGAATCAGTGGAGCAAAGCATCATGGGAGAGCACTGAGTCAGCACTGAGAAACACTCAAAAAAAGAAACACTGCTGGATTTTATGTTTGCTTCAGGGAAGTAAATAAACAGTGCTCGCAGCTGCTTCCTGATGCACACCTGCCAAAAACACGCTGACATGCACACGCACGCACACACACAAGCGCGGTGTCGGTGGAGGGCGGTACCTGCTGCATGTTGTGCATGCTCTGCTGCAGCAGCTGGATCTGAGCCTCGGGACTGTGCGTCTGAGCGTGTGTCAGCATGTGGTCGTCGTCAGGGCGACCGGCTCCTCTCGTGTCCTTCCTCAGTAGCTCCACCTCGTTCCTGTAGGCGTCGAGCTGCCAGCGCAGGGAGTCGTTCTCCTCCCTCAGAGACGCGGGGTCACACACTCCTGCAGGAGGCGAGGGAGGGAGAGGAAACGAGAAAGGAGTGAAAGGAGGAGGGGGGGGATAAAGAAGAAGACATACAAAGACCACATCGAGAAGTTCAAATAAAGTCCTTCCTGCCTCAGAAACCGCAGTTAGTGTTTAACCATCTGACAGTTTTCGTACCGTTCTCTGTGCGCGGCCTCTTGCAGGGATTCTCCTCGGAGTCGTCGTCGGACATCTCCATCTCCTCCTCCCGTCTGATACCCATGATCTCCTCACTGTGAGCGTTCCTCAGCTCCTGAACACCACACACACACACACACACACACACACACACACACACACACACACACACACACACACACACACACACACACACACACACACACACACATCTCTGATGTAAAAACAGGCTTTTTTGAATGGGTGTGTATGTGACTTCCTGTGCTGCTGCAGCCAGCCTCTAGTGGACACTCGAAGGAACTGCAGGATTTTACACTTCCAGTGGTTTAAAGGTCCCATATTCTTCTTTTTCTGGTTTTATATGCTCTTTAGTGTGTTTTCCATGTGTCCTGCATGTTTAGGCACATCTATGTGCAAAAATTCAAAGTCCGCAGAAACGCGGCTTCTCCTACGTCCTCCTGTTAGCTGTAGCATTAGCCCCATGTAACGCTCAGTTCTAGCCCCTTGATAAAAATTTGTCAATCCGATGTCATTGTCAGTGTGAGATCACTGATCTAAGCCCATTGGCCCTGCAGCTCATTTTGCACGCCCGTTAACTTCTGTAGCACGCCCATGATATGCCGTAGCCTGCGGTAGCACAGTAGTGCTAAGGTGCTAATGTTTATGCTCCCCTCGGACGGAGCCAGTGGCTGCATTCCCAATATGGTAAAAGAGGCGGGACATTTACGAGAACTGTGCTGAGCAACTGACCAATAACGACAGAGCGGATCGGCAGACCAATCAGAGCAGACTTGGCCCATGTGGGGCTCTGCAGTGGGGGCTCAGCAGAGCGTAGCTGACGGACTCAGAGCGGAGAGGGAGCAAGGAGGAGCAGTACATGAAAACAGATACTTTTTTTGGACTTTAGCTATTGTGAACGAACAAAAGTAGGAACATAGATTAAATATACGAACCCCAAAAAGGGCATAATATGGGCTCTTTAAGACACTCGTTCATTAGCTTCACTTTCAAAGTTAAGAGGCTACGTCCACTTATTATATACAGTCTATATCCTGAACAGTTTTTCTTTACCTTTCTTTATTATGCTCGGCTGCGGTGTGAATCATGTCTTTCAGCTCAAGTGGAATCATAATTCAGAGCGTGCATTAACACTTGAAGTGAAACCTGTGCGTGTGTGAGGAGACTTTAACAGAACGAGAGCAGAGAGCTGCTGCAGCCCTCGGGGAAATCAGATCCGTTTCCTGCTTCCATTTTCATTATCTGTTCATTTGTCAGCTGAGATCTCACCGCAGATGTCTGAGTGAGCGAAGGACTCGGAGGAGAGGAACACGATGGGGACAGGCGGCAAGGTTTGAAAACGTCAGATGAAGATACAGAGGAGCAGGTAGACTTACCACAGAACATAAAGAGGACTGTAACATGCTAGAGATGGTTCTGTCTCACATTATACTGTCTCTTACCTCGGGTACCTCCAAATATTTAAAACACAGCGACCTCGGGCGAAGCTTCACTGACGGTTAGAGGCGTTATCTATCACGCTGGGCGGATTTCTGATACAGACGATTTAAAAAAGCAAATACAAAACTAAAACTCTATAAAATATTAGATGTAATATTTTGGCTTTTAGGTCTCTTTTTCAATTACAAACCAAAGAGGTGTGTTGTGTTGTGTTGGTGTCGTCCAGCAGGGGGCAGCATTGCCTTTGCAGTAATTAAAGACTCTGTCACAAACTGTCATGAAGAAGAATCTGAGTGCTTTAACGTCGGCCATGTTTGACCTGAAAAGACCATAAGAACGTCTCATGTCTCTTAAAACATATTTCCTCGTTTCCTGTCTCCTCTGCTTCGTTTCCTTGCATCTCTGGTGGGAGGAACTAGGACGCAAGTGGAGGAGGCAAGTGGAGGACACTTGGAAGCAATTAAGGGAACTATGACGTACCCACGTTTTGAAAATGGCAGTGTCTCCGCCATCGTGTAGACTGGAAATACCCAGCTGCTCTGAAAACAGAGGCTTTTTGCACATGCTCAGTGCGCTGCCAGTAAATAGCCATGAGGGAGAAGGTGGAATACAACAACAATGGCTGCCTCTGTTTGTGAAAATGTCGACTTTCATGATTCCCAGTAGCAATTGCCTTGAATTTTACTCTCTGTGTGTATAAAGCCCTGTTCAGACTGCCGTTTCAAGCTGCGATATCTAAGGCCCTGTGACCCTGTTCCGCCTTCAATCTGAACGTAGTGGAGGCGTTATGGGGGGACGTTGTGACCCCTCCCCCCCACATTACCGTCTTTAGAGGTAGTAACAGAGACATTACAGTGTCTGTCTACAAACCCCCCAATGATGAGAAAAGTCCATCCTCTCCGTCTTTTGCCTGCTCCACTTTTCAGAAAATGTGTGCTCAAACAGGCCGTTTGGAGATTTTCCCTTCATGACATCACAAAGGGCAGTAACCCCTCCCCCAGGTGGGTGACACTCCCACAGCTAGGTGTTTGTTCGGCCCTCTGAGTCTGCCTTCTCACCGTAAAAAATAGGACATGGAGCAAGAAAGCCAGAGACACCCAGCCCTTCCAGAGAGGGGGCGTGGTCAGACACAGCTCATTTACATTTAAAGGTACAGACACAGAAACAGCCTGTTCTGAGCAGGGCTGAAATAGAGGGGTTTATAGACATGATCAAATACAGGATCAGAGTGGATTTAGAACAAGAAACTTCACAGACATGTTTTGGGGAGCCTTATTTACACTGGTTGAAGGGACGACAATGAGACCTTTAAATGTATTACTGGCAGGTGTGTGCTGCCCCTAGTGGACTGTGGTGAACTGCAGGTTTTTGTCAAAGAATTATGAATGCACAGATCTAATGATGAAATATTATAAACTCCCAGCAGAGCAAACAGATGCTCCACATCTGAATCCAGTGTGCTGGTGTTTCTCCCGCCTTCTTATTAAACTTTGAAGGTTCAAACTTGTGATCTCGATGTGACACTGAGATATGAAATATTAATCACAGACTTAACCCTGGAAAAATCTGTTACCATGGCAGCGCCTCACACTTTCCAGGAGGCATCAGATCTTTGGTTTACGTCCAGAAGGGGAGAGAGAGAGTGATCCGTCTGACTGTCTGTCTGTCTGAAACGCCGAAGCATCAAGAAAATCACAGACTCCTTCAGGTCTGTCTGTCAGCGAGCAGAGGAGGAGGAAGAGAGAAGAGAAGGAGTACCAACCTCACACTGTTTTCTCCACATGTCTATGTTCTTGCGCTGAGCTTTTGAGAAATGGTCCCATGCCTTTTGTCTGGTGGCGGCGGTGAAAACGGTGGTGATCTGCTCGACTTTGGGGTGAAGAGGGAGGAAGAGGAGGAGGAGGGGGAGGAGGAGGAGGAGGGGGTCAAGACAAAACAAGCGTTTTATGTAGCGTTGTAGCTCTGACTGAAACTCGTACAGTGGACAGAAGAGAGACTGACCTGACCTTTGATTCATTTTAACAGTTCACTCCAAAAACAGTGGCATCACCGGCTCAGGTCGGACTCCTTAAAGGAGCAATATGTAACTATGACCCCTGGTGTTTAAAATGGGTACTGCAGTCCAAATTCTAAACATTGTAGAGAACTGTCTCCCCCCCGCCCCCTCCTCTCTAGAGTCGATGCTCAAGCAGGTTACCATGCCAGCACTTCAACATAGCATGTTTCCTTAATGTCTGATCATACAGTAAGGTACCTTTATCATTTCACTCGCTACCAGCTCACTGATTGATCCTTAAACAATCACAAATGTGTTACAGCTCTGTGAATAGTGAAAACATACAGTAGATAGCTGTGCAGGGTCCCGTAATGTGTTGCATCGTTTTGCAGGACAGACAAAGTGCAGATGAAGTAACTGTAGATTAAAGGCAGCCATGTCTGTAGACAAACCACAGAGAGAGCTCCTGTCCTTTATATTTAAGCATATATTATATATAAAGCTGCATGTTCCCTTTAAGACAGTCTGACTTCTGAACTCCTGCAGAGAGTCGCTGAGCAGATGATGAACTGATGAGGAGACAAATGAAAAAGTCGTGCAGATACACTGAGTTTAACAGAATAGGCCTGGTAGTGTGTGTGTGTGTGTGTGTGTGTGTGTGTGTCTCTCTCCTGTCCGTCTCTCTGTACTTACATCACCTGCAGTCTCACTTCCTCACGACTCACTGAGGCAACATTTATCCAGAATGGAGGCTTTTTCTTTTTTTATACACCTCAGTGTGTTTACGTTATAAATAATATAACAGCTGAGATGATGTTCAATCATTACGACAGATTTGAACTTTGACCTCAAGGTCACTACAGCCACACACTATGTTGGAAAATGTTGCCTTGTTATAAAATGCTCTGACATTTTCTCATCTGTCTCAAACACTTTCAGCACAGACAACATTTTGACTCAACAAACCTGCAAGAAGAACATCAAATAAAAACCCAAACAGCATGGAGAAACACCTGAGACCTGGACTTCCTGTTCGTAAGACTCAGACAGAGACGGGTTTGACTTACCTCTTAGGTTTTCCCCACAGACACCGTGTGACTAAAGACTGTTAAAGATGGAGATTCATGTGGTCAGGTTGAGATGATTCATCGTCTGAAGGCTGACTTACATTGTATTTATATTCTGCACTTTGTTTACTTCTTTAGGAGAAACTGTTTGACATGAAATCTATTCTACTGCTCCATCTTTAAATCTTAAAAGAAAAAAAAGTAATCTTGAGCGTCAGGTTCTGGAGACTTATCAGAGCAAAGCTAGGAGCAAAGTTGTCGAACATGCCCACCCGGTCAGCTCACTCAAATGCCCCTGCCGGCCAATCAGAGGAGAGTGTCGCCCCCTCAACCACTGCCGTCTTCATTCATGCACGGCCTGCTCTGACCTCAGCGGCGAGGAAGTGTGGACAACAGGAACGCGAGGAATAGAAATCCTTCCTGCATCTTCTCCCATCTCCTCCCATTTTTCTTCATGAGTAAGGTCTTTTACCCGCTCTTTATAAAGCGCGTCAAGATAACCCTTGTTATGAATTGGCGATTTGAAAATAATGATTGACCGGGTGAGTACCAGACGCACAGCAGAAGATTTCCCGATGCTCTTTCTAGCAGAAAGTTTATTTCATCAAGTCTAAAACCATCCACCCGCCCGACCTCCTCCGTGTATGGCTCCTCGCTCTTTGTACGACTTCACCTGACGTTAACGCAGACAAGACCTTACAGAGACCCCACTGACCATCTGCTGTGTTCAAGTGAACAGACTGAAACAGAATTCATCAGAACAAAAAGATTTTCAGGACACTATCGGAGAAATGTCGCCCCCTGGTGGATAAACACCCTCACTGCAGCTCCACCTGCACAGACATATCGAGTTTAGTTTAGTTTAATAACAAATGAGCCTGGGATTGATCCTGAGTGTTGGTATCTTCTTCAGCCCGTCTCTGAAAAGGGCAGAGCGTTTTCACATCTCTGACTCTGAACCAGTGTGTGTCCGCCACGCGGCGAGCGGAGGATAATGGAAATAATGGGGAGACGGATGGAGGAGCATAGTCATGGAGACGGGGGCTGAGACATGCTGGCTGAGTAAATGACTCTGCACAAGAAAGCTGCACTAGAATATGTGTGTGTGTGTGTGTGTGTGTGTGTGTGTGTGTGTGAGAGGTGTCACTATGACAGCAGACACACTGGAGGCTGATGGGGACTGACCTAAAGTGGGATCTTATATATTTGAGGCTCGTTTGTCTCACACACATTTCATTTTGGAGAAAGCTGGATAGAGATGTTCCTTTGGGATTAATAATGTTTAAAGATTCTTTATTATTTTATTTAATTATTTACAGAAATGTTATCTTTCTTTAACGTTAAGATATAAAAATATAAAGGTACCTGTAACGATGTGATCTTACTTGCACGGTCACAGTTAGAGCGTCGCCTCCTTCGCCCGCCTCTGAGCAGCGACTGAACATGAAGAAACAAAAAGAGTTCTTACACTGTGTCAGGATCGCTATCAGGGCGTTCTTGAACGTCTCCTTGGCCCGCTCCATCTCCTCCTCGTGCTGAGCTTTCTCTCCCATCAGCCTGCGCACGTGGCTGTTTGCTGATTGGATCATGGAGTAGAAGTGATTGGCGGTGCGTCGGTTCACCTCGCCGCGGTCGATCCACGTGTAAAGAACCGCCGTGGCATCGCAGAAATTAAAGATCATCTGAGGAGAGAATAAAGATTAAGATATCTGAGACAAACAGCGTTAATATAACTACCATCAAACTAAAAATGAATGTGTGGACTTTACTCCAGCAGGATCTGAGAGCATGATAAAAACTCATCATAATAAACGTTTAACTTCTGTAGCGTTCTCTGTGCCGTCAGAGCGTGTGCCTGCTCCATGAAGTCTCACACCAGCAGAGTCTGCAGTATCTGGATGTCTGAACGTATTTCATGGGACCTTTAGCGCTCAGTCGGGCTAAACAAACAGCAGACTTCCTCTTCCTCCTGGGGGGCGTTCACCGCTCATGCCTCTGTGAACCCGTCACAGCCACCGAGCACAAAAAGCATTTTTGATTTCCAACTTTCCAACCAAACCCTCGCTCGGCATCCCGTCTCAGAGGTCTCTGCGGGCTTTTGTCGTTCTGTTTCATTTGAATAATAATGGAAGGGAGCGATGGAGGCGAACAGAACAGAGTGAATTAGAGAACATTTAATGAGCTCAATACCCGCCGCTACACAACCTGTAAGAAGACACTTTCCCCGCTCTGATAGAGGCTCATTCACACGCACGCCGCAGATTACAGTCACATTACGGGGAGCACAAAGAGACACAGCTGAGCGGAGACGACCACAGAGGAAGAATTAAATTTATTTCTCAGCTGTTAGAGGAGGAGAATACATTCAAAAAGGTTATTCAGAGGAAACACGAATGTTTATGTGTGCCGGTAGAGGAGGATAAACGCTCAGAGGCTCAGGGTTGACTTTCAGATCAAATAACCAGCGCTGAATCTGACACGGGACGAGATGCAGCAGAGACGAGACTCAGCGGAGAGGGTGAGGGCCGCAGGTAACGCCCGGGGAAGTTTTTGATAAGCTCATTTGATTGTTTAAAATTGAGAGACACAGACGGACAGTAGGACAAAGAAACAAGCTGCACAGAGACACGTGTACAGGTGAACATGTCTCTAAAGGTGAACATGTCTACACAGGTGAACATGTCTACACAGGTGAACACGTCTGTACAGGTGAACATGTCTCTAAAGGTGAACACATCTGTACAGGTGAACATGTCTCTAAAGGTGAACATGTCTACACAGGTGAACATGTCTGTACAGGTGAACACGTCTGTACAGGTGAACATGTCTCTAAAGGTGAACACATCTGTACAGGTGAACATGTCTGTACAGGTGAACATGTCTCTAAAGGTGAACACATCTGTACAGGTGAACATGTCTGTACAGGTGAACATGTCTCTCAAGGTGAACATGTCTACACAGGTGAACATTTCTCTACAGGTGAACATGTCTGTACAGGTGAACATGTCTCTCAAGGTGAACATGTCTGTACAGGTGAACATGTGTCTAATGGTGAACATGTGTCTAAAGGTGAACATGTCTGTACAGGTGAACATTTCTCTACAGGTGAACATGTCTGTACAGGTGAACATGTCTCTCAAGGTGAACATGTCTGTACAGGTGAACATGTCTGTACAGGTGAACATGTCTCTAAAGGTGAACACATCTGTACAGGTGAACATGTCTGTACAGGTGAACATGTCTCTCAAGGTGAACATGTCTACACAGGTGAACATTTCTCTACAGGTGAACATGTCTGTACAGGTGAACATGTCTCTCAAGGTGAACATGTCTGTACAGGTGAACATGTGTCTAATGGTGAACATGTGTCTAAAGGTGAACATGTCTGTACAGGTGAACACGTCTACACAGGTTCCTCCTGCAGCTCTTCAGCTTTCTCTGTGTCAGCTCTTTGTTTGTTTCTGTGTTTAAACGAGGATGAAGAGGATCAATAATTGTTCAGCTTTCTCACTGATTCACCTGAACTTTTGATCAGGTATCACAGCAGGTAACACACACGCACGCACACAGATCACTGTGAGAACATGCTTTCAGATTCATCTGCTTACTGTAAATGTTTTTTTTTTTTTAAATCTCTTTTACCATGACACCAGCTGAATCCTACTGAGGCACATCCGCCTCTCATGACTCAGCAGTTTATAATCCATCACTTCACCTCACCTTTTAGCCTCTCTGCCAGCAGCCCCGCCTCGTGCTCTGTGTAGTGCACGATGGGCGGGGGAGACGGCGGTCGGAGGCGATCCTCGTGGACCTTGCGTCGGTGGCGCTCCTCTCGGGCGAACAGGCGTTGTTTACACTCCCACTCATACAGGTCGTCCCTGGCCTGAGCAAAGTCCACGTGGATCCTCCCCGAGTCTTTTTTATCGGTGCTGGAGCCGATTCGCATCCGATACCCTGAGAGGAGAGGATCAAATGGAATCAGGACGCCAGTGAAGATGCACAGCTCTGTTAACCAGCACGACCTTCAGAGGATCAGTTGGTAACAACATTTATCCGTCTGAGAAAACGCACAAAGAAAAGCGTTTTGAAATGTAGTTGTGCTGCTCACTTTGGCCACTAGAGGCTGAGGTGAGTATTACTCGCCTCCTGCAAGTTTTAAACACAGACTGTAAAGATGAATCCTGAGGGACGTCACCCATCTGTTCCTGCAGGGGACGCTGGAGTCCCATCCATGCCGTTCTCTGTGTCTCAGCCTAACTTTCAGTCGACCTAACACCACGCTGCGAGGGCAGACGATCATGCTGTGTGACTCACCTGACAGGTAGATGGCTTTGTCCACCATGAACTCCTCGCTGTAGCGGATGTGACAGAAGTTCTTCTTGCTCTTTCGGATGGCGGTGATCTCTCCGCACTGATCAAACACCTCCCTGACGATCTCCTCTGTGGCATTCTCCGGCAGACCTCCGACAAACACCGTCTTACAGCCGGGGGGGCGCTCCCGGGTGGACGGAGGGGGCAGGCCTGAAGGACAATGACATCACCATCATGTTTCCTGGCTGAATGTTTGAATGAGGGAGTATGACAATGATGCGATGTTGCTGATGAATGATCTCGGGTCTTACTGGGGTTCTGGGGGAACAGCGTGCAGCTCTTGCAGTGGATGATCTCTTTGATGACGGGCATGTCAGGGGGGATGGGAGGGGGCGGGACCAGGCTGATTCCCGCCATCATGGGGTTGATGGGAGTGAGGAGACCGAGGCCGGGCTCGAACCTCTGGATGCACAGAGACTCTGCAGGACAGAGACACAGGTAAAGAATAGACAGCTGATGAATCAACACACATCAATCAATATTTAAATTTATCTGATCTGACAATCATTCAGAGCAGAGGAGAAGCAGGGCCAGCTGCATCCAAACAGATCTGGCTGTTTTATTAAAAGTAAGAAAATGATGAGTAGTGTTGGCTTTAATCAAAATACAGAAAAAGCTGCAACAGAGGACGAGGAAAGAGAACCTGCTGCAGAGGAGGGAAATAAAACACTGTTATCTGTGAGAAAGAGATCAGAGAAGATAAAAACTGGAGACGAGATCTGCAGGGACAGACAACAACAAAAACGCCTCCTGAGTGTGTGAGAGGAAAGAGGAGAAGCAGCGAGGACAGGAGGGGAGGGGAGAGAGGAGAGAGAAATGTGTGTTCAGGACGGAGAGAAAGTGAAGAAGAGGAGAGAAGATAAAGAGGCGACAGGAGCCATGTTTCAGCTGTCTGGGTGAAAATAGAGCAGGCAGGGTGGAGGCGGAGGGCGGAGCAGAGTCGCGTGTTCCTATCTACAACACTGCAATAACAAGAGAGCGGGAGGAACCAAACGTCAGCACAAACCCCCCCATGTCCCCCACGCAGCCACAACAGCAGCGAGGATGAAGTGATTTAAATGAGAGGAGAGGGAGGCTGTCACACCGAGAGAGGACACACGTCTCCTACAGAAAACTCACAGAAATAAATGTTTCTGCTGCTCGGCCTGCAGGACTGAGACGACCACACATTCATCACAGTCCCACAGCTGAAACTGTTGTCAGCAAACAGGAAGTGTAGCATGCTCCAAATAAAGAGAAGAAGAAGAAACAGAAGAAGAAAACAGTTTTTGTTTAATCAAAGATATCTCTTGCAGAAGCTTCACTCGTCTGTTCCTGCAGGGGGCGCTGGAGTCCCATCGATGGCGGTCTCCATGCTGGAAATGCTGTCTCACCCTAACTTTCAGTCAACCTAACGACAGGCTGAGAGCTGGAGCTGAGGCGGTTTTTAAGCCTCTTGACAAACCGTTACACCGCGCCCACCTGTCAATCAGGTCAGCTACACGCCTTATTGTGAATAACTCTTATCCTTCATCAAATCAAAACGGATGAGTCATCAAAACATTCACCCTCCATACAGTGTGTACCGATCGAGACATGAGCTAATCAGACCTATTTGGGTTTTGAACCAGGCTGTAAACATGTTAATCTCTGCTGTAAAAACAGGCTTTTTAGAATGGGTGTGTATGTGACTTCCTGTGCTTCTGCAGCCAGCCTCTAGTGGACACTCGAAGAACTGCAGGGTTTTACACTTCAGAATTGGCTTAATATTTCAAACACTGCATGTTGCTGCTTGAGTGCAGAGCAGTAAAACACTTCCTCTCTCTCTCCTGTTCACTCTCTGTATTAAAGATCCTCAGTCGTATTAGAAGAAAAAGAAAAACACTCAGAGTGATAATCTTCCATAAATCTGAGCGTGTGCAGCCACGGTGAATTCACAGACTCCTCAGGTCTTAGGAAAACTCATTTAAGTGTTGTCTGAGATAACCTGCACAGGTGAATTACACCTCTGTGTGTCGCACATTCATCACAATCAGAAGCACGCCGCTTTTTACTCACAGAGCCAAAAGGAGGCGAGCCCGCCTCATTTCTCGACGGTGAAAAGAAGAAAAGAGAGGAAAAACACACTGAGGGAGGAGAAAAATTAAACATAGAGCAAAGAGAAAGAGGGGGGGAGGGAGGGAGAGGGAGAGGGAGAGGGAGAGTGAGAGAGAGGGAGAGAGAGAGGGAGAGGGGGGAGAGAGGGAGAGTGAGAGAGAGGGAGAGAGAGAGAGGGGGGAGAGAGAGAGGGAGAGAGAGAGGGAGAGAGGGGGAGAGAGGGAGAGAGAGAGAGAGGGGGAGAGAGAGAGGGAGAGAGGGGGGGAGAGAGAGAGGGAGAGAGAGGGGGGGAGAGAGCCACCTACTGACCTGGTATGTGTACTACAGTGCTTTTAGTCATGTTTGCGGATGCATGTGCACGGCGGGTTATCAACTTGAACCTTTATTGGTTCAATTCCAGTCAATTCCCCCCCCCCCCTTGTACTTAAGTACACTAAGCCCTACAGGTTTGCGTCAGTGTTTCACCTTGCATGTGTTTGTAGGATTGTTTTAGTGAGGCGGGGTGGGGGATTTGTGGGCGTCTCTCTCTGTATAAAGACCCCGGGTGGGCTCTGGGGGGGCTCTTGGTGGGCTCTGGGGGGGGCTCTGATGGAATAAGAAGTGCTGCATTGTGCAGGTTTATGAAATGAACGCCGGGAGATTTGTGGAGTTTTTTGTGTGTTAAGCTCAGAATAATTGAATGTGTGGATTTAACTGAGCGGCGAGCGGAGAGACAGACAGCAGCACACGGAGCTCAGAGGGAAAATCCAAATGATGACATGTTGTTTAAAAAATGACGGCATCACATCTCCACCCTGTTTTAACTACATGTGGAAACCTTTAGATCATGAATATCTGACGTGTGTGAGTTTCCATCCTCATCCAGGAACATTTTCACTTTTTCACCTGAATCTGAGTGAAGGATGAAAAGTGTCACATCAGGCCCGTGTCCACCTGGCATTTCTTCTGGGCAGTATCGCGCTGGCTGTGCGCTCGGGAGCGTTTGCATGAAGCGTTTGTGCGCGGAGAAGAAAAGCGCTGCATGTCTGTCCTGTCTCTATGACAACAGTCTGTTGACAACGTCTGCTGTGTGAGCGACACTGCTCCGTTACTTTTTACTGCATGTTTTATATTAGAGATCGTTTATTTCACGATCAGACACGGAGCGAGGAGGATGTGGGGACAAGACACAATCTGTATGAGGAAAACTAGGAAAACGGGGAATATCAAACATTTGGAAAAGAGCGCCGGTGATGTCAACAGCGCCTTTCTGAAAAGTTAAAATATTTTGAATTTGGGCGCTTGGAGTGGCCGCACAAAAAAGGTAGAACGCTCAGAAAAAGGCTGGGCACGGCGCCTTTTCTCCAGGCAGCCGCTTTAGCTGCGAACGCTCTCTCCTCATTGAAAACAATTGATAAAGACGCTGGCGCTCAGAAAACAAACGTCAGGTGACACGGGGCCGATGAGTCATTAACCTGCTTATAAAATGTTTCATCATTAAAATGCATTTCAAAACTCTTCAACCTCTCGTCCCCTCGGCTACTGAAGCGCTTAACAAACTGCCACACTGACTGTTACATGGGTTGCTATGGTAACTGTTTATGTGTTTCTCCTTGTGTTATGTGTTCACCTGTATGTCTATGTATCCATGAACCAGCTGTGCGTCACCACAAATGAAGTATCACATCCAATGTGACGGAGCATCGGGAGTCTGGGATAGTTTAGCTTTTCAACTCGAGGAAATTTAAAAACAAAATGAGTCAGTGTTTACTTGCATTAGTATCAGACACACACACACACACACACATACACACACACACACAGACACACACACACATACACACACACAGACACACTTGATTTTTTAAGCAGCTGTTAGCGTGTCTCTCTGAGCGCCTGAAGTGTCTCTAACTCTTCAAGATTCTTTGAATATGCATGAAACCTAATGTCCTTTGAGCTGAGCTGCTGTGATGGTTAGTGATACGCACGCACGCACGCACGCACGCACGCACGCACGCACGCACGCACACGCACACACACACACACACACACACACACACACACACACACACAGAAACTTTAGCATTAGCACAGTATGACTTGAGATCAGTCCTCTGCTTACTCTCCCTCCTTATCGCCGTCCTGACGCGTGTGATACAATTATTGAATCACAGGAGTTAAAATATGAATATTTTATGAATATGAATATTTTAACGAAAAAAAGGTGCTCTGAACCGAATTCCCTGCGTCACAACTCCATCACACCCCTTGACATGACTGAGGGTAAGGTCATGAACTGAAGCGGGATGATGTCAGACAGCAGTGAAAAGAAGTTAAAGGATGAAGCTGATAAGAGGTGAAGCTGACACCTGATTAAAAACATTAAAGTTTCAGATCATGAGGTAAACGTTTGTTGGAGTAATCCCAGGATGAGTCTGCAGAGGGCGCTAAACAGCTTGTTCTGTAAACATGTCACAGTTCCCCCCGATATGAAACCAAGAATTTCACCAGACGGCTTCAAGCCTCTACGTAAGCCACAGCCCTGCAGCGTTGTGCGTAAATGTGTAAATGTCTCATGGGATTGAAAATGTTGCTATGATGATTAATAAAGGTTCAAAGTGGGGTAAGTAAAGTTCAACGCTCGGGTAAAAGTATCGTGTTGAACCCTAAGGGCCACCGTAGATTACTGGTCTCTGCAGGTTGATGGGCGTAAAGATGAGGAAGACAAAAACAGAAGAGGAGAAGGAGAAGGAAAAGAAAGCTCAACGAGGAGATTAAGGAGAGATAAAGGAGAAAAAGAAAATGAAAAGAAAATAAATGAAGAAGAAGCTTCTACCTGAAACCAGCGGCTGCCTGCTGATTCCCATCGGCATGATGCCCAGGTTGTTCATGGCCGTCGCCCAGGCTCCATGATCCGAGACCGGGACACTCAGGTGGTTCTGCTCAGCTCCGAGACTGCCTACACTGTCAGCTGCTGCACACACACACACACACACACACACACACACACACACACACACACACACACTCATCAGAGACAGTAACATATGCTGCAGGCTCGCCGCTCTGGAGGATTGCGCTTCAGTTTCTCACCGCTGGCCATCTCAGGTCGTCTCTTCTCTCCTCCCTCTGCTCTCCTCTCATCAGATCTCTCCTCCAGCTGACGGAGCGATGGACGGATGGATGAAGGGGTGGATGAACAGACGGGGTCTCATCCAGTCAGAGTCACACCATCACAGCCCAC